GGTATAATCTAATACTATATATAGTTACCCTAAATAGATTATACTATAGATATCTAGAATATTAATCCCTATCCCTAATATATTAGTTACTATAATTACTAATCTAGGCGTTTACTAGAACTATACTAATATCCTATCTAAATTATACTACTTACTAAAAAATATATTATATCCTAACTAGTCTACTATTATATAAATATATTTAATAATACTCCTATATATAATTATCTATCTACGCCTAGTCTACTAAATATAATACTAAATAAACTAAATTACTATATCTATTTAGATCTATTAATATTAGTAATTATATCTATCTTTAATCTCTAGACGCTATATCTAGTATACTATGTTTAGTTAGTAGGTATAGGATTGATATATAGCGACCTAATCCTATAGCTATCCTATCTAGTAATATAATATTAGCTCTATAGTAGGTAGTAATATAGCTATTAATATAACTATCTAGGTCTTTACTATATATAACTATTCTATCTCTTATAACTATAGCTAGAAATTATTATGATTATTTAATACTATATAGTATTTATTAATCATGATTTATTCTAAGTATTATAATAACCGCTATTAGTTTAAAAACGTTAGGAATATTAGGCTATAGGTGGCCTTAGGCGTTACTAATATAATAGATACTTCGTTTAGGGGCTACTAGCTATTAAATACTATATATAAAATGCCTAATTATCTATACTAAATCACTATATCCCGCTATAATATAATAAATAGTACTACTACTACTATTAATCTATTACCTACCTATATAGGTAATATGAATAATATACTCTTATTACCGCTAGTGGTGGATATCACCACTATTATAGGACTCGCGCCTTATTAGATGGCCTATAACGCTAGCTCCTAGACCTTATAGAATACTATCTCGGGCCGCCTAATCATCTTTTAGAATAACGATAATATAGGGGTATTAGCTAACTAGTACCATCGCTAGATCTAGTTCTCTTCCGCGTCCTCATTAAATGGATGACGTGTGCGCTTGCCTAATAGCCCGCGGCGCACGCTAGATAGAATCCTAAAAACTAATGCTAATCCTCGCTGGACTGCTAAAACCGCTGCCGCTAGTGGCTATGCTATTAGTGGGCTCTATAGTGGTATGACTATATATTATCCTAGCTATATAGAATGAATATAGGGCTTATAAATCTATAATATGCCCGCTGAATTTATCCTTATCTATCCTATCCTTATTATCTAGATCGTACGCGGGCTACTTATCGCTAACTATCCTTTCTAGTACTAAAAATACCTAGAGGGTGGTTAGAGATATATATAAATTTAACCACCCTTAGGTCTAAAAATATAATAGTATTTAACTTATAAAGGGTAGTACCTCTATAAGGTCGTGTTAGACTACTTAAAATATCTAAGATTTCTATAGCTACCTACCTAAGATATAAGAGACCTAATCTATCCCACTATTTATATATTTTATATCTAGTCTACTAGAAAATATAGCTATTCATCATCACTTATCTTAATAGTAATATACTCCTAGTGGCGTTTCTGTGATTACCCCTCTTCGCTATTCCTAAGCTAGCTATATTAACATTTCTATACCACTAGCGCCTTAAATCCTAGGAACTTATACTACTCTAGACTAATACCCTAGAATTAAATCTATTTCGCCTCTATCGCCCCTAGGGCCTCTTTAAGACTATATATATAGATAGTCCTAGCTATCTATGACCTATGCGTAGCCTACTTATTAATAATAGGGTTATCTAGTCTATAATCACGTCTAAACCTACTATATTTAAGGTGAATTTAGGAGATCCCTATCGCTATATAGCGCTAACTAAGTATATTAAGCTTAGTTTATAGGTATGCTTTACTCTATGATTATATTATAACTCTAAGACGTGTGGTATCCTAATGCCCTCTTATCTTAGGCTAGAAAAATACTGATTGGATATGAGAGTCGCTTTAGCGAGTAAATATATTAGCTTACTTTATGAATAGCTAGATTAGCTATAAGTAATAAACTATAAGCTCGCTTACTACTTATGGTAGGTACTAGTAGATAATCTTAATAGAGTTTATTATGCTCTAGGACTTATAGTAGCTAGTGATAATATAAACTAGCCTATATTTAATAAAGATATTCTAATATCGCCCTTCTAGAGTATTATAATACTAGATAGATACTAGTTTAGTCGCGCGTGTAGGCTAACCGCTAGTTATATAGATAAGTAGTAGAATCCACTAGAGGAACTTATTAACCTAGATAAGATATGCCTCTAGTAGTGCTATATTCTACTTAATATAGGGATCACGCTTATACTAGATCGCTAGTGAGACCTCAATAAAATCCTTCTAAAGGGACTCCATCATTAAGATATAGTCTAGTATCTAATATTCGCTAGAGATAGGTAGTAGCTAGCGGTTTTTCTAGTCTCTAAGAAAATTCTAGCTATATTAGTTATTAACTAGATCGTTAATTAGCTAGTGTAGTAGGAGCTAAGGTATCTTATTAGTACGCGATTTATCTTTATCTAATAGAAATAGCCACTCTAGCTTATATTATATAAGCTTAATCTAGGTATAAATAAACTTTATAAGAGAATCTATAGTAAGTTAAAGGTCCTAGTAGTATAGTGCCTAGTAATTATTACTCTAAACTAGAAACCTAAGACTAATAGACGTATTTTAGATTCTTTTACTATAGGTCTAGAGTTAGATAATCTAGCTAAATAGATATCGAACCCTATATATTAAGAAATAAGCTTATATTTCTTTAAGTATATCACTAGGATATTTTACCTAATAACTATTAGTAAGATTAACCATATATTATATAACTAGTATCTATAAGATTTTAACTAAGGTAGATAGATAGGTTATATAGCTAGTAGGCTTATAGTATATTTAGTTCTTACTATTAATCCCTAAAGCCACTATAAAGCTAATTAGTAGACTTTTAAAAAGATTACTATAGAGTTTATAATTAAGAAGTATAATTAAGAGATTAAGGTAGGCTTAGTTAAGGTCTTCTATTACCTAACTAGCTAATATTTAAGTCTTACTATAGGCTTAGGGCGTAATAGAGTTAATTATAGTATTTAGCTTTAAAGTAATTTCTCTATCCTAGAGAAGTCTCTAGTAGAAGGATTAAATATTATTAATAGTACTTAACTAGGATATTATAAACTAATAGCGAAGCTAGATTAGCTAGTTAGGCTAACTTATACAATACATAAAACTTAAAAGCTAGATCTAGATCTAGCGGTAAGTATAGTAGGTTTTAGGGCGTAGTTTAATCTAGATTAGGCGCTCTTAGATTCTAGGATTTTGAATAAAGCTATTAATACGCACCTAGTTAAACTTATTAATATAGTAGGATAAGATCGATTTAAATACTTAATTAATAAGTCTTTCTACGCTATACTCTATAGTAATAAGGATTAGCTTTATTATAGGGTTAGGTAAGGAAGCGAGCTTAGCGATATTAAGGAATTCATACCCTTAGATATACTTAGGCTATTAGGTAAGCTTAAGCTATAGGGAAGTCTCTATCTTATCTTTTTCTATTAGCGTAACCCTATCCTCTATATTAGCGATCTTATTAGAGTAGAAGAGTATAGAGTTAACCTAAGCTTAGATAAATATAGCTTCGTTAGTTTCAGGTATTAGAATTCGCGTATTTAGTAATACCCCTAGATCTAGCGTGATAATAAAGAAGGAACTATAGATCCTATATAGAGTTAATCGCTAGTAGTATACTAGATATAGAGTAGTTAATAGGTCTTTCTATTAATTAGCTTTAGGCCTTCCTTAGTAAGCGATAGAACTACCTAGTTTAGGAGTAGGATAAGCCTCTCTACGATAATTCCTTATAGTACTAATTATACACACTATATATTAATAGTCTTTAACTATATAGTAGTAGCTATAATAGACTTATAGCCTAGGGATTAGTTAGGAGCTTAGGGTAGATAGGATAAAAGGCTTAGTATTTAGATTCTATATTTTAGCCTTAATAGCTTTAGTATAAATCGCTACTTACTATACCCTAGTAAAAGAGGAAGGATACCACTTATGCTTTATAGCTAAATAGTATATAATACTTTAAGCTTCTACTAGATATTAATAGGTCTTATAGATCTAGAACCTATAATTAGTATTAAATATAAAGAGTTCTCTAACTAAATTTATAGTAGTAGTACTTAAGAAGGAGGTAGTAAGAAATTAATAGAAGAAGAAATACTAAGAAGTATAATATAGTAGAGGACTAAAGTCTAGATTATTAATTTAGGGATATTTTAGAAGATAGGGGTTAGCTTATTAATATAATTAGAAGAAGCCCCTAAAAATATAGCTATCTAGGTAAGTTCGCGTTACGATATATAGGCGTGAATATAAGAGCTACCTATTCCTTCCTTAATATAGCGTCTAATGAATACTATAAATAGTATAAAAATTATCGATAAGTTAGTATCTATAGTATATCTATATCTATAGATATTCTAGGTATAAGGGTAGTGGTAGATTATACTATAGAAGCATTTACTCCTATATATATTTCTAATCTTTAAACGATATATTTAGCTTTTAGTAAAGTCTTATTATTCCCGCCCTCTTTATGTTATTTTTCGATGTATTTCTACTCTAAATATATTAAGAATAATAAACTCGCGACTACTAAGAGCTAAAGGATTTAAATAAGGTTTACGGGCTAATGGACACGCACCACGGGTGATAGGTACACGTAAAATGGACTAATCAGGATGTCAAGAAATGCATTGGGGTCGAGTACACTTAACCACTACAGTATAGGGTCTTCCTCTTCCACTGCAATAAAAACGACTACCTCGTCTATTTCGGCTAAATCAACAAGCTCGACAACGACTTTAGCATCATATCCAACAGGCTCCGTAACTGTTTCAACATGTAATAGCCATTCCGTCTCCTTTCCGATATTTCGAAAATCTCCAGGGCTTGAGCTAACACTATGTTCGATAGGCGATGAATATTATCTCGTGAAGTCCGGTGATACCTGCAGCGCTATTCTCTTAGAGTATAGCATCACTATAGCCCAGTTCTATACCTGGAATCCATCCGTCGGCTCTAGCTGCAATTATATGGACCTCGACGAATATTACTGCGTTGGTATCTCTGGTAAATTATCTTAGTTTAACTTAATCTCCCACTTCTCTTATATTTTTTTCTCACGGCTCACTCCCAATAGGTTCCTAAACCACGAGTACATCCGCTAAGACAACAGCGACTTCAGCCACCTCCACTAGCATAGGTATTGGACCAACCCAGACTGGTATTGCCTCAAACTATGTGACATACTATAAGACCCAAAGTGGCGACAGCTGCTGGGAGATCGTAACTGATAAATACCCCTATCTGAACGAAACCCTTTTCATTGAGTGGAATCCCGCTGTGGGGTCAAGCTATTCTATTCTGAGTGGATACTACTACTGTGTGGCGACGATAGATGCTTAGCCTCTGCCTAATATTATCAGTAGCTGTACTTCATACTATCTAGTAGAGAGCGGCGATAGCTATTGGTCTATTGAGACGGCATATGATATCTCGGCAGCGAACTTTGTATCTTGGAATCCTAATATTGAGTCTGACTGCAGTGGACTGTGGGTAGATTACTTTGTTTATGTGGGTGTTTAAGTAAGCACTTAAGGGGGCACCTACTAGTTAGTCTCATTTATATGATTATGGAATCAATACATTCGAAGACCTTAGTTGAACGGCATGTAGGCTATAAAAGCACTCAACTTCTCCCGCCTTGCTTTGCTTCATCTACCTTCGCTCACGTGTTTCGACTTTTCTCCAGGTTATCTTTTAGTATATGAATAAACCTCATTTGCTCGACTTTTACCTTTGTCAGCGAGCTCAATATGTAGCATAATTACAGGATTGTCTGCCAGGATGAACCACCATCGTTAGTAGACATAGCATTACTGGAGAACTTATGTGTATGTTTGCTCAGAATCATCAAACCAAAATAAGACGATATCTTCATGCGACGTGAGGACACTCTGCTCGAAGAAGAGGATGTAGAAGCCCTGGCATCTTAGATGTATGATCTGCTCCATCTCGTCTGCAATATTAGAGTGCTAGATCAAGATCTCCACCAGAGAGCTCGGAAATAGAGCCTCGAGGTGAAACTCGAATGTGCAAGAACTCTGGAAGAAACAGAGTAGGCTTATCAAGAGTAAATGCATCATTTTGGTCTATGGCTGAAACGCAGCGCTGTTGCCGACGCATTATGGATATGGAGAGCTTAAATAGTGATTGAGGCAACGAGACTCTTCCGCGAAATTTTGCTGGATAGATGCGCGGAAATGAGAAGGGTCTCTATTTGGACATTTCATCCGTAAGATTTTTACGAGTATTCATGGATATATCTACGGGGTGGATAGCGTGTTCGGGTCTGGGAAATGTATCAAGAGTCCTCACCGTCACCACCGTTGGGTCTTTCAACTCAAGAGTAAACGGATTAGCTCTATACCACAGCGCGCGAGTCTTAGTACTTAATTATTGCGCAATAGCATAGCGGCAAAATGCGTTCGACTCTTAGTAGCAGGCTTACTTTTAGGTCGATCTGGCTACGCGGTGGATGAATATATTACAGAGGGCTTGGTCCTGCATATGTCTAAGACCAGGAAATCACACTTATGTATATATGCTATTTAGTAATCTCCCAAGCAATAGATCTTTTTGTGCTTATTCCCTCGCGATTATATTACAAGATACAATAAAAGTATATACAGAATCTAAAAGTAGCACGGGGAACTTGAATGCGACGGTATAGCCGCAAAGAGTATAGTACTTATAGCCTAGGGAAACAATGTCTATAAAAACTATATCCAGTATTCATGACGGATCAGATGAAGCAAAGTTTGGTGGGATAGATGAGGAGTAGGAACTCAAAGGATACAAGGACGCTCGTTCTCATATATGTAATTGGTTTCTCGCGCTCAATTACAGATTGATAATATAAATTCCTCTAGCGATTCAAATCTTGTGCTTATGGAGTACAAGAGCAACGCCCAGCCACGTTAGCTGCCAGCAATACGCTCCAGAGGACCAAAGGACCGGCCGCGCGCTATGTGGCTAAGGAAAGCGCCAAACAAATTATATACCAGTCCTTTCCCCTTCGCCATTCCCCGAGCCTACACCCACCATACTAGCAGGGGAGCCCGTCCCAGGCCTCTCTGCCCAGCTATTGACCGTCCAACACCTAGAGTAGTCTCCTATAGAGCCCGCCTTATATAAGACCATAAGCCAACTATCGCATTAGAAGGTCTGCATTCTTCTTAAGATCTATCGTCATACAAACGAAGCCTATACTATAGTGGTTAAAGGCACTCGACCCTAATGCATTCCTTGACATCCTAATTAGTATATTTAGCGTTTAAATATCTAGATACCTACTTTCATCTTTAAGCTCTAATTATAGCAGATTTCTTTTTTCTTAATACGCGTTATTATATAGGAATGCATTAAAGAATAACATAAAGCTAATAGGAACGATTTATAATACTTTAATTAAGGCTAAGTAGATCCATTAGAGACTAGAAATATATTTTTAAATAGTTCTAAGGTTTAACTTACTACTAACCTACCTAGCATATATAGATATATATAAATACTAAATTTATTTATAGATTTAATTAAAGCTCCTATTATTCTATCCTATAGCGGTCCTCTTAATTGGGCTAACCAAGAGACTAAAGTGGATTTAGTATATAGGAGGAATATCAAGGAAAAAGCTAATCAAGGCTAACTTTAGGAGCTAACTAAATATTTAAAAAGCTAACTAATTTATATTAAATTTTTTAGAAGTCTAAGTTAGCTATTAATCTTTCTGATTCCTAACCTATAGGGGTAATTATAATATACTATATTATATCTAGGGTAGATTTCTTAAGTATAGGGAGAAAGAAGTAGGTTAGTATTATAAGAGAAAAGATAGTTACCTATTTTTCTAAGGTAGAAATCATAGGATACCTTAGATTTAGCTAGGCCTATTTCAAAGGTGAATAGGGCCCTATTTTTAGGCCTACCCTAACCTAACCTATTAGGCCTACCCTATTTACCGAAGCCTAGGCTAGTTAAAGAAGCACGGACTAATTAATTAACGCGTTTTATTTAGGGTGTCCCGCTCACTAGAGTGTTACATTAATTATAGAACTTTCTATATTTATTCTATTTATTGGCCCTTAGAATAATCCGACGGCCACCCTCTAAGGGCAAGGTAGAAACCTGCCCAACCCGCGGGCAAGAAGAGCCCGCCCTCCGCCCACAAAAGTGCGGGTCCGTGGGCGGCTCGCGGGCCATTATAAGGTCTAAAAACCGGTATCAAAACGTAGCCGCTGAAGTAATTAAGATTTTAGCCTAGGTCTTAAAGCCCTAGGACCTCTGGTTAGCGAGACTTTTCAAGAATTCGTTTTGCCGTGGTAAGGATTCTCTCTAGCTACAGAACCGTATATATCTTTTTGGGGCCTGGCTGGGCCCTGATACTTCAAAAATGGGGGCCCATTGCCGAAGCCTACTTCATACCTTTCTTTTACTACGAGACTTTTTCCATCAATTTTCCTATTATTGACATACTGAATTGTTCCTACGCTTCACAGAGACAGTAAGGAGCTTGTGTGTGTTGTGGATTCTTACTACTTCAACTGGTGCAACCCAACCGGAACCCCCTAAAGGACAAGCCAGGCCTTCACCAGAGCTGTCATGCTGATACACGCTTGAAAGTGGTATCAAAATGGAGCTCCAGAAGGAATTGGAGACCTCCCAGCGTCGGTTAATTGGCGTGTTTGTGGAGGAATTTCAAAAATTCGATTTACCAAGAGGTTCCAAATAAGCGTATATATAGATGGTATCATTTTGCGCCACCAGTCTACATTCCTCGTACGAGGCAGAAGTCACCGAGCCTCATAGGCTCAGGACCAGCCCTACGATCGCCGATCACAGTCAGAATTGACTCCTGATTTGATCGGACGAGGTGGACTTCGTGCGAGAAATGGATCTCGTGCGAGGCCCCACACCCTCGGCCGAAGTGGGTCTAACTGTTCTAAGCCATAGTTTTGAGGATTTGATTATATACTGCTTGAAGGGAGCTAGGAAATAATTCAGCAAACCAACTTACAAGATGTCCGACATGTACAAAAAAGACACGCCTGAGTCTCCGACGGCATTCAACATGGATGCCCAGAGAAGCAAAGCACCAACACCACGGCACGAGCGAATCAACTCCGAACAAACTACGCAGAGCGATATCAAGGCAGAACTTGGAACTAAACAAGAAGAAACCGACCCTAATGAAGCCGAACAGGTCCGCAGAGGATTTCTCCCGTGGTTATGCTTTATCCCGGCTTTGCAAGATCCCAGGCAATACAACTCAAGGATGAAGTGGTTTTTGACTTCGATCGTGGCGATGGGAGGACTAGTAGTTCCCCTGAGTAGCGGTGTCTTGTTCCCCTGCCTGATTATGATAGCCGACGATATGCACACCACCGAATCGGTTGTGAATTTATCTATTGCCTTTGGTTCGCTCGCGGTCGCCATCACGCCCTTGTGGTGGTCCCACCTGGCCGAGATATACGGCCGTCGACTGGTATATATCTTGTCATTCTTCTTGCTCGGGATTTTCAGCATTCTGGCCGCAATCAGCCCTAATATTGGCATGTTCATCGCCATGCGACTCCTCGGAAGTGCCTCCAGCGCATCCCTACAAGCCGTCAGCGCCGGTACCATTTCGGATATGTTTGAAACACACGATCGTGGTAAGGCCATGGGCGCATTCATGCTTGGACCCATGCTGGGGCCTATGTTTGCCCCCATCATCGGCGGCGCACTCGTCACCCACTGGAGTTGGCGCAGCACACAGTGGTTCATGGTAATCTATGGGTTGGCGGTGTTCGTGGTGATGGTCTTCTTCATGCCGGAGACGGCCACAAACCTCGAAGAGAATTGCCGCAAGTATCGTAATGACGCTCAAAGCCCCACCAAGAAGGTCTTCTACTTCCTCCTGAAACCTATGGAAGCTGCCAAACTCCTCCAGTACCCACCCATCCTCATTACGGTCTACTACACCAGCATCGTCTTTGCGACATATTACCTAATCTGCGTCTCTATCGAAGACACATTCGCCATGCCGCCCTACTCCTGGAGCTCTGTAATCGTCGGGGTGGCCTATATCCCGGGAGGTCTGGGTCTGTTGGTCGGCGCGATCATTGGTGGCCGCTGGCAGGATTATATTATGATGCGAACTGCTCGAAAGGAGGGCCGATTCGACGCTGAAGGGGAGCTGATCCTGCACCCGGTCGATCGTCTGGGCGAGAATTGCCTCCTTGCGGGCATTCTATTCCCGGGAGCACTGTTATGGTGGGGGTGGACGGCCTATTACCATAAGTTTTGGCTAATCCCAGTAAGTCCATTGATTTCATCTCTACCTTCTAGTTGTGAGCAGGAACTAATGTAATCTACTGTATGATAGCTCATCGGAAACTTCTTCTATGGATTTGGGGGAATGGTCCTCACCAACGTGACCATGACAATGCTGACAGAATTTACACCAAAGAAATCCACGATCGGCGTTGCAGTGAATAACCTCATGCGAAACAGTCTGTCGTGTGTGAGTGCAGTGATTGCGCAGCCGCTTTTTGATGCAATTGGCACTGGTTGGTCGTTCACGGCGGCTTGTCTTTTCTGTCTGCTCAGTGGCATTCCGTTGATCCTTCTGCGAATGAAGAGGGAGGAATGGAGTCAAAAGATGAGAGCCACTTTAGGCAGTGAGTAGGAAAGTTTCCTGAGTTTCCGGGGAAGACGAAGGGCGGTAAAAGGAAGCCTGATATCTATCTTCAAGAGTTAGATGACGATTTGTACCGTATTTCGCTATAAAAGAATCATAATCAATCTTCCACTCCGAGTATACGTGAAAGGCTAAGGTATGGCTGCTGGATGATCGAACCATTATAAAATTTCCACTATAATGATTTACAGTACTATCGGTTCATGCGTTTTGAAAGGTTTATTGAATATTTCGCTTATGCTCACAAACCTTTGAAAGCCACCTTGTCACCAAAAATGGTGCCGTGGAGAGAAGCACTTGCGTGATACCATCACAATTTGACTCTATATTGGTGCATTTGCAGTACAAGCTGTAGTACTAGACACTGCCCAACTAAGCGAAGACAAGTGTCCTCTTAACAGGGTCTAGCTCAAACAGTTGATTAACATTGCATCTTGATTTGAATGGACGTGAAGAACATGCGAGGCTCCCAAAGCCGGACAATTTGATTACAGATTATTGAACATGCTACCACGAGAGTTTCCCACACACCCTTTGCCATCTCACAGGTTTCTTGGCTTCATCTGGATATTAGCAAGATACAGGGCAAAAAAGCTTGACTGATCCGTCTTAAACTGAGACCCGTCCTTCGTCTGTCCCTCCAGATCCACATCATACTGTCGAAATAACGCAGTCAGAATACCACGAACCATTTTACCACCTAGGTGAACACCTAGACACTTGCGGGAGCCATATCCGAAGGTGGATAAGTTGTACTTCAGTTCCCTTGCACTGAGGCCGTCGAAGCGCTCTGGTCGGTATTCCTCTGTATCGGGACCCCAGTAGGGGTTGTTGATATTGATAGCGTGTGCGTCAATGACAATGCTAGTCTGTATACAATCGTGGGTTAAATTGTATTCGAGAAAGGGAATGGGTCAAGCAATGATGAGAATGCTACTTACATTGGCCGGAATGTGATACCCTCCTAGCACTTTGTCTTCAGAACAACGACCCGCAAGGGAAAAGGCTAGTAAAGCAGGCCAGATTAGTGGCGGTATTTCAAAATTGTCAGACAGACATGGGTGAAGGAAAAGCTCACCAGGAATCGGCTCCAGCCGGATGGACTCAAGAAAACACCAGTGCATGAAAGTATCCTGTCGCTTGACATAGTCGGCCAAGTTCTCCTTGTGGTCATCGATTTCTTGCTGTAACTTCTTCTGGATCCGCTTGTCCTCGGCAATATGTAGTATGCAACCCGTGATGACGGACGTTGTAACATCCAGGTTTGCAAAGATTGACTCAGTGAACGTGTGAATTAGCTGGTCTTCTGTCATCTCGCCCTTTCGGATATTTTCCCACAGACTGATTATTGGAAGTTCGGTTTCTGTCGCCTTTTGTTTGACAACATCCCGGTTGAATGTACGCCAACGCTGATCAAATTCCCGGATCAGCTTCCACGAGTCCCACGAGTACATCCATTTTAAGGCCCGGCTACGTGTGAGGCCTTGCTCCACGGTCCAGGTGGAGAGGACAAGGAAAATCTGGCCAATTGCCCAGACTTCATCTTTCTGGGCTTGAGTCAAGGGTCCATAGAATGTCTCCATTTGCGTGAAAAAAGGATACCCTTGCACGGCTTGGTATGCATTGACGATGGTCTTCTCTTTGGTGGGATCCAGAGTCTGTGTGGGGAGTGTCTGCACATGCTCGATTGCCCGCTGGAGCACCATTGGGGTGAGCTTTGTCGAGTTTGAGAAGTTGACATAGGGGTCCAGCAGCTTGCGCAAGATCTTCCAGTCGTGACCATTGATCAGCCCAACGGCGTGACCCATGGCGTAATTGAACAGCGCTCCGGATGGCTCATAGGAGAACTTGCTGTGCTCTCCCTTCCCGGAAAACCATGCTTCGACGTCTTTGGGATCAGTGATGACGCTGAAGAAATGGAATATCAGTATTGAATTAATTATCGAATGCGGACATGGGAAAATGCACATTTCAGGCCACACGCCGTTCCAAACTCGGTAGATCGATCCATATTCTGATCTCCACTTGGCACTCATCTGAGAGGGGGCGATGATTTTGCTCCTTGCCTGGCCTTGAGGCAGAACATATTCAGGACCGGGCATCTGCTTCTTTTCCCCGTTGATAGGCTTCACAGGCGATCTGGCGATATAGATAGACTGTTTCCATGATAAGCGTCCGATCCTACCTTCTTGCTAGTTTAGAGCCAAGAAAATCGCTTACATTCAGGTAAAGCGTGACAAAGCGACCACCGAAGAAGTATGCAATGAGGAGAGGCAACGAGACAAACAGGACGAGCCATTGTAGTGTGGGGAGGTCCACCGAAAGAGTCTTTGAAAAAGCCATGGGGTATATAGAGTACTGAAATGACAATGTTCAAGGTCCTAGCTTAGCATTGACGGAATGTGTGTTAATATATAAAGAATTCGGCACCGGGCTTATTTTGGAGCACGAGTTCATCAAGCCTCTTGACAAAAGCACAAGTTTGCCGTGCCGAGTTTATGCGCCGAGAATAGATGCCCATGATTTCATCCCCAATAGAGAATGCCAAGCCGGTAGGAGAAGAGTACTTTCCTTTCCTGCCTTGGTAGATGTCCTACCTCATGTGAGTGCTTACATTGTACGTTTTCCCGTAAATATCGAGTTACACCTCAACATATCCGGCTCACATCCGACGCGTCCATTGAATTCAATCCATTCGTTGACTGCCATCTAAAGTCTGGCCCCAAAAGCACAGAAACAAACCAGGCTATTTCTTACTCATCTCCCACAAAAGAGATAAGAACACTAACCTTCACCTCAAGCCCAGCAATGAACTACTATGCCACTCCAGAAAAGCCCATCGAATCCAAAGCGGTCAAGTCCCCAAGATCAAAGTCTTCCAGATTGACCAATCCCATGAAATCCGCCGTATCAAAGTCCAACCCCGCTGAGCCCATAGGAGAAGCAGCAAAGGATCGCAACATTATAGAGCGAGGATTACCAGATGAACCGGGCCCTGGAGGCTGATGGGTAACGTCGGCAGAAGCGAGACCCTGCTGAAAACGAATTTGATTTACCAGCCAAATGATTGCGGGCCATGCGCCCGTGGTATGTTGGCTCCGGATCTCGTAGATGGCGTTCGCTAACTGAAAACCTCGCTGGCGGAGATCAGCCCACTCTAGAGATTGGAAGCCAGGGCTACGAATCTCGACGAGCACGTAGAGAATCAGGTAGAAGCCGGCGTGGGAGGCTATATGCCATTGAAAGGGTTCGCACACCTTGCTAGAGGTGATGTTACACCAATTCTCTACGGTTGTGGCGGCATCTACGAATATCCTTGACGATGGATGCTGTCAGCGGAATCATTTCTATTCTCCCTTTTTTATAAAATAATGGAAAAAAGCAGGGTTAGGGGAGGGGTAATGAAGAGCTCACTTTCTTCTCATTGCGGGACTGATAATCTTTTCGCGATCTTGTCGAGAGAGTTGAATCCAGAACATGACCCAGAACTTGGATTTCAAGTGGTTGCTCAGATCCAAGGCCATTGATTGCATACTCACCCTCTTATCACAGTATCGAACGAGGTCATCCAAAATACTCTCAAACTCGCTGGCCAGAGTCTCAGCCATGTTCAACAAGCCCTGGAGCTCTGCTGATGCTTCAACTTCGCCTACGGGGTGGCGGAGGGTGGGGCGTAATCGCTTTCGTGATGCATGGGTCATTTGGATAATGCGTCCGTAATATTGAGCAGCGGTGATTCGCAGGAGATATATGGTCATATCGGTGAATTTGGGGGCATCCGTTAGTCCGGCCGAGGGCGCTACTCCTTGGATCAGATCGACATCATCCAGGCTGACGGGTCGACGCGTATCGAAGTCCGCCTCGTGAATTGAAGGCGCAAACCCATGATCCTCTGCAGCGTGAAAATCCAAGTGACAGATTTGCGCCCACAAGCGACGACGTAGCTCTACCTGCACGACGTCGACGGTCCCCAGTGGTAGAGCTAGAGGGTCCCGGTGGAGCCCCTGGACCGTCGCCATTCGAATGGCCAGCCCAGTCAAGGGCCACACCTTCCCCATATCATCTTCCCGATATTGCGCGGTCTATGCAGTTGAAATGGATTACTTAGCTCAATTCAGCGCAAAATTTGGGGCGGTCTTTTTGCTTTCCTTCCGAGACTTACCAAGAAGATCACAAATGCTTGTAAAACCTCGAAGACTCTCGAGGTCATGAATTTCTGTCGTTTCAGAAGGACTTCTGTCCCCGTTCGGTATCGATTTAAGAGGTAGGACTTGTCTGTGCCGAACACGGTGATTGTGTCGGTATCCTTCATGGTATTGACAGCCGCGTAGAAGATGGACATGGCTAGCGGCTCGAAAACATCCATATTATTCGGAGGAAAAGTTGTACTACCGTCAGTCCCGGTCATGACGGGTGTGTGATCATTCTCTAGGGAGTAATGGGAGTGAACAAATGCATCAAAGCGACGGGCCAAACTCGGACGATGAACAATTCTGACAATTGGGTCCACATTAGCCAGGAAAACATTCAGGAGTAGATAGCAATCATTCCGTGTATCGGGCCAGTAGGTGGCCGCGCTAGCCGGAGAAAAATCAGCATCCCAGATGACATCTTCGAGGCTTTCCTCGGGCGAGGATTTCTGAGATTCCGCGAGAACCGATTGTATGTCTTGAAGCTAACTTGCTCAGTATCTCTCTTCATTTGCATGAGCGCAAGCTTCATAGACAATGAAAAAGCATACCTCGGCTGCCATCCAGGCCCAGTGCTTTCCGGAGATAAAGTGGGGGACCCCGTTATCGAGAATTAGTGCATCTTCGTGCGGTCGCGGCTGTGGGGTTGGCACATTGTGGGGTGCGGGCGTCGATCGCGTAGGAGTGAAAGAGTCCAGCGACGCTGGACAATGCTCTGATGCTAGAGATGCCCTCGCTTGTGCCATGAAATTACCAAGACGCTGCAGACCTGGGTTAATTCGGGCCAGGGTGGATGAAGACACTCTGGAGGCACTGCTGGACTTGCTGATCCGGCTCGACTCCGAGGCCATTCCTGGCGACTGAGGCTTTGACACATAGGAACAGGCATAGTCTCCTCGCTCACAAACCAAGCAGTGGGGTTGTCGTCGGTCACATTTGACTTTGCGACTGCGACACGGCAGACAAGAAGTAATGGGACGAGAGAAGCAACTCAGGGCTGGAGACGGAGCGAATTCCAAAGGAGATGACTGGGTGGATGAGGAGTGAAGGGAGGAAGCATACATGACGATTAAAGGAGAGGAAAAATGAGATGCGGCATGGTATGATGAAATAAATGCGCTGGTCTAGGCTAGTATTAAACCAATTACTAACTATTAGTGGCAGCAGCTACCCCTAGTGGTTGAGCTTGGAGTAGCAATGTCTCGAGTTTCATTGGATGTTGCAGAGCCCTGGGCTTCAGGGCTATAAACGAATCTGCTTCCGATCGAAAGCTTTTTCTCCTTGATGTTTCCTGCAGATTCGGACGAAAAATTATTCAAATTGTAGGTAATGGGGGCCAATTACTGCCTCTAGGAACAGCAGCTACTAAGCGCTTGTATTACCAAGACATTACGGCCCCATTCGGACCTATTCCGCTCGGCTGTTAGGTTTTACGGCTGTACTGTATGAAAAGAACGGTAAGTTACAGAGATTACTCACAGGCATTACGTGTCCACCTAATTGCGTTATGTCTCATCAGACTATCTTGAAATATCATTAGTGAGGACCCAGAAGACCGCATGAGTGGGGGGTAAGCACCATTGGCTCGTACGAAGGGATTCAGATGGCGTTCCAAGTGGCCTCACGACTCGGCCGATGCCAATGTTGGGTGTTCCTTGTGGTGAATCCTTCGCCAGTGCTAGGTCGGCGTAGATGTGTCCCACAGTGTAAATAGAACGAGATCACCCATGAGATTCAAGAGCGATCATTACTTATACTGAAATCAGGTATACCTCTTCTTCTTTCAACATGACGGATTTTTTTACTCGTCCTCCGAGCCCACATAGCCGATTACGCAAAGCTTGCAACTTCTGTCATCAGTCAAAGGTGAATCTGGTGTGGATTGTATATTCAATCTGACATGGCTAACGTCTCCCAACTATCAGGTGAAATGTACAGGTGATAGCCCATGTGCTAGATGTACAGAGCTTGACATACCCTGCCGATACGGATATGTGGTTCGAACAGGCAAACCAAAAGGATCCCGCAACAAGAAAACTCTCGAAAAGGCACAGCAGTTACGACAAGAAGCCACGATGAAAGCCCGTCCACTTCATGTACAGCCACATGAACAAGTTAGCAGCAGCAACAGCAGCACGAGTAGTGCAATCAGCGAGAGGGACTGCTTGGGAGCTGAGATGAGCGCCGGAGATGACATGCTGATGCCATGGGACCTGGACAGCAAGTGGACTAGAATTCCTGGTGTAGATGGGACCCGAAAACATAGCGAAATTGGACGAAACCCCGATGAACCAATGGGATGGGAACATACGGACGAGCTCCTTCAACTTCCTCCTCTTTCCGGCACTGATCTCACATTCCTTACAAACCCCCTACTACTCAACGCCAACCAATATGATCTACCTGCTCCAGATGAATTCACTCTTAGCTTTACGAGCATCGCTTCACAACAACGCGCGTACGTCAGCTATCTCCTAGAGAGCATGGCGCAATTGGACAGCTTGATATTAGATCCGTGCGAGCTGGGCCGTTTCGATCGGATAATGCAAGTGATCAACAATGTCTGGGCGACTATTCGAGCCATTCTACAGTGCGATGGTAGCAAACCCCCTTCTCAATTGTTTTCTTCCATGTTGTCGTGTATTCGGTTGGCCTGTGGCTGGTTTCAGTCTAGAGCATCTTCAAAACAGCGAGAAGCTTCGGTATCATGTTCCCCGCCCTCCGTGAACGGCATTGATATTCGATATGGCGAGTATAAGATTCCCCATACGCAGGTCCACGTGATGCACGGACTGCTGATCCACATGGCGGTCCAGGATGGGATCGATCTTCTAAGAGGAATACGTTGCATGTTGGAGAAGGAAGCTTTGACACTTGGTATTCAGGCCAGTGTAGCATCGCTCACACCAGTGGATGTGAATTACTTTGTATCCGTTCTGGGTCACTGTGAAGAAGAGATGATGAGGATCTTGCATGTAGGAAGAGACCTATTGACGATGGATTCGACCTTGCCGGATGTAGCTGGGATAGAGGGAGAAGATTTCATGTTTGAGTAAAAGGGTCCATAAAAGACTGTTTCATTCTAAATTTGTTCCAAAAGAATATTACCAAGGCAAAGATCTTCTCAAACACCTCATTCTTGGCTCCTGGGCTAATGAGCGGGTCTTAGTTCGGGGTGTTACCGCATAGTGGATCCCGGCTGTCTAGACTATTACAAAAAATTTCGGCCGGGGCCAGATGGTTTGAAGGCCTAGTCTAGCCTACTCATCGGGCCAGCCACGTCTTTTGCCCCACGTGCCTTGTACCGACAATCTTGTTTACCAGGGGAATTACAGGCGGTTGGAGGCCTTACTGCAGGGCTGCTTACACCGTACAATGCTCATAGTGCCACGTGGTGGAGAAAGGAATACTTTCGGGAAAATCTTTCAAGCGCCAAGACAAAGGCCACCTGCAGGTGAGTTTCGGGTATCACTGCCCGCAATGTGTAAAGGTTGCACCGGCCGTATTCGGCCCCACCTTATGCGCCAGATCGCGTGGGGAGTTGGTCTTTACCCGGTTGCAACATCCATGATAATTACTATTACAAACCTTATGCTGAAATGGGGAATACCAACCATTCAAGTTGGTTCATCCTAATTGGTTCGCAATCCATACTATTTCAGCAGTGAGGCCTTACTAGATGCACCTACCTTCAGTTAGCCACTCAGCGCCAGTCAGCAGTGATCCAATCAAACCGCCCCTGTGGACATGTGGCTTTCGGGGACCACGTCACGCATCGGCCCGCGTGAATCTTGGTGATCAAATTCGCACGGTCTTGCCCCTTGGATTCTTTTAGGTCCTATTTATCCGGCGATGTATGTATCGAATGTAGTTCGTGTGAGACTGCAACATATTACCCATTACGGATCAAGTGGAGAAACGAGAACCAATCCCCGCGGATTTCAATTCCCATCGCCGCAAATATAGTCTGTTAAAGAAGGCTTTCCGACTGATGAATTCACTGATAAATTCACTGATAAATTCATATACACTGACTGTCTGAAGTTGACGAATGATACTGAGTACGAGAGGCTTAGGTAGCCGAGGTGATTTTTGAATGTCGAAGCCGGGCGAATTCCATATAACGTGAATATAAGAAGAGAGGAGTCTAGCAAAATGAAGTAAAGACCAGCCAAATTTACTGGAAACCAGGATCTTGGAAGTATGGCAATCAGGTAGATGAAAAGAAAGATAGAAAAGAAAAGAAATAGATGCAAGGAAGAAAGGAAACGAAAAAAAACAGGGGAAGTAAGATTGGGGCGAAGAAAAAGGAAAAAGAGCAAACCAAAATTTGACAAAGCAAGGACCCTTAAGCCCTTATTAAACTGCAGGTGAGTAGACCTTAGGACAATAGTAGGCTGTCACATACGGACCCTTATCTTTCTTGTAGGAGTAAGAGACATATGTATGGGTCCCCAGCTCTGTGTCAAGTGAGTGTGAAGGACTAGTTACAAGGCGATTGATTAGTAGCAGCTCCCTAGTGGTAAAGCATTATTAAACAAGAAACTCACAATCTGGCTTGAAGGTCTTTTGGATATGATTCAGCGAGACTATTCCACCCTTGACGACGGAAATACGTCGACAAACCCTGTGCCACTGCCATGTCATTCTTGCCATAATGTCTGACAGGGATATAAATCTGAGGCTCCGGATAAATCTTGCCTGGGCGGATATGGATATTGTAGAGGAAGCCGGCGGTACGGTGAGTCTTGCTTGGTAACGGATTTTCATCCTTGTAATTTTCAGGCACATCCAGCAGGAGGGGCCAAAGCTCACGAAGAATCCGTATACCGGCGATGGTAGTTTCATCCTTCAAACGACCACCAAGGGTGTACACATCAAGCACCTGGCTCAGGGAGGTGTGGGGCGCTCGCAGGTACAGCTTGATTCGGGATTTGTGTGGGTCGGCACAATCCAGAGCCACAGCCTCTGCCCGCACTTCTGGGTGCGACGCCATATATGCCTCGATCAGGGCTAGGGCTGGAGCAAGTGGGGCTTCCACGCGGTCGAGTTTCAAAATAGCGTCGAATATCAAGCGGCTTGGGGAGATGCCCGTTTCGACTGATTTTAGCAACGGCATGATATAAGCCTGCATCGGGGCTTGGCCTTCGCAAAAGCCGAAAGCGAACATGTTTTGAGTCTGGTGCTCATGGGATGGGAATTTGGCCAAGACGGCTGGCATATGCTCGGGGGCGACTAGAAGTTCCTGAGCAAAGTGCTGGTACCAGGTGAGATTGATGCCGAGCCACTCTTCCTTCTTAAGTGTATTCAGAAACCTTTGGCTTGCTAGCCGGTTTGAGGGATCCCGCTCAGTGCCGGCTAGATCACAGATTGGCTCGAAGCCTAAGCGAACGGTGGCCTTGCTGTCATGGAAATTGACACTGACCTCGAGGGGAGAGTGGTCGTCGGTCATGAAAGAGCGCCAGTGGGGCTGTCCATTGGCCTTGGGACGAGGGCCGAGTCCCGGGAGAATGTAGCGATAAATGAAAATCAAGTGCTGGTATTGATGAGCGATGTCGTACTCGGATTTTGTCATGAGGTCCTGGATGGTTGGAGCCACAACTTCCCACCAGAAGTATTGATCTTCATTGGGAAATTGAAGTCCATCACTAAGGATGCGATATGGCGAGTTCTGTAAGACCCACTGAGTATCCTTCAAAGTCACTTCGTCGACGGATACTATGGCTTCGGTCGCCTTGATATCCTTGTGGGTGAAGGTTGTCGCGGCCTGTGGGGTAACGGACAACATTCTGGTCTCTTTGTGGTTTAATCTTTATTTTTTGGAGCCGGTTCAAAACGGTGACTGGAGAGGATCGTGTTCCCAGTTATATTTGATTGTCTGAAAGTTATAGGTACTCTTTGGTAGAGCATGTACTTATAGATGCATGGTTTATATTGAAAGTTCCCAGCCGGGCCCTAGTCTCGGGGCTATTGTATGTAAAACTCGCCCCGAAATTTCCATCCGAACATCCAGATGTGATGTGATCTTCAGACTGCACTAAACTCGGATCAGAACGCAAGCCTCATCTTGCGGGGTGAGGCTCGAGCTGCCCGAGAATGGCCTGCCGGGCTTTCGCGCCGATCCAACCCAATAATTCCAATACGAAACATTCCTTCGTATTCGGACTTGTAGTTTAAATGGATCGTTCATGTCATTCTATGCATTCAATTCCCCTGTTTATAAATAGAGGTGTGCGACCAGCATAATCTCATCACCAACCTCACACCAAGTCATCGACTCTGTTCATTACTTCGCACAATGTTGAACAATGGGGAGATCGACTTGATATCGCTGTTCCAATCATGGGCTGCTCTACACCCAGATTCCGTTGCAATGGAAGATTGCACGCAGTCCGTCACAAACCCACCGAGAGTGACATACCGAGAGTTGGACGAGTGTTCGAATCGATTTGCTCGGAAACTAAAACACAATGGCATTCGATACGGAGATGCCGTTCCTTTGCTTTCTCGCCGCAGCCCAGAGGCTATCATCGCGATATTAGCCATCCTGAAGTGTGGAGCGTGTTATGTTCCCATGGATGCAGACACCTGGGCGCAAGATCGAATACAAATGACGCTGCAACAAATCCAACCACGTTTAGTCGTCTCGACCAATTCAGCACACTCTACCTTTCCGACGAGTCTCTGGAAGGTACTAGATATGCCCTCTTGGAAAGAAGTGCTTGATTCACCCTTTGCTCTGGAGCATCAGACCAATACCTGGGAGGACGTTTCTCAACATGTATCTCAGCTTGATCGGCTGGCGTATATAATTTTCACCTCCGGTACTACGGGAAAGCCGAAGGGAGTTATGGTGTCTATGCGATCGATTACTGCATATTGCAGGGAATGTGACCCTAATCTTCCTTTCAATCTAGCTTGTAATCCCAATTCTCGCGTGCTATGCGTGGTATCCATTGCGTTCGATGGTGAGCTTTCCTTTCTTCTATGTTTAGACACAACTAATGGGATTAACTAGCATGTGTCGGCGTCATCTTCAGTTCCATGACCAGTGGTGGCACATTGGTACTCGCCAATCCGTCTACCTTCACAGCCGCTGCCAAATTATGCTCCGTGCTCCCACTCACACCCAGCATTCTCTCATCTCTGGACCCGAATGATGGATTTGAAAACATCAAAGCTATCTACATGGGGGGTGAGTCCCCCTCGCCAGCATTAATTGAAGCCTGGTCCGGGCCAGGCCGTCGCATATTCAATGCATATGGCCCAACCGAGGCCACTTGTGCCACCCTGCTGAGTGAGCTGTTTCCAGGGGGGCCCATTACTGTCGGTTGGCCGATTTGGTACAGTAAAATTATTTTGGTGGATTCGGATGGAAGGACCACTAAGGAAGAGGGTGAGATCTATATTGGAGGTGATGGTCTCGCAGTTGGATACTATGGCAACGAAGAAGCCACAGGCAAGGCGTTCGTGATCCACGACGGGGAAAGGTTTTACAAAACAGGAGATTTGGCTCGTCTCACCGATGATGGCTTCGTTTTCAGAGGACGAATGGACAGCATGGTGAAGAACCGTGGCTTTTTGGTTTCACTGGAGGCCGAGGTAGAGCCTGCTATCCTCAGCTGTCCAGGGCTTACGGGAGCTGTGGCGATGAAGATTGAGAATTCCCTTGTGGCTTTTATCTCGCCAGCCGTCCATTCGAATAGAGTGAGGAAACACCTCAATGACAATTTTTCGACATTTCTCGTACCTGATACAATCTACGCGCTGGATGAATTCCCCCAAACAGCCAACGGCAAGACCGACCGCAAGCAGCTTCAGTCATTTCATCAAGCCAGGTTGACCGATTCGAATATGGATTCAGCTGTATCACCCTATTCCAGCCATTCACTGTCCCCATTGGAGGCCGCAAAAAAGGCCTTTGCCCTTATTTTGCGCCTACCAGAGCCTTCTACTGGCCCCGACACTTCATTCCTGCAAAATGGAGGCCATTCTCTTAGTGCAGTGCGTCTTGTCTCAGCCCTCCGCAAATTAGGTTTTGCGACATCTGTCACCGAGATCCTTGCAAGGGATACTGTAGATGCAGTTGCCAAGGCCCTCACGCCGCTCATGAAGACTTTTTCCGCTTCGTTAACTTCGAACAAGGGCAACGCGCCCATGACGGATCTTCAACTACGCATGTTGCGGGCAACAATGCAATCTCCAGTTTTGCATTACATCAAAATTGGAATGACATTTGAACACAGGGGTACTCACGCGATATCCAAAACGTTGCGGCGTGTATGGAACACTATTTACCAGACACATGAAATACTTCGAACAACCTTCGATCTCTCAGTGGAAAATGGCGTCCAAGTGATTGATGAGAGTTTTCATCTTGATTGGGACGAAAGCGTTGTCTCGGAAGAACATTGGGATAACGTGTGTGCAGAGGCGATAGATATGAATCGTTGGGACCAGAGCTCGTCCCACGACACAAGGCCTTTATCATCCACACATCTCATCATCATTCCTAGCTATCGAACTCGCCTTATCTGGACTGTACACCATAGCTTGATTGACGGTTGGTCGGCGGCAAAGCTGCTTGGGGACTTGACAACTTTACTAAACGACGGACAGCTCCCCCAGGACTATCCTCAGTTTGGTGATGCTGCCCGGTTGGTCCATGAACTGACCATGGAATCGGATAAACAGGCTTTCCAGTACTGGCGATCGATAGCCCAGGGGTACTTTCCAGCAAAGAAAATCCTCCTTGCTTATCCTCATGACAACAAGTCGCTGGCCAAGGTTTCTGCCCAGGCTGACGTACACGAGTCGCTTGGTCTCCCAGTGACCGCATTGGAGGGGGCTGCGATATACTTTGGCGTTACTTCATCGACAATCATGTATGCTGCGTGGGCACTGCTACTATCTCGATACTGCGACTCAGAAAAGATCGCCCTGGGGGCAGTGGTTGCTGGCCGAACTCTACCGGTTGATGGTATTGAGGATGTTGTGGGACCTCTTATTAACACGTTACCGTTGTGTGTTGATACAAACCAAAGTGATGTTGGTACCCTACTGAACGCTGTCTCGCAATCTCTTTACGGGCTGCTAGATGTGCAATACTCCACGCACGCGCTTATCCAAGAGGCCTGTGCCACCAAGAGCAGTGAGCTCTTTGAAACTGTCTTGGCAATCCAGTACGACTTTCCTACTTTCGGCCCCACAGGCAAGAGTGAGATGGTTCCAACGGAGGTCGAATTTCGAGAGTCGACCGAGTTGCCATTGACCGTGTTGGTCAACGAAGTCGATGGAGTTCTCGAAACGAGACTGTTGTACTCTTGTCACTCTTACGACCGAGATCAGGCGACCAAAATTCTCCAGCAATTTCATAGTCTTGTCCACGCTATTGTGCAGACAGACTCACAAGGTTCGCTTGACGAGATCAATTCACACACTTTCGACGGCTGTGATGAGCCGTGTGCTCGGTTGACAGACACCCCATCCAAAAAGGAGGTAACGGACGCTGACTCTGAAAATTTCGATGGGCCACATACAATTCAGTTGGCGATTCAAGATTCCATCAGTCGCTTCCCGGATTTTTGTGCTGTAGCGACAGCCTGCAGATCCCTCTCATATCATCAACTGGACTGTGTTATGAACATTGTCGCTTCTCAGATCAACGAAGTCACTGCCCCAGGAGATGTGGTGGGAATCATCAGCGACGGATCTATTGAATGGCTAGTGGCCATTCTCGCCGTTATCCAGTCGGGCTGCACATACTGTCCAATTGATGTAAAGCTTCCCAAGGCGCGGCAACACTACATGATTAATTCAACTTCCGTCAAGCTTGTTTTATTGCCGCATGCTAGCATGCGTTCTGAATACGCCTTTCTGGGAGATGTCAAGGTGTGGGACATTGAGAGCCTGGTCACGCAGAAGGCCGCTCGTAAAAACTACGGATATCGTGCCGTTGAGGAGAGCGATATCGCAGTAATCATATTCACATCAGGAAGCAAGGGTGTTCCCAAAGCTGTGCAGCTTACCCATAAGGGTATCATGTCTTTGCTTTCTTCTCCGGAAGGAAGATTATACTCCAAGCCCGGGTGGCGCATTGCACAGACATTGTCGCTCGGCTTTGACTGCTGCGTGCTTGAAGTCTTTTCAGCCATCGGCTTTGGAGGTACGCTTGTCTTAAAGAATATTGATGATCCGCTTGCACACCTTAGCATAGTCGATGCGACAGTCGCGACTCCCTCTCTCCTAGCGACTTTGAGTCCCGAAAACTATCGAAACTTGCAGGTAGTTTTTCTTTTGGGAGAGGCACTTCACCAGAACCTCGTCGATCGATGGCGCCCGGGTAGGATAGTCCAAAACTGCTATGGTCCGGCAGAATGTACTCTTTTTGTCACCTACAAACGCTTCGATGAAGCTGATGAACGGGTGAGCATCGGCAAGCCTGTGGGCCGAATGCGCTGCTATCTCCTCGACAAGAAGCAACGGCGCGTTCCGCTGGGAGTCAAGGGTGAGATCTACATCTCCGGGGTCCAGGTCACTCCCGGATATCGAAATGATGCGGTTCAGTCAGCAGCTGCGTTTCTGCCTGATCCTTTTACCCGGGGATGTATGATGTTCAAAACCGGTGACATGGGACGTCTGTTGCGGGATGGGAACATCGAATACATTGGAAGAGAAGATGACCTTTTCAAAATCCGTGGCTTTCGGGTTGACCTGGGTGACATTGAAGCTTCTATCCTGGTACTTGCCCCAGACGTGCAAAACATAGCTGTCGTGGTGCCCCCTGCAGCGGACCTTCTCCTCGCTTTTGTCACTCCAATGTCTGTCAACATTTCTGTGCTGCAGGAGAGGATCAAAAGAAACCTTCCACCCCATATGATTCCAGCGCGCATAACGGCTCTAGCTGATCTGCCTTTATCACCAAATCATAAAGTCGACCGTAAGCAATTGGCATCTATGAGCATACCTTCAGCACGTGCTATTGTACCACTAGCGACTCCTACGGAGAAGCTTGTCGCGCGCATCTGGCGAGATGTCCTTGGAGAGTCCCCCTTGGCGCATGATATCAGTGCTTCCGATCATTTCCTGACTATTGGAGGCCATTCACTGCTGCAAATCCGAGTGGCACAGCGCCTGGGCCAAACATTTAACATTCCTTTTCCTTTGGTGCTGGTCATTCGACATCCAACCCTCCAAGACTTGAGTCGAGCAGTTGACAACGAGGTTCTCGGTCAGCGTAAGCGCAAAGCAAAAGATAGCTTCCTTTTGATCAAGCCTTCATCAAGGGCAGTACGCTTGCCTGTATCATTCTTGGAAGAAGAATTACTGGTAAACGACCTTGTTTCCGGATCTTCACCCGCAATGAATATTATCTTCGCGACCGAATTCAACAAGCTAGTGTGGGTTGAGGTCCTGGACCAGGCATTCAAGGAATGCGTCAAGGAGCGTGAGATTTTTCTGTCGCGCTATGTGCAGATTGAAGGCAAATATGCCCGGACTCTCGTTCCCACCCCAGCTTCCATCCACCGATTCACTTCGGCAGAGCTATCCTTCGATGAATTCTTAGACGCTGCCAAGAACTACCATTTCAGCCTTGAAAAGGAACAGCCTGTCCAAGCTTATCTATACCAACATTCTACAGGCAAGGTGACACTGGTCATTCTCATGTCCCATCTAATCGGCGACGCCATCACAATTAGCGGATTCATCAAGTCGTTCTCGACCCGGTACAACGCGTTTCAAAATCGAGACCCTTATAACCCAGCCTTCCACCTCGCAGACCTGAGGGGAAAACGCACATACATTGACTGGACAGCATGGTCAATGCCGCAAGAGAAAATCCCAGACGAAGTATCCTCCTTCTGGGAGAAATACCTTGCTAGTCCACCTCTACACGCCCGTTTGAACAAGTTCCATCGGCCAAGGTCCTACAATGGTGGATATCAGTCATGGAAAATCCCGTCTTCTTGTTCTCAGTCTCTTCTTGAAATCTGCACCGACATGTCCATAAGCCCTCATCAGCTCATGCTCGCTGCAGTGGCGATGACAACCCAGAGTCTTCGCCCCAGTCAAGACATCATTATGATGGCCCCATACTCACTTCGCAACGAACCTGGGACCGAGAACCTTGCAGGCTGCCTCTTAGATCGTGTACTCATTCGCGTGCGGTGGGAAAAAGCATATACTCTCCGCGAGTTTCTCCAGTCTGTCCACCAAGCCTCTCAATCAGCCATGGCCCACTTCGTCCCATGTTCAGCCCTCTTCAAATCCCTCCAGCTGCAACCTTCTCTCACCGATTCCCTCGCAGAGATTATGGTGACTTTTCACTCCAAGACAAGTCTCGATAATCCGTTAGACTTTGGCCAGACACTCACCATCCGACCAACCGGCGCCAAATTCCCTCTCTTATTCGAATTTTTCCAAAGCAATGAGGATCAAAATCAAATCTCCATGTTTCTCGAGTATGACGAGGCGATCCTCACCTCCCACGAGAGCGAATGCCTGGTTTCTGCATTCCAACTAGTCTTAACACTCATAGCTGAGCACAAGAACATTGATGAGATTGTGTCGACTGTTTCAAATACTTCCGAGGATGTCCACCCTGTGGTCATTCATGATACTTCGACGAAGTCAGAATCTGATCGGGCTTCGGATCCCAGCTCCTCCGGGACACAGCCACATTATGTGGAAGCTATCCGCGAGGCCTTTGCAACATGTCTTGATATAAATATGGACAGTGTCGACCCGGAATCGTCTTTCTTTGACCTGGGAGCGTCCTCAATTGATGCGGTGAAACTAGTGTGGTTGCTAGCTGAGAAGGATATCTGTATTACTGCTCGTCAGGTACTGTTAGAACGATCTCCTGCTCGCCTTGACCGGGTGCTTCGGTCTTGAGAATTTTCATCATCGGATTTGTGTCTTCAAGGATTCATCCAATTGATACATATATTTATAGCTCTGCCTCCCTTATAGTTTCATATGATGAAGGCTCTCTGTCTCATCCCTAGAACGTTGTACATGATTAGCTTAAGTAATTCTTTTATGAACTTATGCCACGACCTTAGTAAAAGGTCTAACGTAAAGTAGATAGGTAAGGCTTGTACGAAAATATCAATAAGGATTATTTGGAAACATATTACCTAAAAGATATCGTCTATTACAAAATAATATTTATAAGAAGTAGATTACATTTTCTCAAGTTGCGCCGGTACCAAGAACGTTGGTTCTGGTATGAAAAATCCGACTCATCCTTACAGCATGTACAAGAGATTTGGGCATCTTATTGACAAGTTGAGTCGCGGACAGTTGCCAAAGCACTGGTGAGCGATCAACTAGTCGTGAGACTGAGCCTTCAATCTCTGCCTGTCAAAAGATGTCGGGTTCAGGCCAAACGCTATTGATCCATCAAATAATATCGGGGCTCATCTCGTCCTTCATTTTGAATGATTGCTGCCGCATGGTGTTTAATACATCTGGTATTATATTATATACGGTCTGGCCTGCTACGCGATGGAGGTATAGCTAGAGTTCAAAAGAATTAGTTCCCCACTGCCAAGACCCAACGCCAAGCACTAATCACCTAACCATTTCCAAGTTGGATACGCTCTTTCTGCTCCTTTTTCCATATAATTTTGTCCCCATAGGAACATTTCATCATGTGACTCAACAATGATTATAATCATTGGCTAAGAGAGATTAAATCTTGCATCCACCGCAGCGAGGAGCCAGTGGATGACTCGAAACTTGCCACTCGCGGCTAGCGACACTTTCTCCATTAAGAATGGACAATCGGCGGCGATGAAGTTTAAAACACATCAAAACCTGTTCGATAGATGACTAAATGCCAGTCCAGAGTTCCGCGATGGAGATAGTAACTTATATCAAAACACCATGTTATATGGAAAACAATAGAATCAAGGAAAGGTAGCTACGTTATCTTACATCAGCTTACGTCACGTTACTTACTTCGGTCTACGAAATAACTGAGGGGGGGGGTAAGGTTGAAATTTTGACCTTCACCCTTTATTCCTTCTCGCAAGAAGAAATTGGCATTTTCAGGCGGTATTACATTCGGAAAGGCCTCACTAAGATGTCTGAAGCCCCTGAGAGCCAGCCCGTGAAATTCACCATCACTCATTACCGCCAACTACAACACTCGCACGAGGCATTCATCAACTGGATCATCCAGGAGCATCTGCCTCTCGCTTTGCCCGTCTTTGAAAAATACGGGATGATTGTATACAGCCTAGTGAGTACTTATTACTGTGGCTTTTGCCTCTGCACACGACTACATCTAATGGGTATTCAAGTTCGTTACGCCGCCTTCTCTCAACAGTGCACTTAAAAAGGATATTGAGGCGTTTCGACCTACCTGGGATTTTGCTCAATTCGACTGCTTTATTGAATACACGCTTCCGAATGTGGAGACTATCATGAAAGTCATGACAGATCCAGATTGGCAGGTAGCAGTGAAGGACCAGGATAAGTGGGTAGATGTCCCGAAGGCCCTAGTTTCGGTGGGTTACAGCACAGGGAATCTACTCTAACAGGCCTAAATTCCGACATCAGATTATAAATCATTGCGAAAGTGAAGGGCAGATGAATGGTGTTTTGCAGGAAATATAGGAAAAGGACACAGGATGTTACTTTCAGCCGCGCCCGGCCGCCCCGCACCACTGGCATGACAACGATGGTTAGGCAGCCAGCACAACGTATTCCTACCAAACATCACGGATCTCCTTGGTATGAGGAACAATGTACATACTTAAACCTCTTTCATTTCTATCAGTGATTTAGAATGACTATTTATTCAATTTTTTGATGATGAAATTTTAGGTATTAGATAGTGGAAGGAAACGGGTTGGAGGGAGCAACTGATTTTGCCGGCGCGAAAAGTCCATTTAGTTCAAAAGCCGGTCTCTCCTCTTGACTATGAGCTGGCCTCATATGATTGGCTATTTTCTTACTGTAAGCAGTCAGCAACGCATAACATTACCTAGTGAAGGGGGGGAACGCTCGAAGGCAGCACACTCGAAGATGTGCGGGTCGATTCAGCTGTGCAACACAACAACACAAGCAACCGCAGAGTATACAGGATATCCGTGGTAACAGCTATATTTGCAGTATGAGAGAGGTGTAGAAGCGTGTTATTCAGTACTATCTTCGAACTGCTAGATATACTACCCGTACCCAGTATATCAGCGTACTGAAAACCGGGTGTCACAATACAGGTCGGAAAAACCTCTTCCGGTCTATCCTGTGAATAACAGGTAACAGGGGACTCCCCACTACACTAGATAGGCGACGTGCGGGGTAAGCTGGATAGTATGCTAAATCAGACGTATGTGGCCTTACGATATTTGGTCGGGATCCTATGATAAAATCGGAGGTTGCCTTCGGATCTACATGAGAGTCGTTCCCAACATGTAAGTGTCTGACTGCGAATGTTCCAACGGACATGAAAGTCCGAAAATAACGTATCAGACACTCCTTGAGCTAAGCTGTACAGGCGCAGGTCTCATAACCTTAAGCCATTCAGAACAAAGATTTTGACCCAACTGATATGCGCAACAAATTCACATGGCACTCTATCTAGCATTAATAGATGTATGACTGAAATTCTCCAATAACGAATACATAGAAAGCCCAGGATGAACTAAGTTTAGCCTGGCAATAACGGCGTTGCTCGCCACATCAATCATCATTAAGCGTCCTGTTTAGAAGGTTGACACCAATGAAGACAACCTCTCCTACGGAGTTCTCAATCTATAAATTGCCTAAATTGTCAAAGCCCGGACAATGTTTAGCTGCACTATGCTCGCGGAGACGTGGCTCAACTAATTGTTGAAAGGCATTCCAGCGCGAGGGGTACCTAGTTGATACATAATATGCAGATCAGTGCTCGACCATAAGGGAATCATATTCTTCGCTTCTTGTATCTATACAATAGGGATATATATAGATTGAAACCCAGTACGTAATAGTTTTTAACACGAGAAAACGCAATTTAAAGGCTGTCCGTAGAAGATACAGAATACATGACGAGGTTTAAGCCTAGTAAGCTCGCTGAGAGCCCTACGATCATCAGTTTGATGAAGGTGCTGAACATTTTTTGGGCGAACTAGTAAACTGTGATATTTTCTTGTCGACACATTACCATGGTCTCACCATTTGAAGACCACTGAAAAGGAGAAATATTGAAGGCTTATCCCACAATATGCACGTGAGTTTCCGACCATTCAACATCATGTTGCACCATGATATACATCGGACCCAAGTATTCTTCCAGGGTTTTCTTCACTTTTGGAGAATGTTTTGGTGATGCAGTGTTCACAGGAGCACAATGAGTCTCGATCTCAGCACTAGGTTCAACGGATCCAGGCCTGAATATCGAGGGGTCCATAGGCCGTAGCCCATGACTGCTACTGTTACTGCTATTGCTGAAGTGCTTTTGTAACCGGCCAACTTCTCTAGCTCGTTTGCTAGGGTGGAGGCTGGTGCGGATGTGGATTATGTATTCGAGTTTCATCGCTGATTGAATGACGGGTTGTAGGGCGGGGAGGCAGGCGCAGATGATAGCTATACAGGGTTCCAGTGTTGACCAGACGTAGACGCTGGAGATGGTCCATGTGAGATCGATGTTGTTTTTCAGGAAGGTAATGTAGTGTAATCTGACAATGCTAATTGCGCAGACGCTGAGTTCTATGTTAGCAATAAACAGGACTCTGGATTGGAGGGAACACACAAGATACCCAACAGAAGAACTCCAGACACCATAATTTTCTGTGTAAAGCGCATTCTGAGCCGCCATATAACGGGAATCGGGACCAGCAAAATAAGAAAGTCCGTAACAACATTCGATGCTGCGTTGCCGATGTAATAGTTGTAAAAGTCGTATCTATAGTGTCCACCACCAGGGTTCGAGATTTCGCTCCAAAAATATGACACAGGCGATGGGCATGTCAGAAGAGCGATCATGCTTCCCGTAGTCCAACCTGAAGCTAAGATTATGCAGATCCAATAGCTGCCGCTTGAACCAAAGATGCGACGGTAGAACATAAGCAATGATATCTTGACGATGAAAAGCTCGAAGATGTAGATAAATAGGTACGAAAATAGGATCTCAAAAACAAGGGGGAATTAGCCAGGGTCTGTGAGAAGGATGATTGTTCTCACCTTCTTCATTATCATCATATCCTCGACTGTTGTCAACCAAATGTGTTTCCCCATTCCATAGTGTCCTCCTAAAAGCGCAATAGCTAGCAGCGCAATCAGAGGGATCTGGCCAAGTATCAGCTGCCTGATTTGATGTGTCAAGAGGACACGGACCAACTCACAAGTGCGACTGCAACCAAGCAATCATCAAGATGTAGCTTCCGGAGATCCGGCTTCCCCCCTTTCAACCTCACGTAAAATCTGATCATAACTGCGATGACCGCAAGCCCAGACAAGCTGATCACCACCGCGTTATCTGTCTTGGTTCTATCCGCAGAGAGATCCACGCCAAGAGGGGCAGGCCCGATAACCTTCTGAATACTTACCATGTGGGCTCACACTATGGTCAGAGACCATGCAGATCAAGGATCATGCAGACTTTGTAAACTGGGGGCGACGTCGGATAATATAGGCCTCTTGGATAATCTGCATGTTGAAACTATTTGGGGAGTTTCATATTGACTTCAAAAAATCCACCTGAACGGGTCTCCCTCCCCCTGAATTGGCCCATATGGTCAAGTCTTAAACTTTTCGATAGTAGTTTGATCCACAATTTCTCCATATTATCTAGAATATGCTGACACAATCCAATTGGATTGCGAGAAAGTGTGTAAAAGCTCCTGGTTGGGGCGAAGGCTTATCAAGGGAGTCAACAAGTCCGAGAGCTAAGAATTACATGCTCGATGATGAAGTCCCTCGCCTACAACACTATACACATTACGCGTGTAGAATTTCATATTTAACGATACAAAAATTATTTAGGCGCAGATCCTTGGTATTCTCGCGTGTGGGGGCAGCGGTTCCTTCAAGGTGGTGCAAACGATTTTGGTAACCCAATCCGGACGTGGTCCGTGAACTTGTCTCTCTTAGGAAATTATCCCCTTCGGAGACCGTTCCGAATAGAGTGCCAAGCCAACGTTGATTTCTTATCCATATTCCTAGCTGACTAGGCGTAGCCTTGTCAACGCTTTCTTTTTTCCCCACTTCGAAATGTCGGATGCCACCGGTCAGCACTGTCGCGGGGGCCATGTGGGGGGCTAAATTTGTATCCATGATTGTAGGAACAGCAGGACGTTCTAAGCAATCTCTGTCATTCTGTCATGTCCATATCCTTCCATCACCTCGTGTGATTATTGCATAAGGGTATGCCTATGTTGACAGATTATGGATAAGCCGATTGTTGAACTACATTAGACGTTGACTACGTAAGCCCTTTACATGGGGGGCTAAGCATTTGGTCGAGGTGGGCCTAAAGGATGATCTTGACTGATCTTGACGATCTGTCCATGCATACTTGGCTATAGACGTATGGAATACGAGGAGAAGGCTTAGATATGTTACAGACATATGAGAAGGAATGAGATCCCATACTAAGATTTTTGAAGCTGACGTGGTTGGTAGGTAACTGACGTACCCGACCACTTTCACGCGTCGATCTGCGTCGATCTATCCTTAAATCGAACACCACACCTTCGGTTCGCGTCCAAACAAGCTGAGCTCCTCTAGAGAAGGAGAGTCGTATATTGCTTGCTAAAAAAGCTTTTATTGAGGAGGAAACGGTTTTGTACATGGGTCAGCACGTCGTTTTAACATGGCTGAAGCTACGCTTCGACGTTGTCTGCGCGGGACTACACATCGCACAGAATCTCGCATGAATGACACAATCGGAATAGAACACACTGCAGCAACGTATCAGATCCCTATATCTCAACGGCAATCAGCCCCTTCGCAAGCTTACATAGGAGAAAGGGCCATTTTACTCACAGGACGTGTTTTACCCCCATTCGAACGGTCGGCAAAATATGGGCATACTACTGCGCCTAAAGCCACCAAGAGCTAGATTCTTCGCTTCTCATAACCATACAGCTACCAGCTATCAGTCCAAAATTATCCAAAGCAAATTCAAGGGTGGTTTCACCTCGTCAGGCTCTTATTTTGGCAATATGGTATCCTTGCGGAAGATATCTATATTTTTTGACGAGGTTGACCTCGAGATTAGCCTTTATACCAACTCAAAGGTGACTACCTGTGTAAAACAGATTATTCAAAGATTATTCTTATAGCCAGCAAATCGTGAGTGGATAACCGCAATCGAGCCATTGAGCGCTTTAGGGGAGGCGCTTCCACAAATGAGAATCCTCAAACACAAATAACATAATCAATTACTTTTAAAAGGGCTTACGCAAGACTGGAGCTTTAAGTTCACTGCGAATAGGTCAACGAATACTGAAATAGGGGCCTGCGCTGGCTTTTGAGCTTGGTGATTTTGTCAACAATCAGTCGTTAGCGCGGCTAATATCGTGATCTTGTCCTACATAAACATAGAAGCTATCTTATATCTTACCAGTGGACTTTCTATATGTTATTATCGAATATGTTTTCACAAGTGGTGAAAGGCCCCAGAGACCAGCGGTTTGCCAATAAAACTATATTGGGTCCAGTGATTGGCTCAGACCTCGGGAGGGAATGGAAGGAAACAATTGGCGGAGCCATATAGAAATCTGGGAAATATGTAGGCATCGGCACGTCAGAATGTCTCATTTATATCATTAGGATACTTAAAGGCCATAATGTCATAGATGAAAAACAGTGTCAATCATGGCTTTTGATTGTTGCTACATTGTGGCAAATATAATATATGTACATTTTGATCACATCTCACCGACCTTAACCAAGCGTAAGCAATGTTTCACGAGGATCCACCAAGATCCTCGCGGAGAAATAGTAGGTCATCACTATCCTGCCAATTCAGATTCCACTCCATCGGATCCCATATCGAGAAATTGAGGTCGAAATTCGACTCCACCTCCAGCGGATCTCCTGCTGCCATCGCTTCCCTACAATCGCGTTCGGTTTGTGCGGCCGTATGCCGCATATTTGCTTTTATCATGCCCCTGGCAGCAACATCTGCAACATAATTATTGGCCATAAATGACTCAGCTTTCCCTAGGAACGGCGTGTCCTTGTTCCAGTCTTCGTAGTCTATCATGTGCTCGATGATTCTGCAAACCCGTACGCATTGGGACCGTCGGTCATTCGCTGTTTGAGACACGTCCTTTATGAGCGTGAAGGTCTGCCTGATGATATTTCTGATACCCGTCTCATCTATACACTCACTGGGCGCCGTCCCAAGAATGCGTAAGAGGAAGAAGACTGCGTAGCTCGCAGAGCGAAACACATGGAATGTCCCTTTTCTGAGTGCGTCGGGAAATGTAGTCAGCACGATGAGAAGCTGTCTCGCCGTGCTACTGCTCTGGGCGATTATTTCATTCTCTGTGTAGAGTATTCTTGGGAGCTCGGATTTTTTTTGATCGAGAACGTAAGAGTACAGGCTGAGCCGCGCGTCCAGAAGTGACACTTCATCGGCAGGAGACCATTCGCAAGCATATCTGTTTTGTATCATGCAAAGCTCTGTTTCAAAGACCCGCACAAGCGGAAGGGGATCCACTGTGAGTCCGGTGGCTGATGTCTCACATTCTCCCAGGGCAGCCGAAATCTTCGAGGTGGCAAGAGCGATGTGAAGTTGAATCCTCGTAGTCGCTGGTATCCCTGGCATTGATATATTCAGGGCGTGAAGGACTGTGTGGTCGATCCTGATGGAACTTGGAACCCCGAACCTTGCGGTGTGCCTGAAGACCAATTAGCGAGCTTCTGAAAATCGGAAGCGACCCTACCATTGATCTACGATGAAGCAAGACAGCCAAGTTGCCGTCCGAGTTTCTATGTTCCCGATCTCTGATGCCTTTGCAGCAAACAGAAGGAATGGATACTGTGGACGATGCAAACCAAGAGACCGTGCCATAGAAATGGCGACCGCACAATACATTGAAAAGGGCTCCTTGTTCATGTCTTCTTGGGGGAAAGACCAAACACAGAGTAAAAGTAGAGCCTGAACAAGGTAGATGGACCGAGTACCAAGAAGAATAATGTCTGCTACCAATTGCCTTAACAGAATTTGTAACCGTGGGTAGTCGGATACGTACTTGTCCGAGTCTTTGCTTGCAATGGCCAATACACTCCAGAACAACAAAGGTGCTCTTTCGTAGCTATTGAGTATGGTGGCAGGTTCAAGCAACAGCGGGAACCTTGGGTGGAGATGAGAATAATAACTAAAGATGTCGTGAGCGGGTAGAAGAGAAAGATACCACTGGCTTGCCATACTCTTCTAGTAGTTCTGCCACAACACTGGATGTGAGGTTGATACCGGTTGCCTCATGAATAAAACGAGCAGATCTAACTCCGCCAAGGCGCAATTCAGCAGTTATGCTTTGTAGGGAAGAATCCGAGCCAGGTAAAGGCCCATCAGGTTTGGACGACAAGTCAGGCGGCTCATGATCTGATCCCTCGGAATGGGGTGTCCTGTATGCAGGGCCACCTTCACATCCATGGCGGTGTTTCAGACTATGTTTGATTAGAATGAAAATGCCGCACAGGATGAATGGGCACTGGACCGGTTTTACCTTCTCTTGGATATCCGCTTGAACAAAGGGTCAACAGCGCACCGCTCACCCGCCTTCTCACAAGCCGAACAGGATGCAGGGAATCTTTGACTGGCATTGCATTTCACCTGAAAGCATAATTAACTTAACAACCGGCAGCGTTGGCTCCAAAAACAAGAGCCGGAGAGCGTTCCGAATCTTACCTTCATCTGGCGACATCGGACACAAGGAACGCCAGCCCGGCGCGGCTTGATATGAGAGGTCGAGTTTGCATGTGAGCGAGCTGCTGTAGATTGAATGTTCTCCATTCCGATAGACGAAAAGGCGGTGGTCACTGGCACTTCGCGTCCCGTTATCTTGTTGATCGATGAATGTCCTAAATCAGCTCTTTGACAAGCCAAGGTGGTAAGCCTCCATCAACTGGTCATCTAACAAAAAAAAAATGACAATCCAACACCGACAGCAACATGGATGTGTGTGTCTCCTCGACATGACGTGTGTTACGAGTCGATCAGCACCGGTTCCGGCCATTTTCGCTGCATCTAGCGCGAAACCGCTGCCACATCTGATTCGCTGTTCGAACAGGCCCCCACTACACAACTAGCTGTCGCCCAATTTTCGTTATCATTAAGAAGTCAATCCTACAAATAGTAACATGTTCACCATCCACCCGTCACGGTAGCGATTGTACCCTAAAAGTGAGTGTCGATAAGTCTTGAAGAATCGCAGGGTGCTCGCAGTGTATTTTTTACATCGTGAAAACGGTTCCTCAAACTACACGAAACTGAAACACCCTACTAATATGAATATCGATGCGATGGGGCTGAAAAGGAACAGCGAAATGCTTAGATCATCCGCCGTCCGCCGCGTCTTTCGTTATTCCTGCTGCCTCCGAAGCATTGGAATTCAGCGGCCATGAGCGTTTTGTGCCTTATCATATTTTGTTTTAATTATTTTTTCTTAACAGTTCCTTTTTTTGGTTTCAATCTAACAGCCTGTGACGTAGATATGGCGCTTTCTTTGTTATTTATTAATTCATTGCGTTCTGCTCCGCCGAGTCGGATTTCTTAGATATACAGCGACCACACTTATACTTTTATCTTCCTCCCTGTCCTATACTGAATTGAGTCCCAGCACCACAGTAAGTCTGGACACTTGTGTCAGTGCGACCTTGGTGATATTACAGACAGATAGTCCGGCTTCGGAGCGAAATTTTAGAATCTGGCAGCGTCGGTACCTCACAATTCGACAGAGCTTCGATCTTTTGCGCCGATTGAAGCTCTGCCTCCATTTTGAACTCCTTTACCCGCAAGCCTCTAATTCCGTCCCACGGTTTTCGCGATGCAGCTGTTGACCTGGGCTGCCTACGCTGCGCTTATCCTAGCGTCCCTTTCGATCGCCCAAGGGGACGATAAATCAATGGATATAGACATGGCAACGGATAAGGTTATGCACGCTACTTCCAGCGCAACTGCTCCAACAGCTTCTGTCTCGGGTAATTCCCAAAACGAAGGTCACACGAGCTACTTTTCTTATGGTCAGCACTCGAGCACCATCCTGGCCCATATTGCGCTCATGACCCTAGGCTGGTGCTTTGTTCTTCCTGCAGGTAATCCACCCCAAATGATTTGCAAATATCAAAACCACGACTAACTCCGCGAAAGCCGTCCTACTTAGCATTGGCCGCTCGCGGCTGGCGCTCCCGTTGCAGTACCTGTTCCTGATCTTTAACTCCCTCGGTCTGCTCTTCGGAATGATCTACAATAAGCAAGCGCCCGATCTGTACGAGAACAACGTGCACCGCAAGATCGGCTGGATCGTGACATGTGTCATCAGTGCGCAAGTCGCTCTAGCCTGGATATTTGCGCATGCTGGTCGTGGCGATTCCAATCCTTCGCTTTCGGGATCTTTTAATCGCGCCACGTTCCTCCCTATCACTACTGATGAGCACGAATGTTCCTACCGAAGTAGGGATCTACACGAGTGCTGCTGCTCTTGCAATAGCAGCCAGATAACGGAATCTAACTCTTCCATTCGCAACCATGTCTCGCCACCCTGCCAGTCGCAAGCCGAGGACGACGAATTTGAAATGCCCGAGGAGCTTCATCCTAAGCATTCTAGTCTGGGTGGCTGGTTCTACAGCTCTCTTGTCGATCGGATTCTCTTAAACTCCGTGCCCGGAACATTCTCGAATCGTGTCCTGCGCTTTCTTGGCGGCGTGTATAATGTGATCGATCGGACCATTCTCCCCTTTGGCTTTATTGCTACTGCAACTGGAGCTGTTACCTATGGTGGCATCTTCCACGGTAACGAGATCTTTAACGGTCTGGCACACTTTATCAAAGGAGGGATTTTCTTTTGGTATGGTGTTCTTACTGTTGGACGGTTTATCGGAGCCTGGGCGGACTTAGGATGGGCGTGGAACAAAAAGCCTCCAGCGTGTGTTGTCGGCTGGAAAGCAAAGGTCCCTTCAGGCGAGTTTGTGGAGTCGTTTGTCATATGGCTGTATGGTGTTACCAATGTTTTCTTAGAGCACCTGGCCGGCCGAGGGAAAGAGTGGTCTACGGCTGATCTAGAGCACGTCGCAATCTCTATTATGTTCTTCGGTGGTGGTCTTGTCGGCATGCTCATTGAATCCCAGCGTATTCGCGATGCGCTTAACGATAGCCTGTTCCAATCCCTTACCTGCAAGCCTGTAGATGAGACCTGGCAACCTCCAAGGTCACAGGGTGTTCCTCTGAACCCGATGCCAGCTCTTGTCATCCTACTCTTAGGTATGATGATGGGATCGCACCACCAGGACAGCATGACTTCGACTATGGTGCATAAGCAGTGGGGTAATATGCTCATTGGGTTTGCGATTTCTCGCGGAATGACCTATATTCTCCTGTTCCTGCGCCCGCCAACCTCATACCTCCCGGGTCGTCCTCCCACAGAAATCCTGGCTGGATTTTGTCTTATGTCTGGGGGGCTTATTTTCATGCTAAGTGTAATTACTTTCCGCAGATCCCTTATCGCTGCCTTCCTGACATTGAACAGGCCCGCCAAGTGATCGAAGCCATGGAGTTTTATGAGTTGGATGCTATGTTTACCTTTACCGTGGCCCTGGGCTTCACAGCCTTCATTATGTCGTTGGTTGTTCTGACCATCACAATTAAAGCGTGGGCAGTGAAGCGCGAGCGAGCACAGGAATAACGGGTGTTCTCAAAGTGATGGGTAAGAGCGGTGAAAACATAGAAGTTGCCATTCGTGTTTCACGATATGAAACTGAATTTTATATACAAAAGCCTAACTATAGAAAAGGAAAAAGGAGAAGAAAAGGGTGGGAGGCGGGAAGAGTGGAAGAAAACAAAATAAGCTGGTGGATACTGAAAGATTGAACCCATAGCCTTCGACCTTCATGGATAAGTTTGTGCCGGAATTCATGGCCGTAAGCAATTGTACCTCCCCTAAAATAATGACAAGGGAAACCCTCAGGCTCAACATTAATATCAAAAGATCTGAGTGTATGTTGAAATGCTAGATGCAGGACTTTTCAAATGGCCCTATACCAACCCCAGCTAGTCATGAATAGGTGTGTGTAGAGCCAAATCCCTGAAAGGGTGTAGTTCGCGCGACTCAAGTGCACGTGCCCTCTCTTCCTCCTATTGTAGAGAATCGCACACGGGTTTGTTAGATTTTGTCATGCTGTCAATCAAGCCTTAACAATTGGACAGATTACCCCTCACCAAGACCTCAGAAAGACGTAGACTCCGGGTTTCATATTTGTCCAGGCCACTCCATGAACGCAAATAATTGATTGAAAAGAAAACAAACCACCTAATCCTTGGTGAATGCTGCACTTACGTTATCAAAAATGAAATTGTTAATACGATTCAAGCATTTGCAAATCTTAAATTCTGGTTGAGGTGCTTAATGTAACAAATCCCAAGCCAGAAACCATCAAGATCAGAAATCCCAATATCATCCCAAGAACCATCATTTCAACCTTGACACCAGAAACTGAGAACGAAGTTTCAAGATGCGACTAAGACTGCAAGCACCAGAGAAAGGGCTTTTGACTGGATTAATGACAGAATACTTAGAGGAGCATCGATTTTTCGTGAACATATGCGCTGTACTCCAGGGCTAGCCTCAATATGATAGATGAACCCAAGAACCGATGATTGATGATGATTGTTCACCATGATTATCCATTGTATAGACAGCTTTCAGCACGTGGTCCTGCTCGACTATCAGAGGAGACGAGGCATACCTTGTACAGGGTGTGTGGTAGGCAGGAACGATCGAATAGACAGGTAGACATGCTAGCATAGATGTGGTATGAAGAGAAGAAGGAAGAAGCAGAGGAAGAAGCGCTAGTATGTATACAGCGTTTAGTCACCTGATCTTTGATGATAAGGATGGCCCGAGGCTCATGTGTTAGGATCGAGGTCGTTGAGTGCACGCATTGGCGAACCGATCTCATGATAGTTCAGTAGTGTAGATAGAAAACCGTGATCACCTCTTCGTAACATCAGGTCAGTAGGACAATTTCTACCATGCACTAATGGGTAGAACCTTACCAAGGAACTTTCCCCGTACATATTTCGGATTCCAGATGACTCTTCAGGTTTGATGATAAAGAATATTCTTTTCCTTTAGAAGAGAACCGGTCGATGCCCGTGCAGCCAGCCTCGCACGTACGTGCGCACACGATATAATTCCCCAAGGTCTTGAAGATGATTGTTTAAAAGATATAATGAGAAAAAAACCGTTAATGCGACTATCAGTGCGATGCGCATGGCATTATGCATGGTGAAGGCAGAATCAAGAATGCAAACTGCTGTCGCCGACGACAACTATGTGTTCACCCTGGCAGAAACTCACTTTCCCTTGATTAATAAATCCTGAGCTGTCGATACCATAAAGTAAGTGGCAACTTGGATGATAAATAGGCAGCAAGATAAGAAAATATAGCTGATTTTGCTCCAATACTCATTCGGATATAGCGGCAAGTATCCCTTGGCCACTGGACCGTTACATGTACATGTATGCTCTCGGCTTCTCTTTTCCATACCTGAAATCTATTGTCGCCTCTTTAGCTACACCCCATCGCAATACATACTGGGAACTGGGACAGATCAGCGCATTCCTTGGAGCGGCCGGCGTAGCATCCAGCGAACATCCAGCGAACATCTAGCGAACATCCAGCGAACGTCCAGCGAGCATTTAGTCCAATTAATTGACTTCATGGCATTCCTCATTCTTACTTGCCTTCGATCTACTTTCCATTTTTGCCCCTGTGAAATCATTTTATTATCCAATTGATCACTCCTTGTTTATTCAATATCTCCGTTTTCTCTCTTGCGCTCGAGCTTAGGCTCTAATATATTTGCCTCCTTTGACTCTATGTCCCAACACTAAAAATGACCAATCGCTCTTGACGCGACTGTGATACCTTAGGCCCCGGAGCCCCAGTGATACTAGTTCACCAAAGCGATTTGACGAATACGGGCTTTCGGACCAGTTGACTGTCACATCTATCTCCCGACTCCACCACCCATAACCACCTGAACACCATCATGAGGCGCGGTCTTTTGATTTTTCTCTTAATCGACTTTCTCATTCTCTTCCTCCTGATTCATAAGGTCTCGACGCTGCTGTCGCTACTCTTTGAAAATGCCGCCGCCGACGCGATTCACCGCGCCGAATTACCCTTGCCGAACTCCACCCTGATCGAACATCTCCCCCAAATAATCCCTAAGATTATTCACCAGACCTACAAAAGCGAAACCATTCCAGAGGTCTGGGTTGATGCCCAGCAGAGCTGCATTGAGCTGCACCCAGACTACGAATATATTGTACGACCTTCGTGCGACTCGACCTGCATCCGTACTGACAATTGTTCTAGCTATGGACGGATGAAAAGTCGCGCGACTTTATCGCCGCTGAATATCCTTGGTTCCTCGAGACTTTTGATGGCTATAAATACCCCATCCAGCGCGCAGACTCGATCCGTTATTTCGTTCTGGCACACTATGGTGGAACTTATATCGATTTAGACGACGTATATCTTCACTTAGCAACATTCACTTTTATTACGAATAGTCTAACTCTCACTAGGGCTGCAATCGTCGCTTAGACCCCCTGCTCACTTACCCCGCATGGGTGCGTCGCACTGTACCCACTGGTATCTCTAACGATGCAATGGGCTCGGTGCCCCAACACCCCTTTCTTCTGCGTGTGATCAGATTGCTGCAGCAGTACGACCACCGCTGGCTCCTCCCCTATATTACCGTGATGTACTCTACCGGGCCGCTGTTTCTATCCGTCATCTGGAAAGAATATATGCAGGATGGCCCGTCCGAAATGAACCGTGTCCGCATTCTTATGCAGGATGAGTACAAGAAGCACTCTTGGAGTTTCTTCACCCACCACACTGGAAGTAGCTGGCATGGTGAGGACGCGCGTTTCATTTTCTGGGTTAGTATGTTCCGAAGCCCCGGACCGTTTAACTACCACTAACAAGCAAAGATGGGTCAACACTGGATGTTCATTACCTTCTGCGGTATCCTCCTCACCGTCGCCGTCAGCTTCTGCCTCTTCTGGACTTATAGTCGAATTATGCTTTTAGATGCTCAGTATCGCTACCGCTATTCCAAGGTACATTCAGTCATCAGCCCCTTTCGCTTGTTATCCTCGCCCTCGAGACGCGCCGGTCGCATGATTCCGACACTACTACGCAGCGTAAGCTTTGAGGGAGACGAGACCTCCAAGACCTTTTATGAACTCGGTCACCATGATGACTGAAGTGTATGCGATTTTACTAAGACTATATATATCCATGCGGCGTGGGACACGATTCAAGTGTATCTAACAGCATTTAGTGTATAGTATAGTTTTCTTGCTTTGTGGAAGCGGTATATATAGCTTTATCCTCCTCCAGGCCACATATGGTATCTTGGGTTACTTTCACCTAATGTCTGTAATCTGTATTATTTTGCACCGTTCATGTTTGCAATTTCTGTGACTCAGGTTGGGTCCAGGTTAGGTCCGGTTTTCTTGGGTCGTGCTTCTTATCGTGCTCACAGGGCCAGCTCCCGATTGGCACTGGACCCTGGGCATTTGAAATGCCGTAAAAGCGTTTGCAAACGCAATGAAAAAACATGAATCCTAATCAATCCGGCACTGGTATTATTGCAACTATAGTGCTATTGAGGGTTTGAGTAAACTTGCAGCTCGCGTACGAGTCTGGGGCCTGGCCGACGGACACAATGAGGGGGCTGTTAACACGGAACTCGATGCTAAACACTGATAGTGTCGAATCTGCTGTGAGAGAGGAGGGGAAAGACTTCCACATGATTTTATTTCCGAGATACAACAGAACAAAGAAAATGCGGTAGGCAAACTCATTCCTTGATCCAGGAAATTCTTACAACCTTGGAATTCAAGTTTCCCGCATATTCCGCGGGCGCTAGACACATTAAGCGTCGGATGTTCTAATTAGGAAATTGTTTCGTGCGGGAACAAATCAGGAAGTATTTACGGCTTAGTCGATCGTCACAACGATTGGGTTGTATTAAGGTTTGGTCCACCCTGCAAGTTCCCGCCCGAAATACCTGCCAGACATGGTTCATCTTGAGCCCTCAACTGATGTTCGTGCACATGTGGCTGAGCCGACGAAAAAGCAGAACAGAAGTAGCAACCGTTTCGTGGACTTGCACATATAAATAGCCGTAAGGCCGGTCTTCCAGGTTTCATTCCGATCTAGCATTTGAACAACAATAAAAACACATCCCGTATATCCTTGGAAGTCGCTTTTCATCTCCAAATATATATCATGGGACTGATTCGTGATCTCATCGGTGCAGGTCTTGGTTCCGACCAAGTGAACAATGGCTTCAACGGGCCTAAGTTGCCCTTTGCGAACAAAATCAACCGCACATCGCTGTCACCGTCCTCTCGCCAGAAATTGGTTTCTGACGCCCGATATCAGGATGAGAGGAGACCGTACTCACCAGATGATATGCAGAGAGGAATGATAAGACAGCAGAGGTACATTGGTGATCAAGATCGAGCCCCGGTGCTACCACCCCGTTATGAGCCTCCTGCATATGAAAGCGGCCCTCGAGAATGGTACCAAGGACAGTCTTACGATGGCCAACCTTGTGATGGACAACAATATTATAAGCGTCGCGCTGTCACAGACATGAGGTGTCCTAGGGACGCCAAATTTCGCCCAATCGCGCTGCCCCAGCTTTCTTATGGAGATGGCCAACCTTTCCTTCGGGGATATTCAAATGATCTGGTGCGATATGGGATCTCTGAAGGCGAATTTATTCGACTGGTTGATGCCATTAACGTCGCCATCATTCCCAATCCCGAGAATCAAATTTTCCAGAAGGGAGCAAACATTGCTGGCTGGTTTATGTAAGTCACGAAACCTAGCTAAGTTACGCTACATATCTTGTGTTTTGACTAATACATATCTCAACAGACCTGGTGCCGCTTCAGTCGCTCTCACAGTCGGACAAATCGGTATCGGAATCGGCGCAGCAGCTGGTCACGCTTCTATGGTCGCCAAGCACCTTTCAAAGGCCAATCTTGATTTGTTCCTACCTAGTGGTCTGGAGATATGGTAATTACGAATCCCTTTAAGAGAAATCATATCTAGTCTTCTAACATCACATCGTATACTATAGTATTGGAAAGACGAAAGATGTCGACGAAGTGCTCGGTCTTTGTTCATCAACTGCACGACCTCAATCTCTACATAGTGTATCGCCAGAGGAGAGACGCGCACAATATGGTGACTTGGTTGCACCTCTCTCTCGAGTGTTGTCACCATTGGAACAGAGAGGTCGTAGTGACCCTATTGCCATGCTGGGGCGGGGTATCGCCAGTCGAGGCGATCAAAAGAAAATGCAAAAAGTGCAAAAGGAGCTCTCAAAAGGAAGGGGCAAAACCAAGAACCTTGATGCCTTGGAAGGAGGATTGAAATGGGTGAGTCTGATGGGTATCCGCGGTTTACGAATTAAAACTCACATCTGTGGCAGCTCATCGTTCGGGAAGCTTCCGCAAACGCAGTGGCTCACTGGGAGCAAACTCTTGATCAAAGCAATGCTGCCCTACAGCAAGAGGCAAGGGTAGCTGAGCAGCGCAGATAGATTAGGATATACTAAATGGGCGGTCAGGCGTAACTCGATTGGATTTGAATATAGATGATCCCTACTATTGGTACGCATGAGCTGTTTGACTATCAACTTGTAAGGTCTACCACGCCACCTTTCGTCTGATCTTTCTTAAAAGCCTTTCCGACCGGGTAATATTGTTTAAGAAGCACAGATACAACCATATCATCTTTAATTACAAGACAGGTTGATAAAAAATGATATTGGTATGCGTTGCAACGAAAAGAGAGGGGTTTTTGTACTTCAATCTTTCTCTAAATGTGCAATGAACTATGTACGAAGTCAGGCAACATCTGATGGACTTCAAGCATGTGAAAAATCGATTCTATGTTTCACAATTGATACAAAAAATGGACATTCAAATGTCAAACGCCTATCGATAGTTGAGATATGTTATGTTATATGATTTCTATCTTCAATCATTTCTCTAGCTTACACATTTTTTTGTCCGGAAATCCCACTCTCTGGCATGCTCTCCATAATACCAAGTCAATTGGGTGTTAAACAACTATATCCCTAGTATTCCTGGATGGTTAGCCATTGACAATCAGCATCGTAATACTCCTCTTGAGCATAGTTTCTCTTCATGATCGAATTAATATAGAATATTTCCTTCTCTGTTGCTCAACTTAGCGCGTCAGCCTGTGTAGTATATGAGTGAGGAGACATTTCGACTTTCGCAGAATTCATCTTAGACTGATTATGGTAGCGGCGGGGGGCACACTCGTTATTCGCTAAAACATTCTCCCAAGCTTGTATTGACGGCCTACCAATAAATCACCCTAACCAGCTTCTCCGCTATTTTCGGGCTCAGGGACGCGTGTCAAACGAAGGTTCCCCTCACTTCCCGAAAGCCCGGGGCTCCGTCGGTGATAAGCACTTGCTCTACTACGCCACCCGCAATTCGTGGAACCCCGAACTAGTGCTATTAATGGCGCGATCAGCTTTTAGTAGATATCATTCTAGGGACTGGCGAGCAATACGAGCTTTTGTTCATAATACATCTAAACCCAAGACCAGTCACGAGAGAGGCAATGGGGTCGCTTTGTTATATTAGTGAATTACCTAGGTTTTGCTGTATCTTTATGGTCTTGACTAAATTAACGATCTTGTTCTCTATCAACTGCGAAAATCAACTCCCTAGAAAGTAGACACAAGCTTCATCCGACTAGAGATGCCCCGGCGGAGGTAAAGCTGTGTGTGTTTGTCGACGTCAAAACCATCATACAGTGAAAGATGTGCTCATCTGAATCTGCTCGCGGATCAAAATACTTCCCGTTGATTTTGAAACGGTGTTCTTTCAGCCACAAGTATAAACAGTGCTTCACGTGCCACTCCCGACTCATGTAATATGGCTTGGGCTGTAGGTCAGAATAAAGGGATGCCTCGTGGACAGTGAGATTCACTGTCCGGCTTTTATCTGCCCAGTACATCCAACGCCCGTCCGGCCCGTCACCCAATCTCGCGAACTCGGCTGTGAGCTCATCATCACGGCAGCGTTCTGGAAGCCAGGCTGCTGATAACTCATCATAGATGCATCCGTTACTCAGTGCCTCGGCCACGGAGTTTCCGCAGTCGCATGGATGCACTTTAAAGTGCACTGCTCCGTCGTCATCGTAGGAAACCCCGAAAGTGTCTTTTCGCTGCCACGGTTGTTGCAAAGACGAAGCGCGCGGGAAGATGAAACCGACTACTCCGAACAGGGCAAGCCCAATTAGAGCAGTCTGGTAGAGCAAGTAGAGTGGTCGATGAAACTTCACTAGAGGCCCCGTAGAACAAAGGCGGAGGGCATTTTTCTGAAGTGAGTTTTTTTCAAGATCGTGCTCGTCTGCCTTTTCGCTCAATAGCGCCTCCGAAGATTGTCTTCGCTCGAGCGAGCTATCAAGTGTCAGTAAGGTGAATGAGATGGTTTGTATTTGATATCAAGTCTTACTCTGTTATCAGAGAGTCGTTGGTCGTCCTCATCTCGTTGGTGCGTTCAATTTGTCAATCAGGAGAGCGGATGCTTAGAAAGATGAAAAACCGATTACTCGATTCAAATGCTAGCGATGTTTGTTCTAGCCCTCAGCTTACTTGGCATCTTTTTCTGTGATGTTTTAATTAATAAATCAGTAGAGCTAGTCACTAGTCTAGTGCATAGCTGATGCTATGGTAACACTGCTATTCTCCACTTCAGTTTAACCGAGTCGATGGACTAGACTATCTTCATGACACCCCGCATCAAGATTGCTCCGAGCTACATTCATGCATGCCTCATCACGCAACTAGAGCAACGAAGTGGGCTGTTCGGTGGCGACTCATCTATAATCATGTATGTGAATCAACATGCATGATCTAGGTATCTTACCAAATTCTGAAAGATAAGGTATCATTCACGCAACGCTAGGCGACTACTCATCTGCGCAACCTGCTACGATTAATTCATTTCGGATCCATAATCTGTACCTCCTTTGTGATCATCTCAGCCGACTCAACACTTCGCCATTAAATAAAGCCCGGACATCATGGAGAAAGCCTTGCAGGATTATCCTCGCAAGAAGACCAGATGGGAGCTCATTTTGGCTCTGACATGTCTCGCCCAAGCTATCTTTCTGACTGGCTACTTCTTTTCGAGCGCACATGACCACCATCAAACACCTGCTCTGCCGGGCCAACTCACCTCCTGGACTGATTGCGGTCTCTCGCCCAGGGAAGCGAGGGCCCGTAACTGCCACTTTGACTCGATGCTATACGCGTGGATCCCTGGCGAGTGTTTTCACCCAGAGCCATTAGACGAGTACAGGCCCTTCAAAGATCGCACCTGGTATACGGATGTCAATCTTACGCAGCCAATGAGCGATGTCGAGATTGAGGAACTGTCGGCAGGCAACATGCCGATCGCATATACGCACACCTATCACCACGAACATTGTCTTTACGCAATGCGCAAGCTTGCCATGGCCACCGATAAGCGTTGGCTGCTGATTGATGGCAAATCAGCTGACGTGCATCACGCGACACACTGTGGCAAGCAAATTGCTCAATTTGTCAAGGGCACGATCGATCAAACTTTCAGTCCGGGGAGTGACCACCATGCCATGGCACGCTTGCAATTCCCGGGGTGTGTGGCTATGCCGTGGAGACTGTGATCTCAATATTGATGTAGTACATAGTCATATCCGGTCAATGAAGCATTTGGGAGAATAGAATCTAATTCGTTGCAAATAGTTCATTTGTGACATCTCACTCATTCCCTACAGGCTTGACAGCTAATCGTCCCATAGCCCTCTCTTTTGCCCAGCGGTCCAAACGATCAAAGTTTCGACAGGTGTGGGAGTAGTCTTCATCGATGTAGTTATGGCCTAAGCCTGGATTATATCGCGAAGGACTTGGTGTCAGGTCGGCTGCACACATAATAGATTGGCGGATTCTCTCGATGCAGTGATCTAGGTATGTCATTTCTCATGTAAGAATGTATCTGGCCAGAGTCATAACTCACTGGCTTTTGATTTGGTGTCTTCTTCATCGGTGTGACTGTAGTATTCTTGAGACAAAGCGCGGCGTAACAAGTTCTATACTTGTCAGATTGAAACAGACTGAAAGAGAATCGAAACCCACCAGACAGTCCAGTGTCCGATAAACATCAAGACTAAACGCCAGAATTATCAGATTGATTCAAAGCACTGATCCAGCTCACCAACCTGATCATATAACCCCCTTTATCTTTGTCCCACAACTCACTATATTCACCCGGCCACTGAGAGTTGATTTCCTCCTCGGTTGCTAGAAAGATGCCCCCTATTATTGAAAATTTTAGTAACTCGATCGTTGGCTTGCAAGTTTAGTTATATACCGGAGGTCAAATCCTCCCAGGCCTTGTCAATCTCTGGGCTTGGCTCGCCAACATATCGGACCTTAGGTGGGTGGTGCTGGAATTCAACACCCGCATAAGTAAATGATGAGGATCCTGTGAATATGACCTGTTGAAGCTCAATATGCTCTCGCGCCGGTCCTTAGAATAGTCAGATCCACCCACTACCCATATATATCCTCTATAAGCATACCGAAGTCAGAATGATAACCCATCTCGAACCCCTTTTCCGCGTGGTCCTCATGACGGATCAATATCGCAATGATAAGTAAAGCTGAAAAGAAGTTTGAGACCACTAGGGTAAATGTCACTCCAAATCGCCAAAATCGTGGAAAGTCCTGAGGGCTCGCATCCAAGAGGACATCGTTCCGCTCGGAATCGGCATCACTAGTGAGCTTGTCGTACTTAGGCTTTGTGTACGTGAACGGAAACATGGTGGGCGGATATTCTTTCTAGTTATCTTCCCAATCACTCAAAAGTGAGCACTTTGCACTTGAGAGTTTCTCTGGGGTCGGTTTCAAGCTATCTTAGACCTTACATGAGTCTATAATCTCGACATGGTAATTCCAAGATTGCCAACATATGCCCCTCAGTCTGCGCCATTCTGAGTGCGGACTCCGTACTCATTCCCCTGCAGTGGTCTTATGACTCTTTTCCTGTATTTTACTTCTCGCTAATGTTTGAAATGCATTGCTAGCATCTTTTGGTAGATTGGGCGGGGTACAAGCTAAGCTTGATCTGCAACTCAAATCTGCAAAGCTAATTTACATTATACTTAGTTAGGACTAGTTCCCTGGCACCGGAATTAATTTTAATCTACTAATTATGGCCGAGCGTCAAGGCCGAGGGAACGATGTTACCTCATTTCAGCGCTAACAGGGGCGTCGACTAGTTTTCCTTATCAACATCTATCCTCGGGGTCTTTTCCCGCACAATCGTGCATTTCTTGCTTCCTATCTATGCAATACACGCAAGTCTCCAAAGTTTGCGCATCGTGCTCTAATTAGTTACTCGTTCATAGATAGGAATGTAGGACAGGGATCGCCTTGGTCAGGTGCCTGGTAGGTATATATATATCTGTCAAGATTCCAAGATTATCTTTCCAAAAGCCATCTCAAACAAGTTTTCTATCTATCACCTCATCCAATGAAGCTCAACATCTCATTCCTCGCCCTTGCGGCTTTTGTCATGGGAGTTATTGCAGCTCCCACCCCCGCAAATTTCAATGACCTTCCTCTTCCTCCTGTCATTGAAGAAGATACTGCCTCTATTGAATGATTAGGTAGGATGTCAAGAAATGCCCCAATGCCAACGTCCATCTGACTTCTCGTAGCACTTCAAACGCCAAAGGCCCTTCGTCCAAGCTTGGCTAGATGAATTCTCATCAGGCGGAGGTTGATTGGTTTCATGAAACGAACGTCGGAGGAGGCGGTAAACCAGAGTAGCCAGAGTTGGAATAGAATGAACCGCTTTCATGTTGGGAGAGCACCCCATTTATTTCAATTTGAGCAATTCTTTGAATTTATCTTCTTTACAAACCTGAAATCGCTTGGCCTACTGCTCATTTTAATCCATCGTCCACGTGGAAAGCGCCGACACCGTGATGACTTGAAAGTTGACTCCTGACCCTTCAGGCATCAAGTGGGCAAAGTGGGCTTGGCGTGCTTGGCAATGTTGCCGGAAGGCGGTGCTTACCACGTAGTTTGCTAAGCCAACCGCTAATTGGATCTGTCTTTGTCCCCACAGTGTTCATAGAAGGCGCCGAGCACCTCACCCATCCTGGAACCATGAGAATAAATTTTCCGCTTTTTAATGGAAGCTAGAATTATGACTTATATATGTCGAGCAGCCAGCAGTGGCCCTCTCTTGCTGGAATTTTCTCAAATTCGATATCAAGCTTAGCTTGCAGTATGCACGCAACAAGGAGCGTGACTCACACCCTCCGCTTAAGCGCCAGGGGATTTTCTACTGTCACTCGCCGCCAAGCGCCCTCGGGACTCAGGATTAACCCCGATCGATTATGGGAGACATTGCACAAGACTTGTGAATGGGGAGCAGCCCATCGCTATGGCGAGTGTGTATCATCCCTTTTTTCGCTCTCGCGGTATATAGAAGACTAATCCCTAACCCGATTGCAGACAGCCAACGGAGACTGGTATGGCTCGTCTTACACTCACGGATGAAGATGCCCGTGTCCGCTCGTGGTTTGCTGCCGAAGTCAAAAAGCTGGGATGTACACTTTCTGTCGATCAAATGGGTAACATGTTCGCACGGCAGCCAGGCTCACTGAAGTCGCCTGCACCGATGATTGCGATGGGTAGCCATCTCGACACTCAGCCTCGGGGTGGTCGGTATGATGGCATTCTAGGAGTGATAGCTGCGTTGGAGGTGCTACGGACAATGAAAGAAAGTGGGTTCGAGACTAATTACGATGTTGGTATTGTGAACTGGACTAAGTATGATTTCCTTGCTTTGTTATTGTTGACTTTCTCTTTTGACTAAATCGATTCCAATTTTAGCGAGGAGGGTGCTCGGTTTCCTTCGTCCATGTGTTCTTCAGGTGTTTGGGCTGGCGCCATTCCAATCGAGAAGGCTTGGGACTTGCGCGATATTCACAACCCACACGTGACCCTCCGGTCTGAGCTTGAGAGGCATGGATATCTAGGCGATATTCCCTGCTCGAGCGATGAACAATTTGGATATCCTCTTGGTGCTCACTTTGAACTTCACATTGAGCAGGGTCCCATCCTTGAGGAGACAGGTCGATCGATCGGCGTTGTCCAAGGAGCTCAGGGATACAGATGGTTCACCATAATTGTTCATGGAAAAGATGCTCACACCGGAACGACGCCGCTCAGTACCCGCAAGGATCCTGTACTCGCGGCCTCTAAGATGATTGCCGCGTCAAACGAGATTGCCTCCCGTCACAACGCGCTAGTCTCGACGGGAATCTTTAGAGTGCCATCGAATGCATCGACCAACACTCTCGCCACAAATGTGACTTTTACCCTTGACATCCGACACCCGAATGACAGCGTTGTGTCTGCTGTGCAAGAGGAGATTTTCGAGACCTTTGCTACTATCGCTTCTCAGGATGGCAAGGGCGTTTCCTTTGACTGGACATTGGATACAGACTCCCCAGCCGTCAAGTTCGACCAGAACTGTGTTGCATCTGTCCAGGCGGCAGCAGACCACCTCGTTGGTCCAGAAAAAATTATGCTCATGACCAGTGGCGCCGGTCATGATACCGTGTATACTAGCAAGCACTGCCCATCGGCTATGATCTTCGTGCCATGCCGAGAGGGCGTCAGCCACCACCCGACTGAGTATTGCAGCCCCCAAGATTGGTAAGACCTCATGATACTTCGAACATGTATCCTGATATTAATATATGACAATAGTGCCCTGGGTGCCCAGGCCCTCCTTGAAGCCGTGGTGCATTACGATCAGTTCCGGACGAAGAGTGAGAACCCTTAGGATTCAGATTTTCTTGAATACTGTTAAGTAAAGCATCAAGTAAAATGGAGAGTTGTACGTCGATCCTACACACCAACTACAGAAGAGTGAGACTTGTCGAATCCTCAAGTGAGTAGAAATATTTGCTGCTTGAGAGGGAAATTCAACCCCTCAGAATAGAAGAAGATAGGCTGTCGACTTAACATGTCAAATTTATAGCAAGGCGGCATTACCTGTCGATTTTCGGTGTCCAAGTTGCTCTCATTAGGTTTGTAACTTGGAGGGATGTACAACCTCTATTACCAACAGGCGCCTTCATGTCCTTGAGACGAGGGGGACACAAGCTCTCATCTAGTACAATAATTCCCTTGGCCAATTTAATCACAGATTGACCAGAGTCACCGCGTCATTCAATGGGAAATAAGTTGTTAAAAGATATTAATGTCGCGATCCAGGGTAATCTTATTTGGCGCTTCTAATTGGCCTAACGTGCCACGTACGTAGCGCTCGGTCGATCCTTCCTTAACGCCGTGAAGTTTAAATAGCCATAAGCTAATAAACCGGCAGCATAGAACGGAGACGCCTGGAATCACATTTTCACTATTCCAAAATCCAAGCAAACCGCGATAATTCCGAGCCTTTCCTTGTTTATAAGAAAGCGCTTCCTGAACATCCAAAAGCTCTCACATCCAGCTTATACCCAACGGAACAGAGTACCAACTTGAGTCATTTGACCATCTTCTCTCCATTATGGACGATATTGAGACTAGCCTTCACGCTGCTATCAATGCCGGCAAAATCCACGGAGCTGTCTTATGTGCAACCAACTCCGAGGGTTCTTATGTCTTCAACAAGGCGCTCGGCAAGCGTACTCTTTTATCGGGCGAGACGCGACCGCAAAAACTTGACGATGTCCTTTTTCTAGCGTCGGCCACCAAATTGCTTGCCACCATCGCGACACTTCAATGCGTCGACGAGGGGCTTTTGGCTCTCAATGATGACCTATCTTCTATCGCACCCGAGCTCGCCGCCAAGCAGGTCCTGACTGGCTTTGCTGAAGACGGTGAAACACCTTTGCTAGAATCTGCGACTCGGCCGATCACTCTGGAAATGCTGCTCGCACATAGCTCAGGCCTTCCTTATCATTTTCTGAATCCAAATGTCGCCAGGTGGCGTGAACGATTCGCTGGTAATGGAACCGACCGTCGAACGGTTGAAGAGCTATTCAATTATCCACTCGTTTTTCAGCCCGGCGATGGCTGGATGTATGGCCCCGGACTTGATTGGGCCGGTCGTGTGGTAGAGCGGGTGACAGGCTATACGCTGGGAGAACGCATGCAGCAGAAGATGTTTAAGCCTTTAGGGATCACCGATGGCCAGTTCTATCCGGTCACACGCGAGGACCTTCGAGCCCGTTTGGTTGATCTAAATCCTGATGACCCTGACGCCCTTGGTCGTGCAGTGCTCGGTGGTGGCGGTGACATGAACAAGCGTACCAACGGTGACTTCGGTGGACATGGCTATTTCTTGCCAGGTGCCGACTACGTGAAGGTTCTACAATCTTTGCTGGCCAATGATGGCAAGCTTCTCAAGCCCGCCACAGTGGAAAACATGTTTCAGAACCATCTCAATCCCCAAGCAATGGCTAGTTACCAGAGCGCGCTAGCAAGCCCCCGAGGGCCCTTTTTTCGTGTGGGAACTGACCCAGGAATGAAGGTGGGCTATGGCCTGGGCGGCTTGCTGACGCTTGAGAATGTTGATGGGTGGTACGGTGAGCACACACTTACCTGGGGCGGTGGTTTGACATTTGCTTGGTTCATTGATCGTCAAAACAATATTTGTGGCCTATGTGCTGTCCAGGCGGCGCTGCCGGTTGATGTTGAGCTAGTAGGCTCGTTGAAACAATCTTTCCGTCGTGACATCTACCGAAAGTATGCGGCGTGGAAAAAGCAAGAAATCTAGAAATATGTAGATATCCACTTCTTGCGAAATTTGTGCTTACAGAAATAAAACTTGAGCCATGCACTCAGGTGTTATTGCCCATGATGAGCCCCTAAACAAAGATGATTTCTCCCAGACATCCATCTCGACATAGGTACCACTTTATTGCATTTTCATAGATCTTACCAAGGCAGTTCCAACCTTAGTTGTTTTGGCGCCCAAATCATTCAAGCATAGGCGCCTTTGTGGTGAAGAATCTTTCTCCCACTCGGAGGCCCAGGCGGCTCGATGATACTTCCAAGTTTTACGCTGTGAAGCCGCCTGATTCGAGGTCCTCGGTCGACCCCAAAATCGATAAGTCGCATGGGCCTATTTTCTACAATGAATATTCTGAAGCTCAAAGTTGGGTATGATAAAATCGGCATCACAGTACCCTGTGTGCGGAACAAACATAACAATAGTTTGACTATTCTATCTGAAAGGATGATTTTGAGCAAACCTTCCATATGCAAAATGGCAATAATTGCTTCCTCGAAATGAGTGTGCATTATTCCAAGGTAAAGGCTGTGGAGGTTTCAGGTGGTTATCGTACCGAGATAAAAGATAAAATTAAAAACACACAAAAAAAATGCATCATCCGTGAATCGAACACGGGCCTCGTCGATGGCAACGACGAATTCTACCACTAGACCAATGATGCTGGATGATATCAACCAAGAGCCATTGGTGCAATATGACGCAATATTGCAGATTCAAGATCCCAGCGCGTACCAAATTTCCAGACATGATCGTCAATTATGTCACCTCAGCTAGGACCAAACAGTCCAGCACATGAGCATCCTTGCAAGATTGGCTCTCGGTAACTAAGCGAGGCCAATGATAGTTATCTGTCAACGTTCTGAAAATTCAATAACCTCATAATTGACTCACAGGAAGCTTCGGAGCCGCAGAGTATAGGCAAATTATGTAGCTCGGTTGACTCGAACATCCTACTGGTCCTGAAATATACTACGAATTATCGATAGCTTAGATGTCGATTGTTGACACAGGTAGAATCGGCGATGTATAAAGAAACACTCATAGAAGCGGCCACCCAAGGATCTACTAAACTAGTGGCATTGGAGAATGTCAAATACTGGCAAACAACCAGAACAATCCGCATTATAACTTCAGATCAAATTAATCATACATATTGGGGAATCCTTATCGAGACGCCTGGCTTTTTCGCTATAAACAAAGATGTCAGCTCAATATAACGACTGATACCCAGAGTGTATGTCTAAAGACGTACGCTCTTCATATTTCCCCCTTCCGAAGTCTACCTCTACCAAGGGAATCAGGGGTGTGACGTATCGGACCAATCGATAAATTTCCGATCCAAATCTGATGCCTGAACCGCAGCTTACATAGTCACCCACTTTTCTCACCCGGTCACCGGGGCCGGTGACACAGACAGCACCACTCCAATCAGGGATCCCCTGGGATTCGCCACCCGTCGAAAGTTGTCGCAAGTGATGTGTAGCGGGGCAGGTGAGTGTTGAGTCTATTGGGGAAATGCCTTGTAGGCTGGATCTCCGTCGAAATCGACCAAAGGGGAAACCGCAAAGAAGGGGACAAGAAGGCCCAAGACGTCGGCGCCTCGGCATTGTACTCTCAGACCCGAGAAAGTCGATCTGACCCGAATCTGTTTCTGGACCAGACCAAGCTCTTGGCTCTAATTGGTGGCACTCGAAATGTACGGGAATGATATAGTGGTAGTAGTTGTCACCACTCTCGTCAGCGGCTTGCGGTAAGAATCTGCTGGTTGTTTCACGCTATGCACTTTGGTCCTCTGGGTCAGACCTGGGCCGCCTGACCGCAATGCTTTGATCCCCTGACCCATTCATATCCCTTGTGGGGAAAGGCCGACAGATGTGGTGAGTCATTTTCAACCTGGGCTAAAAGGGGACCCTGAAGAGGTAGATTGATGAGGTGTAGGTCAGTGCCATAGAAGCATGGGAAAGTAGTGGTGGCGTCCGGCGCCTACCTTTCATAGGGTCACGCCATCTCTATGGGGAACACACCCGTCTCGTGGTGACTTCCAGCTTGCGTGGTACCACGCGAACGCCACGCGGGACTAGTGAGACGGGAGGCTGGGCAGGTTGTGGTGAAACTCTCTTTTTTGTCGATCGTATACAGATTCGGGGACCGAGTCGACGAGTCAGCATTTTCTCCAACCAGAAGCGAGAAGCCAGCGAGCCGAGCGCATAATCAAGCAAAATTCAGATTTCGCCGGCTTGGCAACCCCGAGTCTCAAATGGCCCAAGCCCTGTCGTCGTGGTAGTTGGCAGAATGTGGGGAGAGAAAAGAGGAAAAAGGACAGATGCCAAGATGTCAACTCCGGAACCAATCATGGTAAAATGCGGGAGCGGGTGCGGAGCTTCGAATATACAGGGGAAGTGTGTAGAATATATGGGATAACCAGTGGAAAGCACACAGGTAAGTCGATTTCGAATTTGAACAAAGCGTAAGGCCATTCCGTGGAACCAAAGACAAAATCTACCAGAGGCTTGATTAGGTAGGATTGAATGAAACCATGAGATGAAGTTGCATGCGCTAGGTTAGAGTAGGAAATTGATAGCTCACTAAATACGCTCGAATGACTTTCGATTGGTTAGAGTTGGACCCTTTGTATAGTTGGTACTTACTTCCCCGCATTGTCTCTACCCCGTTTTTGCCATTTGTCGTTTGTATATCTTCACGTTCCTTCCCCTGTCTCTTTTTCCCCTTTTCCTTTTTCCCTCTCGTCATCTTCTGTTTCTGTAACTTCGCTGTATTTGACATCACCATCACCCATCATGGGGTACGTGGTCGGAAATATCTACGTTATCACGGCAGTGGCCGTCATTGGCGGTGCGCTGTTTGGTTTTGATATTGCTTCTATGTCAGCCATGTAAGTCGTGCGACGCCCCCAGAACCCAGAACAGCTTCGTACTCCACAGTCGAAGATCATATCCACTGACCTCGTCAACCACTTTCCACAGTCTTGGCACCCAACAGTACAAATGCTTCTTCAACCAAACCGGTCGCAATAGTGACGGGGACTGTGGTGGTCCAACTGCCTCCACACAGGGTGGTATCTCCGCGGCCATGCCGGGTGGCTCGTTTGTTGGGGCTCTGATCTCGGGATTCGTCACGGATTATTTGGGTCGGAAGCGGGCTATCCAGACCGGTTCGATTATTTGGTGTATTGGAAGTGCCATCGTCTGCTCATCCTTCAGTATTGGCCAACTCGTTGCCGGTCGTTTTATTAACGGTCTGTCGGTCGGCATTCTCAGTGCCCAGGTCCCTGTCTATGTCGCAGAATTGGCCCAACCCAGCAAGCGTGGCCAGGTCGTAGGGGCGCAGCAGTGGGCCATCACCTGGGGTATCTTGATCATGTTCTATATCTCCTATGGCAGCAGCTTCTTAACCGGTCCCGCTGCCTGGCGTCTTCCTTGGGGTCTTCAGATGGTTCCTGCCGTCTTCCTCTTCTTTATGTTTTTCTTACTGCCCGAGAGTCCGCGTTGGCTGGCTAAGCATGATCGTTGGGAGGAAGCTCACGAGGTGCTGGCATTGGTTCATGCCAAAGGTGACACGAGTGCCCCCTTCGTCTTGACTGAGCTGCAGGAGATCCGTGATATGGTTGAGTTTGAGCGTCAGAACGTTGACGCATCATACCTGGAGCTCTTCAAGGGCCATATGATCTATCGTACTCATATCGGCATGTTCACTCAGATCTGGTCGCAGCTGACGGGTATGAATGTGATGATGCTATACATTACCTACGTCTTTGGAATGGCTGGCCTCTCGGGAAACGCCAACCTGGTTGCCTCCTCCATCCAGTACGTGATTAATGTCGTTATGACCGTGTTCGCTTTGCTCTTCATCGACCGTTGGGGTCGTCGCACCCCCCTTACTGGTGGGCTCGACTCTGATGATGATCTTCATGTTTGCCAATGGGGGTATCATGAAGTCGTATGGAAAGCCCGCGGGGCCGGGTGGCCTGAACAATGTTGCGGAGGAGTCCTGGGATCTATCTGCCGCACCTGGAGCGGCCAAGGGAGTCATTGCCTGCACCTATCTGTTTGTCGCCAGTTATGCGCCTACCTGGGGTCCCGTCAGCTGGATCTACCCGCCCGAATTGTTCCCGTTGCGACTGCGCGGCAAGGCAGTTGCCCTCTCCACGGCCTCCAACTGGATTTTTAACTTTGCACTGTCGTACTTTGTGCCACCAGCATTTGAAAACATCAAGTGGAAGACATACCTGGTGTTTGGAGTGTTCTGTTTTGCAATGACTATCCATGTGTATTTCTGTTTCCCCGAGACTGCCGGCAAGACCTTGGAAGAAGTGGAGACCATGTTCACTACTCCCGGAATGCGGCCTTGGAAGACCAGTGTCCAGTTCCAGCACGTTCGTCAATTGGAGCAGGGTGCAGTTCAATCGGAGAAGCTGGCGCACTTACAGACAGAAACGGCAGGAGAGAAACGCGGCCCTGCGGTGACCCAGGTGGATTGAATCTTTTCTCTTGGGGATGAATCGAGGGAGGCTTTGAGATCACCTCACACATACACTTACGCGTGGAATAATACTGCTTTTGCCCGCATTCAGCCCTCTGGTTACGGTTTTCTCAGAATATTCGGGTTGCCCTCCCAGCTTCCTCAGTTGGAGCCAATATAAGATTGGAATCCTAGTGTTTGACCATATGTTAATGTCTTTCAAACTTTGCCTCGGTGGCACCACTAGTACATAGTCTTGTTATGTCAGCATCAGCCGCTGTTAGACACGACTAATATTTGATCTACTGCTAAGGGCTGAAATCTGCATATCTTAGGGCTCTTATGGATTCAGTGGCAGGTAATTCGAGGACTACGATTGAAGTGATGCTTCTGATTGGCCAAAGCTGTGGACAGATTTGTAGTATGTAAGCAGAACTTCGGCTGGCTAATTAATCAGACCAATGTTTTTGACATGTTGCAACTAAGACCCACTCCCCGCTTGTCAAAATGTCAGATCCACAGTGTGCAACTTGTCGTCAATTAATGAGATTAAGTCCTGCATATACGAAACCTACGTCCTCTAGTCCGCAGTGCAACAACTTACACTTTTTCCTTTTTTGTTTCACCATCTGAGATCCGCCAAGTTCATCGAGTAGATATATCAAAGTACCTTGAAAATCAAATCTAGTGGTCGCCTCTTCAATGGTGTCCATGAAAGTTGCCGCTTTCTAGCAATCTTTCAATATTCCTTCGTCAGACCATACCCCCCATGGCTTCTGTGAATCCGTCCCTCCATATGTGCCGCATCCATAAGGCCACTCTCGGTTCATCATCATCATCTACATCGGGGGCGAGGACATGCTTGAATATCTCCTGGCCATCCCCAGATGATATATTGATTTGTGGAATTCTTGCCCTCGTTCGTCAACCACCACTATTTCATCGGGTAGAAGACGCTTTCGGAGCACAAGTTGCATGTTTCATATCGCGTAAGTGGTGGCATGGGGCTTGACGTGAGTCGGTGATAGGAGAGTCAACAACGCCATCGTATTTGGCCATTCGGGTGGCAACCAGCAATTTCCAGCTGCGTTAGACGATACTTAAAACAAATCGTATCGTAGTGTAGGAAGTTAATAATTAGACTCACCGTTGTAAAATGGTGTGAAAATCTTGTAAAACAGCTGGCCATGAGAAACCCCCCACGATTCAAGAAGTAAGTGTCTGGGATACTGATCTTGAATGGGGTGCTTTAGCAGGCATATTCACACAATGAAGGCCAGTGGTGAGCTAATATGACTTCACAAGACCCTCCAATATATTGACGATTTGACTTGTGATGGATGGTGATATGTTATCTGCCCAGCAAACTCCATGACGATCTAGCCGATTATACTCGGTAGACATCTCGGAAGAAAACAGGAAAAGAAATATCTCAATCACTACCAATTTCAAGTCGGGCGTAGCTTTGTAGTACTTGGTCGGTGGTTAGTCAAGTCATCGCTGAATTAGGTAGCTGCTTGGAATTTTAATACGTAGAGGTTCCAAGGTTTAGGACTTGAACTCTAAAACCATCAGTATCTGCTTGGCATATTTGCGGCCGTGAGAGCTATAAGAAGTGTCTGAAGGCTGATGTATGTTGTTATCTATTTTGACTACCAAGGTTGATGCGTATATCTCCAGGTGCTCCGTTGACCAGATCGAGCCCAAGCAGATGTATAATGACGTTTCGCAATCTCCATTACGTGCACAAGTCTTTCCAGCGATCAAAATGATCGTCAATAAAGACAAGTCTCAGGTATTCTCCTCGTGATGAGGCCATTTCTTTCCTCCGCTACTTGAACGCCGCATCATGGCTCAAGGCTCGACGGGAGCAGATCACTGAGAAATCTGTATAATTGATAGATTACCAGATCTATGCTGACACTTGCACCCCCTGAGCGCCAATTCCGGGATTGTATATCTTCAGGGTCCCTTGGAAGAGTTGACTCAATCGCTCGACTTGTTCCTGCTTTGCCTCCATCCAAGAGCCAGTATGTCCTTCTATCGGTATCAAATTTCGTTTGGCTCTATCGCCATTCACCCAATCGAGAAGTTGGCTCACATAAGCGTCTTCTTCACCCTTCAGCGAATGAAAGTTTCGCCTATATCCCTTTATGCGAATTCTTTCCAGGTACTCTTTTTTCATCTCCTTGGCTGGCGGTAGCTGTGCATTTCCTGAGAAAACCTCCGCGACGGCGATAGCTTGGAATTCAAATAACGTAAATGTAGCAGTATAGAAAGGAATGCCCACGAATACCAAGGTCGGATCGGGGATGTAAAAGATGTCGCGATGCAAATTATGGATCTGTGTGCCATCTGTGACAAGTGTAGAGTCGTCTGCTTCTGTCACAGGCACAGAGCTGTTGTTATACTGGGGAAGGAATGGGAAGGCCATCTGGTAGCCCGTGCAGAGGACAATTCTATCAATATTGTGCAGGATTCGACCAGACTTCAAGTGCACAATCATCGGTAAATGCTCATTGGAGTGATATGGGGACTCGTTCATCTCGAAATATGTGACCTCCTCGATTCTTGAGGCATTTTCGGGGAGTGCAACAGCGGGGATGTCAAATACGCCACCTCGGGTACTTTGATAGATGGCTTGGGAGACAGGACTGATCTCTCGAGCAATATCCATTGAAGAAACCCCACCTCCTATTAGAAGTACATTCTGCTATAGTGTCAGTACTTAAGAGTAATAAGTGGTGTCGTTCTCCTGACCTTTCCTTCAAACCCATCGGCGTTTCGGAATGACTTTGAATGAGTAATCTTCATTGGCCATCTTTCTTTCGCGTGGGAAAGGCCCGGGATATCTGGGACGAGAGGGGTGTGGTAATGGCCTGATGCAACAACAACGGCGTCAAATGTCTATTTTTTTTTTAATGAGTAGTTCTCCAGCTCGAGGCAGAGCACTTACCAGCGACTTGCGACTTTCAACCATTCTCCCCGTTTCACAATCTTCCTTCAATAAAGTCCAATCAACATGCCACTTTTGCTCCTGCTTGTATACCTTGGTGACCAGGGCGCCATAAATGGTCACATCACAGACGCCTGATTTATAGGAAGTATCTTGAATGTAGTCTTTCAAGACGCTATGCTTGACATAATGCGGAGTTCCTTGCGGCCAGGCATTTAGCTTGGTGCGCAGCAATGGCGTTGATACGTTGTTTGTCAAATTTTCATAACAAGGACTAGAAAAGTATCAGTATGAAACGTACAATGGCCAAGTTGGACTTGCTCTACCCTGGTGGTGCATGCAGTAAATCCTGCCTTTCTTTCCCCTCGCGACCATCTTTGACGTACTGCTCCACATCAAGTGGCTTGATTGATGGATATTGGGCTTCAATCGGCACTCGCTTATCATAGAGCCTAAATAATGGTTGGCTTTGATTTTTTGCCTTTCCGATCAAAATGAGTTCCTACCATACTCCGCCTGCTGCTTGGCTTCTTTCAAAGACCATTACCTCTTTTCCGGCTGCCAGTAGATAGGCGGCACTAACAACCCCCGAAATACCGGCTCCGATAACGGCTACACTTTGGATAGAACTGTCGACCATGATGCTTTGATGTGAGAAAGATAAACATTGAGATTTGGTGGGGTTACCACTATTTGAACTACTTCATTCTTCCTATCCCCACTATTGGCCATTATGAAAATTTTCTGACTCAAGATTTCGCAATCCAAGCTAACCATGAACCATACTACCTCCCCTCCTATGATATGTTGGATTACGCACATTCAAGGTCCAGCGACAGAGAAAGCTTTTCGGATGAAACGGCAGTGACTAGATTATAAATCATCCAAAAGTTCGCACCATTTTGTCCGGAATTATGACATTAGGGACTTTCCCCGCCATTAGCATCATTGCCATGGCCCAATTCTAGGTGGCACCAAAATAAATCTCCTCGGGAGATAGATGAGGGGTATGAAGTACTCCTGATTGGATGGGAAGATGTTACAGTTCACGACGGGACTTTGAAATTGGGGTGGACAGAAGGCGTAATGCATTGCGACAATGATGTGCTCGAGGCCCATAGTGTCAACTGACACGACGGGCTTGACATGTGTCTACCTCCAAAATAACGGATAAAAGTACAAAAATATCGCTCATCGTCAGAGGTACTCAGAATGATCGTTTGGTACTTTAGTTTTGAAGAACTTCTTAAACTGTCATCATGGCACCCGCCCCCATCGACCCTCGCATTGTAGACGTTGCGCCGCCGAGAAAAGACACCCTCAATCTACCAGCTCCTGCAAGGGAGCGATTGGAAAAGTCAGTTGTTGATCTCGACGCTGGATATCCCTATCGACCATCACGTCCACTCTATCTGGATGACGTTTACAATGTGCGAAACTATCACCGCGAACATGTAGACCCTGGAAGCCGCGCCGATCCCGAAAAGAAGGCACTCCTGTCCGCCGCTAAGGAAGTGATTCCCCTCACAAGACATATTGGAACCGAAATTGTCGGCCTACAACTCAAAGATCTGACCAACCAGCAGAAGGACGAGCTGGCCTTGCTAATCGCCGAACGGAGCGTTGTTTTCTTCCGGGACCAAGACATCTCTCCCCAGCAACAAAAAGACTTGGGTGAATATTTTGGGGAAGTCGAAATCCATGTATGGCAATCGCAAAACCGCCTTGGGAGGATTTATGAAGCTCACTCTACTCTTACAGCCACAAGTGCCTCAAGTCCCCGGCATCCCCGGCGTATCCGTGATGTGGCCCGCATTGCAAGCCACGGAGACACCAGCCAGCTTCCGTCGACCAGGTGGCGCATCTAGATGGCACAGCGACCTAGTTCATGAAAGGCAGCCGGCGGGGGTAACACACCTACACAATGACACCGTTCCAACTGTAGGAGGAGATACGCTCTGGGCAAGCGGATATGCGGCATACGAGAAGCTCTCTCCCGAATTTCGCAAGTTCATTGATAGCAAGACCGCCATATACCGATCTGCTCACCCTTACCTTGAGCGCAGCAACCCTGAAGCTGGGCCTAAATTTGTGGAGCGTGAGCATCCTCTAGTCCGTATTCATCCTGCAACAGGATGGAAGGCGCTTTGGGTTAACAGGGCGATGACCGACAGAATTGTCGGACTTGATAAGGCTGAGAGCGATGTAATTTTGCGATACCTGAACGATGTCTATGAGAAGAACCCAGATATTCAGGTTCGATTCAAGTGGAGTCGGCGAGCAAGCGCCCTCTGGGATAATCGGTACGTTTCCTTGCCTGTGTTTCTACCCTGTTTCAGTGCTCACAATACAGAATCACCATTCACAATGCCAGTTGGGATTATGAGGGCTCACAGCCTCGCCACGGTACTCGAGTTACCTCCTTGGCGGAGAAGCCACTTTTTAACAGCAGTGCCCCAACTCGGAGAGAGGCGTTAGGCCTATTGGGACCCGAGGAGATTGAGGAGCTGGCGAGCATGAATAAATTGGAGCTGTAGTAAAGATTTCCTTAGGCTGTATGTTTGTAATACAACTGATTATGGGTTTCGTATAGTTATAGTTGTTGTGAGCACCCTTACATTCTGTGTTCTATGTTATGACAAGACTCGAAAGTTCAATCTTAAATCTCAATGCCTGTTCTGAGTAGATCCTCAAGCTACGATAAGATCCAGATTATCATCATCATGAGGTTTAGCCAAATACGTAGCAGACCATAAATCTTCTGATTGGTCTTGAGATCGGGACTCGGTGATCAGGCTTAGCCGACGGCAGGAAGTTATGCCGATCGAGCCTTTCCAACACTTTGATAAAGATTTAAGACTCGGAGACATGTGGGGGACGTAAGCCTTAGGAAATAAATAAAATTCCCTACTACAATCAGCATGTCGATTTTCAATTTTCCGTCAAGGTACATGCTGAGTGTTGTTTTACTGGCGATCGCGATTCCTTATGGACTACGTATCTATCGGATCATTTTCTTGCTCTTTCCCATTGCACGCGTCATCCAACCAATTGAAGATTTCCCATACAATTGTGAGCGCTTTGAGCATCCTCTTCTGGAAGGATGCGAAGATATCTGGGTAGACCATCAGAGTCGAAAGCTTTATGCAGCTTGCTCAACGATCGCAACCCGAACAGGGTGGAGCCCTGGTGGAGACATGTTTAATGTCTCTGCAAGGGACCAACTAGATCACATTTCGGTGATGGATATTGATGAACCTGGATCGGATGGTTTGTACGGAGTTCGGCAATTGAAAGTCGGGACCGCATATAAAGACAGCCTGGATCTACATGGATTCGATGTTCGTCGAATTGGAGATCAGCTTCGATTCTGGCTGATCAATCATAGACCGCCCATGGAGCCTGAGACTGGGGGGCCCTTGGACGCTTTCAAGGTTGGTGCCAATTCGACCATCGAGATTTTTGATCTGAACCAAGCAACAAATACATTGGAGCATTTGAAAACCATTGTTAGTGTCGCAATTGTGACCCCAAATGGACTGGCCGTCGATGCGGATGGAGTCGGATTTGCAGTCACCAATGACCATACCACCAAATCCGGGCTGTATCGGGCCCTGGAATTGCTAGTGGGGGGCGGAAGTGTCAGCTACTGTAATTCGGACTCTGGGGAATGTCAGATCGTCACCCGAGAGAACTGCAATATGGCTAATGGAATCGTCAACATTGGCAATGGACAATTTCTGGTTTCACAATCCGGGACAGGTGTTGTGGTTGCTTATCAATTGCATGGCGAGAGGATGATCCAAACTGGTATTCTGGATCTTGAAGTCCCACTCGATAACTTGTCACTTGACCCCGAAGGTAATATCTTTGTCGCTGCATTTCCAAATGTCCGATACTTGTGGGAGGCGATGCGGAACCCCTACACCGTTTTCTCACCCGCCGCGGTCTTCAAGATCTCACCGCAGGCCTTGCGAGCGGAGAGGCAAAGTAACAAGGAGTTCCCAGTTCTCAAGGTTGTGGAGGACCGAGACGGCAAAAGGCTACCAACGACCACGGTAGCCGTGCACGATGCAAAGACCAATCGATTGTTCTTGGCTGGAGTCACTTCACCCTTTATAGGGATATGCATGATGGGGAGTCTGTAGACTGGACGTCAATGTTTTTCTCTACTTCACTCGTTCTGGTAGCCAAATTATGTATACAAATAAGGGTTTTCAATTAGACCATGCTTTATAGACGCTGTATATTTTATGAGGGCTACCGGCTCTTTGAACAATATACCTAAAAGTATTCAACCTTTGCTGGTCTAAGGGCTAGAAGCTACAGGGCAGCTGGTGGCCGTATACAATTCATAGCAAAATACATGCATACCTATCCGTCTATATCAGCATCAGCCGGTCCATCGTTCGGATTCGATTGTGGAGACGTCTTCGTCTTGGTTTTGCCAGTAGAGGGCACCGGTGGCAGATGCCAGGTAAGCACGCAGCCAACTTTTACCCGGGCCTGGGTTGGTTGTGCAGGCAGTGATGTTTATGGAGTAACCAATTACAGCCAATTGTAGAACGAATAATCAAATCATGCGAGATTACTGTATGAATGCATTCGACATTGCCCCACCCGTGTTGTGATGTTCGTACAGAATGGAGAACGAGTGGCAGATCATTACCGCCCTGAGCACATGGCCCCGTGATACCGCCCGCATTTCGTTTTTTTATCTTCTCCTTGAATCTATAGAGTATTCAATTGCTGCCAAAATGAGTGCGACTACAACAATTACTGCGCCACCGGAGATCACAGCCGACAATGTGGCTACCCTGTTTCCCGAGGTTGACACCTCGCTGGCTCGGGATATTCTACCCACTGCAAACAATAACTCCGCGCGCGAAGGCACTGAACTTGAGGGATATGACGAGGAGCAGATTCGCTTGATGGACGAGGTGTGCATTGTCTTGGACAACAATGACCGACCCATCGGCAGTGCCAGCAAGAAGATCTGTCAGTTATTACAACCCCAACTTTGGCACAAGTCCATCCAAGGAGGGGTAATCAACTACACCAGATAACCAAGAATCAATACTGACATTGCTCTTCCTCCTCCACAGGCCATTTGATGACCAACATCGACAAGGGTCTGCTCCACCGCGCTTTTTCCGTTTTCCTGTTCGATTCCAACAATCGCCTTCTGCTCCAACAGCGCGCCACCGAGAAAATCACCTTCCCGGACATGTGGACCAACACCTGCTGCTCCCATCCTCTTGGAATTCCTGGAGAGACTGGTGCTGAGCTTGATGCTGCCGTGTTGGGTGTGAAGCGCGCTGCTCAGCGGAAGCTCGGCCACGAGTTGGGTATTAAGGCCGAGCAAGTGCCATTGGAGAAGTTTGAGTTTTTCACCCGGATTCACTACAAGGCCCCCAGTGATGGCAAGTGGGGAGAGCATGAAGGTATGTCTGGCCATTGGATGGTGTGAAAGTTCTTTTTCTAACCCGAATTTAGTCGACTATATTCTCTTTATTCAAGCGGACGTTGACCTGGAGCCAAGTCCGAATGAGGTGCGGGACACTCGCTACGTCTCCGCCGACGAGTTAAAGGAGATGTTCAAGCAGACCGACCTGAAGTTCACTCCGTGGTTCAAGTTGATTTGCAACTCCATGTTGTTTGAGTGGTGGAGCCACCTCGGCACCTCAGCCCTTGACAAGTACAAGGGTGAGAAGGAGATCCGCCGGATGTGAGCTTGGCCGATGAATACACTTTGTGCTGGCACTTGTCTCTCCATAAGCTTTCATTTTGATGCATTGGCCTGATACCTTTTCGTTTTCCAATCACCTGCATATTTCCATATTTCGGCACATAAGATCTTAATTCAAGTCATTTGGGGATTACCCCCCCCCCCCCCCCCCCCCCCAAAGGTATCTACCCTTTCCAGAATACTTCGTTGTAGTCTCGTATTATCAGTTCAATTTGCTTGAGCCAGAAAAAAATGTCAATAAAGAAGCTGGATATACGCAAATGCACCGCTAAAAGACAGTCAGAATAGATACAATGCAATGCAACAAACCCAATGTCACTTTCAAAGCCAGCCTCGCAAATCCAGCTACCCCGTTTGATCCGTGGACAGGAATAAGATGCAACTCCCCAGAATCACCGTCCCAACTACCGTAAAAACCACCTGGGTCTTCCAGCCACTTTGAACCAACGCGGCCTTGCGACTGTACTTCATGACCGTGCGCGCGTAATTGGCGAACCCGTTAGCCAGGCACGTGATGCTCAAAACCCAAAAAACGATGCCGAGGGGCAAGGCCATTCGCCGTTCCAGGACAGTGGGTTGTTCTCGGAAATGGAAGGAGATGATGATGGCTAGCGAGACCACTGCCAGATACATGGACAGACGCAGCCATGACAGAAAGGTGCGCTCATTAGCACAGTGATCACGCGCATCTGAACTGGTATTCTCGAAGAGAAGGGCACCGAAGATGGGCGGGGAGCAGAGAATATGGTGTTGATCTTCGACATGGCTATATTAAGTTAATGGGAAATGCGAAGCACGTGCGCGGAGATAACAATCTTGAATAAATTAAGCCAAGCCGAACTTGCAAGCCGAAGTTTTGAGAATGGGAAGGTGAATGAGGTAAGGAGACAGGGAAGGGAGAGATGGATATAGAGATAGAGATAGAGGAAGATCAAAAGAAAAAAAAACAGTGGAATGGTCATGGAGCTCGGCCACAGTACTGGTAGCTTTGACTTACTCTTCCACCAACGCGGGTCGACAATGTGTTGGATTGATAATCGGATTATACGGTCCCCGCAAGCTAAAAGCCGCATTGCTATCATTAGGTCGCGCCATTTCTGCCTAGAGAGAGAAAAATCTTTTGAATGAGGAAATGGAAAATGTGGAGGATCAGGAGACATGCATCAGGTGACAGCTCCAGCTAGACCGCTTTTAACTCGATGACATCACAGCGATCTAAGATCTTCTTTCGAGATTACATGCATGGATACATATGCACCAAGAGATATACTCCCATCTACCACAAGCAATGCCAGATCGTTGTCAGATGAGGGGGTAACCAAAGAACAGTGAACAGTGAATAGTGCACAGATGTGGGTCATCCCAATTGCCGGAGTCCCTCCGTCTTTGAGGTGAACGCGTTGAGTCATTTCAATATTGTGAGAGTCTAACCTTTCTGCTTAGACCTCCCTATTTGAGCTTTGGCAAAGCAATTGGTCAGACTTATAGACCAATCATCCTATCGTCCTATCAAGTTATCCTATCGAACAGCGCTAAGTCCGGCACTAAAACGGTCAAAGTGGTTCTCCCCCCACTTTACATTTCCAAGGTTTCATTTATAATCTTTTCGAGCTTCCCATTCTTCCTTCTCTTTGTTTTTAGGGTTGTAGAGCTTCCCTATAGATCATGGTGAAGGTGCTGTAAACAAGAAAATTCAAAAAAGGTTTTCTTGCCCTCTTCTCCCATCATGCCGCCCCGCAATGTGTACTCCGCGGACTCTGCCGAGCATCAAAGCCCGTTTGGTCGGTCTTTCACCTCCAGTTCCCCAATCGCGGAAGCTGCCATTTCTCGCGACTTAGCCCATTACACCGATGATGATTCCTTTGCCACCGATACTTCAGGGTCCTCGACTGTGCGTCCATCAAGCAGCTATGCCGGGACAAACCCGCACTCGCTGGCCGGGTCTTATCGCCGGCCAGGCTATTTCACCACCGTCAATCACGCCACCACCGTTCCCGCCCACGGCGACTACCAACCCTTGACCCACAGTGAACGTGAACAAGCGATCCAAGAAGAACACGCTTTGTTAGGCGACAATAATGTCATTCCGATCGCGCAGAGACCTCGACGACTGTCGCATAAACTGAGCAGTCTATTCTCTACCTCTCCGGGACAAGTGCACCCAAGTTCATCAAAGCCGTACGGCTCCGTCCGGACCACATCAACACATGGAGGCAGTGGAGCGGCACAGGATCCTACCGAGGCCACAGCCTTACTGGCCTCCGGTGACAATGAGATGGGCCCGGAGGAGATCGATCGAAAGTGGGAAGAAGCAGTGATCGCAGGGTTAATTAACACCACCTGGAAACGGGAAACGGAAGTCATCGCTAGATACTCCCTACCGTTGATGGTCACATTCTTGTTGCAGTATTCCCTGACGGTCGCCAGCATTTTTACGATAGGTCATTTAGGCAAAGAAGAGCTGGGGGCTGTCAGCCTGGCGAGCATGACCGTTAGTATCACTGGAAATGCAGTCTTTTCAGGTCTAGCAACAAGCTTGGATACTCTCTGTGCCCAGGCGTATGGGTCAGGCAAGCGGAAGCTGGTGGGTCTACAGATGTTGCGCATGGTGTATTTCTTGTGGATTGTGACGATCCCCATTGCCGTGCTTTGGTACTTCTCTGAGCATATCCTCGCCAAGATCGTCCCCGAGCCAGAAGTGGCAAAGATGGCCGGTCTGTACTTGAAGGTGGCCCTCCTAGGTACTCCTGGATATGCGTGTTTTGAGAGCGGGAAACGATACCTGCAGGCCCAGGGCGTCTTCTCAGCTTCTCTCTACGTGCTGATTTTCTGCGCGCCTTTGAATGCGTTCATGAATTGGTTTTTTGTCTGGGTAAGTTGACGACTCTTCCTGTACCTCAACAGATAAGGGCTAATAGGGACATGCTCAGAAATTACAATGGGGATTTATCGGTGCGCCCATTGCAGTTGCTATCACGGAGACTCTCCTCCCCATAGGCCTATTTATCTACGCTTATTTCTTTGTTGGCAGCGAGTGTTGGTGCGGCTTCTCCAGGCGAGCTTTCCAAAATTGGGGCCCCATGATCCGCCTTGCACTACCAGGCTTGATCATGGTGGAAGCCGAATGTCTGGCTTTTGAAGTCCTCACATTGGCATCAAGCTACCTTGGCACCACCGAGCTGGCTGCACAATCTATCCTCTCCACTCTCTCCAGTATCACATGGCAGATCCCCTTCCCCCTCTCCATTGCGGGTAGCACGCGAATTGCCAATCTGATCGGTGCCACGCTGGTTGGTGCCGCGAAGACCTCGGCCAAGGTGAGCTTCTGCGGAGCCACGATCGTCGGGCTGTTCAACATGGTTTTACTTTCCAGTTTACGCTCCTATATCCCCAGACTCTTCAGTTCTGACCCAGAGGTCGTCGACTTGGTGGCGCAAGTACTTCCTCTGTGTGCGGCGTTTCAGCTCTTCGATGCATTAGCTGCCAACTGTAATGGCATCCTTCGTGGTCTGGGCCGCCAGGAGATCGGTGGTTATATCCAGCTTTTCTGTTACTATGTCATCGCTATGCCGATCAGCATGGGGACAACCTTCTGGCTGGGCTGGGGGGTCATGGGTCTCTGGACCGGTGTAGCGTTGGCACTCCTGCTTGTCTCTGCAATTGAAGCGATTTTCATTACTCGGATAAGTTGGGAGCATTCGGTCGAAGAGGCTCTGCAGCGGAATGAGCTAACCTAGGCTATTCCGGAGCTTGTATCCAATGATTACCCAGCTGTACTTACCACGAAGGCTTTTGGTGAAGACCCTGTTTGTGTTAGTGTATACCTATATTTTCCCCCTGCTGCCTCCAGAGCTGGCGTTTGGGCTTAAGATTAAAGTCGATATCAGTTTTGCTCTAGAGCAAATTAGAAGTGAGAACCAGCTACGGTCGGGTTGCGACCAGATGAATCATGATATCATTTTAAATTCTACACAATGAGATTATGGAGAACTGCTATGGGGAGGGGAACTAATAGTCGAGGATAGCCCATGTTTCCTCATCCAGCGTAGAAAAGATCAGACCCGCGTTGAGAAGCTCATTGCCGGCCTTGCCAATATCCATGGCAGGAAGGCCCAGCCTCGACGCAATTGTCTGCAAATGAAGACCGGTGGCATCATGGGATTCCGTCTTCAAAAGATTGTACATATCCCTCGCGAAGGGACTCAGGCTTGAAAGGACCCTGTCGTGGCCGTTGTAGTTATCCCCTCCATCCACCCCCGCGCCACCAGCGCCGCCGTCACCACCACCATTACCGCCAGGGGGGCCCCGAGTGAAGAACAAGTGCGCGGCTGTAGCGTCGAGCATAGAGCAGAAAAATTGATTGACATCAGTCACCGGCTGGAGGCTGTGAGCAGCAATGTATCGTTTGTTGCCGAATGACTTGATAGCGCCGAGCACACGGACATATACGCCGAGCTGGATGTCGCCCTTCGTCTCATCGATGTCCATGTACGCCGCGTCAACCCACTTCTTGACCTCCACTCTGCCTGAATAGTCGTCGACAATATATGTGATGTTGGTACTCTGCTTGCTGATATTGCGCACCCGGCCTATGAAAAGCACATTGGCGACATCTGCATTGTCGACCTGGAAGGGAGCTTCGGGGTATGGAGAGGTCGCATCGTTGATCTGCTTAATTGTGACAGGACGGAGAGTCTTGTTGTCACCACCGCCATTCTGATTTCGATTCCGTGTTAGCAGAGTACTCGTACACGTCAAATCACGATTCATTCGTTACCTTGCCCCCCGAAGGACTATTAGTCTCGCCGGACATGAAGCCGCCGCCTCCACCTGCACCCCCATAGGGGTTGTAATTTTTGGATGCACCGTCTGTCATATTTGTCAACACTGGTCAAAGGTACCAATTTCAAGAGTGACCGACCCATGATATGTGTGATTGTGTGTTGTCTATGCGTGCTGTGAGAGTTGCTGTAAAATCATTTTACTCAATCGGGAGCGTGTTGAGCACGCGTCGCGGGGACTTTGTTTGCACTGTTTGCCGCCTAAAGAAACACGGCCTCACCGCCTTTCGGATTTGGAGATTTTGAGATTTTTTTTTTGCGGTGAGAATCGATAATCTTCTATCGCTCTGGAAAGTATTTTTAATATTTCCGGGTTTGGATACAGCCTGGTCGACTTTCTTTTTGATTGACACAGTCTTGTCTCTGTGTTCTTCTTTTAAATTCTCTTCTTGTTCTCCCAACCATACCGATTGATCTGTAACGTCGTCATCTACTTCTTTTTTCCGCCGGATCGGCATCACTTGGGTCTCGACATCCTCAAACCCGCAATAATGCCTCGTCGCGAAGCTTCCCCCGCCTTATCAGAGAATGACTTTGACATTACAAGTGCGCTTTTCCAGAATGACAATGACTCCGACTCCGACTCGGGTGTCGCAAAGTCCCAACAGAAGCCCACCCCGACACAGGACCTCGACTTTCTTGGCGCCGATGATGATGGTGATGAAGCGTTCATTGCCACACAGCAGGCCTCTGCCAACCGAAAAGGATCCAATCTCAAGGGCCGGACTGTGAAGAAAGGTGGTGGCTTTCAAGCAATGGGTCTTAATGGCAAGCTGCTCAAGGCCATCACCCGTAAAGGATTCTCCGTCCCCACTCCGATTCAGCGCAAGACTATCCCAGTGATTATGGAGGACCAGGATGTGGTGGGAATGGCTCGAACTGGTTCTGGAAAGACCGCTGCCTTCGTCATCCCCATGATCGAGAAGCTGAAGAGCCATAGCACCAAGTTTGGAGCCCGCGGACTGATTCTGTCGCCATCTCGCGAACTGGCTCTGCAGACATTGAAGGTAGTGAAAGAAATGGGACGTGGAACCGACCTGAGATCAGTTCTCCTAGTTGGTGGTGACAGTTTGGAAGAGCAGTTTGGACTGATGGCCGGCAACCCGGATATTGTGATCGCAACACCGGGTCGATTTTTGCATCTTCAGGTCGAGATGGATTTGGATCTCTCGAGTATCCGCTACGTGGTATTTGACGAGGCTGATCGACTATTCGAGATGGGTTTCGCCGCGCAATTGACCGAGATTTTGCACGGCCTGCCCCCAACCCGACAAACTCTTCTGTTTTCTGCAACACTGCCCAAATCCCTCGTCGAATTCGCACGCGCTGGTCTCCAGGAGCCAACCCTGATTCGCTTGGATACTGAGGGTAAAATCTCACCGGATCTGCAGAATGCATTCTTTTCCGTCAAGTCTTCAGATAAGGAAGGAGCTTTGTTGCATATTCTCCACGATATCATTAAGATGCCTACGGGCGACACCGAAGTCACCAAAAGATTCAAAGAGGAAGGTCCTCCGTCAAGGTTTCCCAACAAGCGAAAGAGGGATGATGGGAAGTCCAAACCACACAAGGAATCGCCGACTGCACACTCGACGATCATTTTTGCCGCTACGAAGCATCACGTTGACTATCTCTACTCTCTCCTGAAGGAAGCCGGCTTTGCCACCTCCTACGCGTATGGTTCCTTAGATCAACTTGCACGAAAGATCCAGGTTCTGAATTTCCGACGAGGCATTTCCAACATCCTGGTTGTTACTGATGTGGCCGCCCGTGGTATCGATATCCCGGTTCTCGCCAATGTCATCAACTACGATTTCCCCTCACAACCCAAGATCTTCGTCCACCGTGTTGGTCGTACCGCCCGTGCCGGCCAGAAGGGATGGAGTTACAGTCTCGTCCGGGACTCGGATGCCCCCTATATGCTGGACCTTCAACTTTTCCTTGGGCGACCACTCAAGCTAGGCCGTAACTCTGGCCCTGTCAATTTCGCCGAGGATGTCGTGGTTGGATCGCTCCCAAGAGATGCCCTTTCTCGCAGCTGCGAATGGGTCAACAAAGTCCTGGCGGAGATGCATGATATTATTTTGCAGCGCCAGGTGGCGACGCGAGGTGAGAAACTATACATGCGTACTCGAAATGCTGCATCGCTCGAAAGTGCCAAGCGAGCCAAGCAGGTCACGGCCACAGAAGAGTGGTCTACCATTCATCCCCTCTTCAATGACCAGACCAGTGACTTGGAGGCCCAACGGGAGAAGCTCCTGGCCAAGATTGGTGGCTTCCGGCCCAATGAGACCATTTTCGAGGTGCACAACCGACGTGGCGGCAAGACCGAGGAAAATCCCGCGATGGAAACGATCAAGCGGCTCCGCACAACGGTGGATAAAAAGAAGCAGCGCGCCCAGGCTAAGGAGCAATCGGAGTTGAACGAACTTGGCATTGGAGCAGACCAAGAGATAGACTCCGCCGACGAGGACATTCCCGAGGCTGCTGGTGACAACATGTCCGAGGCCGACGAATCTGATCTGGAGGTCACCTTCTCCGCCTACTCTCAACCCAAGAAGAAGCACGACAAACCCCAAGATTCAATGACGACCTCGTTCCAGAATTCTGACTACTTCATGGGTTACACGCCCAACAATACCGACCTCGCAGAAGATCGGGCCTACGGTGTTCACTCTGGTACGAACCAGAACTTCACTCAGGCCTCCCGCAGTGCGACCATGGATCTCAACGGCGACGAAGGTCAGCGTGGGTTTGGAGAGCCTCGATCCACCATGCGCTGGGACAAGCGACACAAGAAGTACGTGGCCCGGCAAAACGACGAGGATGGTTCCAAGGGCACGAGATTGGTGCGCGGTGAAAGTGGTGCCAAGATTGCCGCCAGTTTCCGCAGTGGTCGTTTCCAGAGCTGGAAGAAGGGCAAGCGCATGGGTAATATGCCTCGTGTGGGCGAGGCTGAGAACCCTGGCCTTGGAGATGTCTTCAATGGACCTGGTGGCCGTGGTGGTGGTGGAGGCGGTCCCCGGGGTGGTGGCCGATTCCGGCACACGCAGCAACGGGCGCCTAAGCGCGCCGATCCCCTACGTGGCGATTACGACAAGATGAAGAAGAAGAACGAGGCAGCCCGCGAACGACAAGGTGCCGGCTCGGGTGGCAAGAGTGAGATTCGTTCGACCGACGATATCCGCAAGGCGCGCAATCTGCAACAGAAACGTCGTGACAAGAATGGACGGCCATCCAAGAAGAAGCGGTGATAGAGAGAAATGGGAGTCTTTTGTAAACCTTGATCTATATCTACATCTTATATGTACGGAGATACCACATATTACGTTTCAAAATTCAAAATGTACTTTTTCCCCCTTCAGACTGGTGAAGTGACAGACCCACAGTTGAGCTTGAGCTTGAGCTTGAGCTTGAGCTCTGCGAGAGCTCGTGTGTAGAGATGGGTTTATCCCCGCACCCCGATCCAATCATAGCCGAGGGCAGATCAACAGAAATGACCGTTGGGCTAGAATCTTGAATATTCTCCTCAGAATCAAATTATGGACTAGTTTACCGGCGAATTTCATGACAAATTCCCGGATTTTCTCCCGTGTCATACCACTTCAGGGGAAGAGGAGAATGGTTCGCACTATTGAATCCCTCGTGCATGAACGGGGTGACAGACCCCTTACTGCTCCGCGTGCCGCATGTTCCACATACTGAACCCCCTTGCCCCTTTCAGGAGAGCCGCTCGTCCTCGGCAGCTCCCGTTTATTATGATTGGTTTGTCCTTCACCTGTCAATGACGTTGGGATTTTCCCTGCAGTTTTCAAGGGATGGGCAATGCGCATGCGCTGTGATCATTCTGCGCTTCACGGAGGCCCCGGAAAATAAGGGACCGAACCGGTGTATAGAGACTCTCCCTCCTCAAATCCCGAGTAAGTAGGTAACAGAGAAATGGGAGGGGTAACCAGTGTATAAAGGGGGGGGGGGGGGGGTATCACGACAGGGAAAGCCCCCTCTGCTTATTGATTAACCAAGCTTTCGTCATCGGTATATCACTCTCACGAACCATTGTCGATCTAACCACAGATAGAAAACCCCCCAAGTTGCCCCCCCCTGCAGCTGTCCGACTCATGGTTCATAACCATAAGACTTCCCACGACCCTGATCTGCAGTGTTGGGCTCGACTGTAACAGTAACCCCTTGTACAACGGAGCATAAAAACCAAAAAAATAAAAAGTAAAAAATAAAAAGTAAAAAATAAAAAGAAAAACAAAACAAAAAGGGATCGAGTCGATGAATCTACGGAGAATAATAGAGCACGGTAGTAAACTAGTGGCATATCGATACGGGGAACCACCTGATCATTGGGTTCTCGTCTGGACTTTCTACAGTCTGGACTCTCGGGGGTTTTTATCTTCGTTTATCTTGTTTTGATTTTCGTTTTTAGTTTTATCTTTTTTTTGCCCCTAATTTTTGGTTTTCTCTTTTCTATTGCTTATTTTCCGATTTATTGTTTTCGATTTTTCGATTTTTCCCTGTATTTATTGATTTTCTCCGGTTTAACTCTTCCCCCTGATTCGTTCCTTGGATCCAAAAGCTGGAATTTCCAGGAATTTAGCCTCGTCCTCCCCGAAAGGTAAGACGATGATCAACACCTGATTCTTGTGTGATGGATTTTCTCATGTGCTGTGCCAAGAAGTACTTTGTGCATGCCAAACGGAATGTGCATTTCATTGCCGAGCCCGACTATTGGCAATGGCTGCGGGCGCCGACGTCGATCCGTCAATCCCTCGCCTTGCGTCCTCGGTCTGATTGGTATCGCGCCAAATAGTGCCCCCTCTTGAGGAGAAACTAATTATTCCTCCGTGCCATTATTCATGATTCCCTCTAGGCTTACCCTTTCCATTCTAGCGGGAATCTGATCCCTTTACTGAGAGGTGTCACTGTCACTTTCCCCATCTAATGCAAGCCACTTCAGCCAGAGAACCCCCCCCTAACCCTACCCACCACAACACCCCACGATTAGGAGAACTACTCGGTACAGCTCTGGTATCAATCTGGTTTTTTCTTTCTTTTCCTTTGAGCTTCGTTTTCTTTTTCCGGGCATAGGAGGGAAAAAAGCCAAATCTCTATAGCATAAAACCCAGAAATACTCCGCCCTTCCATCTACTCCACCAGTACCGTACCGTTGGGCACTCCATTATTTGAGAAGATCTACCATGAACGGAGATCAAGTCTATCAGCTACTAGTGTCTTTTTGCACAGACCACTACTTTCCTTCCTTGTACCCAGGACCCGCCCACTTCACTTGGTATAAGCCCTGAAGGCCCGCAGGTCGGGTGTGCTACTCTAAGTTAGGGAAAAGACTTCGATTTCTCCTGGACCGTTCCCTATTCTCTGCCTTGTATCAGGGGAGATCAACGTCCTTATTGTTGGGGTGATCTTTTGAATTCTCAAGGTGAGTTTGGAATAAAAAAAAATAACCCCCATTTCCTCTCCCTTTATTACCTTTTTGGGCTTCATACTGCAATGCTGCATTGAACGTGCGTGAACCGAGACAGGAGGTAAGGTGTGGTTGGGGCCCAAAAAAATGAAAACAAAAACAAAAATGAAAAATCCGAGAAAAATACAAGCAAACCAATATTGACTCCAATGGAGAAAGGGAGAAGAAAAGAAAAAAAGAAAAAGAAAACCCCCCTATGGAAAAAAAAAAGAGGAGACCGGGGGCAAGAGAGGGGCTTTGACAATGGGCGTTACTCCTGCACCTTGATCCTAGCTCGATGATCGACCGCCATCCTGCAATACATCGCCCTGGGAGGGGAAAGACATGCGCGGCTATGAGTAACCCTGCTGTCATGATCTGGAAATCTCCCGCTGATCGATGCAGTCTATTTTCTGACTCCTCCAATAGCGGATCTCTCTAGTAATCGATTATAAGCTTGGGTGGTCCTCGAAGGAGCTGGATGACGGATATTGAACCTTCTTGCCCAACCCCTACACCGCTGACCTTGAATTTTCCCCCTTCCTAGTCCAGGCTGCCAGGGATTCGTTCGTCAGATATGCTGCCCCAAAGTGCAGAACCGAGAGTTAGTGGTCCCTTTTTGTGAGCATCACGCCAATAGAAACCGAGAGCGAAAAGCGCGGAAGCGGAACAGAAACAGCAACAGGGAAAAGAAGAAGACGATTGAGAAGACGAAGACGAAGTACAAGTGGAAGGGGAAGTGGAAGAAGTGAAAGTGTTAGAAGTGAAAGGGAATAGAGGACTTGCTGCCCCGTGGGACTATCCTCGATCTTGCTTGACACCCGATGCAACCACTCGTGCTTCCTCCACCGAGCCTCACTACTGCTCAGTTTGGACAATCCCGGTTCAACTCGGGCCCAGACGGGTTTCCGTTGAATCGACCTTGGTCGACCAATGCTCGAGGGTGCAGCCCACGGGCTCCTCTCCCTCGTCAATCTATGTCTGGCTCGCCTCTCGAAGAGCCCGCGGTGACATCCGAGGAGTCTCGGCCTCGATACCCACAGACTTCTCTACCTGCAGTGACAACAGCTGGGGAAGCCCTCTTTACTACGTCTCAGCTACCTACAGCGATTCAAGATCCTTTGCCGGCACCGATCCGGTCACGGTATGGAGACCCGCCGCCTGTCTTTGCTGGCTCTCCACAACTTCCACCAGGAGCACTGGCACCTCAGTACCCATTACCAGGCTTGGAAACGTCCCTCCCTGGACAGCCAAGCCGCTCACTAGCACCAAAGTCCACCCGACGGACAAAGGCTCATGTAGCATCAGCGTGTGTGAACTGTAAAAAGAAGCATCTTGGATGTGATCCAGCACGCCCATGTCGAAGATGTGTTCTTGCGGGCAAGGCTGTGAGTATCTGACGTTTGATTTTGAAAGTTTTAGATTGCTGTTTTGATGGTAGTTCTTCGATATGAAATAAGACTGACTCTCAATCCAAGGCTTCTTGTGTGGATGTCACGCATAAGAAACGAGGACGACCCCCGCTGAAAGCAGAAGACTCGTCAATTCGACCATATACGACGCACACAGACCATCCAACAGTTCTGGCCGAGTCGCAGTCATCAATGACAGCTCATCGGACTACCTTGCATCGGCCAACATCATCCCGTGAACTTCGACCGATGACCGATCTACACGCCATGGGCTCTCCCGGCGCCACAGCCGGGATGAGAGCACCACGCGCTCAACAGCAGCGCTGGTCAGCATCGGTATTTCCACTAACTCGACCGATGGATCCGGCTTCTGCAATACAGAGCCCTGGAGTTCGGCGACCATTCTCTTCATCTGGTGCGCCGTCGGATGCATTATTGGCACACCCACCGCCTGCCTTCGTTCCCATGACCAGTGGATTCAACCCGGTGATTCAAGCAGGACCTATGCCTCCTGGGATGGACAGACGGTTTCCTGCTTATGCTGGTCCAGCGTTGCCCCCACCAACTTCTCCTCCACAGCATCACCACCCTACAGGAGTTCCCTTCGCCCCATACGCTGAGTCTCCCAGTGGCTCTCTTCACCCTACGATAGCAGACCCCCGATTACCACCTGGACCTCGTGAGCCATACCTAGAATCTCCCGTGCGACTTCCTCCCATCCATCAGGCCACAGCAAGTCCTGGTCCTCCGCCCCCAGGTCCACCACCAGGAGTGCCTCACCATGCACACAGACTCAGCGATCCCTATCCTGGGATCTGGACTACTGGACGAGAAGAGAACCGCAGAGACCCCCGTGCCTCACTCTCATCGCAGAGGCCCATAAACTCCATGTTCGCTCACTCACCCAGTCACCAACGCTCGTCCTCATCCACGGCGGGGGCCCGCGACCCGATTCCACGACACCTCGGTCCGATCGACCTCTCAAGCCCTTTGCAACTAGGCCATTCTCCACCCATTGGAGCTCTTACCGCTCCATCCACCACAGAATCCGACCCTGAGCCTGAACCCCGACCAGTCAAACGCCGCAAAATGGCTTTAGATGACATGGTCAACGGCTAATACGTTACCGGGAGTTGTTCTGAATACCAGAATACCTGCCAAGTTTTCTACCATCTCCTTTGTTTGCATGACTCTTCTTCCCTTACAAATAATCCCGATTTCAATCTCAGCTGCCCCGGAGGCGTCTTGTATTGTATAATTTACAATTCCTTGTAGCAGGGCCTACGAGAGGTGACCGATATACCCTTTCCAGCGTGGCGCTTGTTTTTCTTTCTCGTTTTGTTTTTGTTTCTGTCGTGTATCTCGGTGTGCGCAAGCAGCAGGAACTCTTTGCATTGTCTTCTACATTTCCTTGCGTTATCTGTGCCCCCTCTGAATGGTCTTCTCTTAATGATTCGATTGACTTGTGCAGGAAGACGATTTCCTTTTGTTGCTTTTCCATTCTTGCGAGTACCCCCTATTGTTAGGTGTTTCTGAAGACATGGCAAGGCGTTTCGTGGATTGGCAAAGGGCATTCTCGTGATTTCTCTTGTTTTCCCTTTGTTTCCCTCTCCGTTTTCTAGATATGACCATGTATGCTTGTGGAGAGAGATGTCTTGTACACCAGTGTACAATGAGGAACTTTTTTTCGAGTTCCGGATGTTGTTTCATGTGAGCGCTAGGTTATTTTAAGCTTAAATTCTTAAATTACGTTTCCACATGTGAATTTAATTTGTCACTGGTATTCCCCAGCCTTGTTTGACACGGTATGCATGCTTATCGAGTAGACTCATGTTACCCGATCAACATAGATATTGGAAAACCATGTGGTCCACACGATTTCAAAATTTCAGGTCTGATCATTGGAATGGGAAATCCTAACCAGGACAGCCCATCAAGGTCTGTGCCCTAATTTTAATTCTCAGGAATTTCTTTGAGTTTCATTTCCTGCCTTCGAATGAAGAAGTCTCATCCATTTGTTTGTTCGAACATCGGGACTCGTTGCTTTTCTTCTTGCGTCCCCCTGTCCTTTGTCTTCGTAACCATAGACCTCGCTCCACTCCAACTATGAATAAAAGTAGAATACCACAGATCAAATCTCATATGATTGACGTCCCACCAGAGTCTTCCTTTGTTTTTTCCGGAAATGGAAATCAGTTCTACCGCCGAACTTCGGGTAAATGCAATGGGCAAAGTAACACGCTCACATTCCAGAGCAAACCAAATACCTCTTTTGAAAAGTCACTCCCAAAATGTACGTAGGAAACTGCGGACCTAATATTTCACAAAGATTTCATCGAGCAAATTTTTCCCTCTTTGACACCTCCAGAGCCATGAACTCTGAATGCTGATGCAGGCGATTATTTCCGACATCGAGCCCTCAAAACTAGATCTCATGGGTCTCATTCCGTAAATTACACGTCTCCAGTTGACTTGATTCTGTCATTCGGCTCAAAAGAGCCCTATGCTGGGTTATGCCTTAAAGTTTTTCCGCATCAGGGGAAACATGCTGACTCTCTGGAAGGTGATTATTACAACTCATGATACCCTGGAAATAACCTCTTCACATCACGAATGGTGTAATTGTTCAGAGGTTGATATTCCAGAGTTACCCGGGTGTTGAAGGCTTTGTTTTCAAATCTTGGCCATGAAACCCACCCTCGAGCTGTAGCCTTGTAAGCTATATTTAGAAGCCCAACCTCTGAAACTTTGACATAAGTCTTCACTATTACAAGAGTGTTTAGATTGAGGCTCGCTTTGTAACATATAATCCATTCCTCAGCTTGTGCAGAACCGCCCTTGTGGAGGGTAGGATTGTATCTCCTAGATTATTTGTGTTACATCAGATTTATTGTGAGTTTGAAACATCTTTGTTAACTGTTCTTTCACTTTTTCTCGTCTGAATCTTGCTTTTCTTAACTCCGTTTCGCCCCCCTCGTACCGCTTCTCCCAGGTTGAGGCCATGCCTAGACCTGGACAGCGTTGACAACACTCTTTTCGAAGTATCCCAACCCGCAACGCTCAAAATCATTCGAGAGATAAGACAAATTTCACAGCGATGTAAATTTAATATTAGCACAAAGAGAGATACCGAGTTCCATACTTACTTGGCCAATTTTCTTTGTGTAGATCAGCCCACAGCTTTCTCGGGTAACTAAACTTCCGGGGCAGTCTCAAAGGACCCTGGAAGTCCGGGTTTTGCCAGTTATAAACATCCCCATCTCTGATATTGATCTCAATATTCCTCAAACCTCATTACTATCAACCTTGATTACTTTCGAAACAGTGAGTGACAGTCCAACCCATCAGAATGTTCCATTTCCTTGATGGCATCACGAACCTAACTGGGTACAATAGAAAGAACGCCCAATTCAACCCGGCACAATGCCAGCCCAATCACCCAAGCGCAGACACCCTGAGTCGGAGAAAAACCATCATTCTACAGAAGACTTGCCAGTCAAACGCGTCAAAATAACCTCTGGCCCTAGAAATAAGAAGCGTCCGAAAACTTCATTCATGGGTCCACCCCCTCCACCAAAAGCTTTTCAGAGTCATGATATCAGCCAAGGTGAAGGTCCAGGGAAAAGGTCTCCAGCTTCAGCTCAGATTCGATATAAGACAACGATTCCATCTGACCTTCGAGCGCCTTTCCCATCTCTAGTCCAACCTGCCTCGCAAGTCCTAAAGTCGCCTTCCTTTATCCTCACTCCGGTTATATCATCTCAGTCTACATTTCCGACTGCAATCAGACCTCAGGGGACCATGCCAGGCCGATCAGGGGCAGCATGGCTTCCACCAGCGACCAGACCTCAGGGACCAATAAGAATCCAAAACCCGGGGATAACCGCAGGTGGAGGTCGGTATCCAAAGCGTGGAGCGCCAGCGGAATTCGAAGAAATCCAAAAGTACAAGAGATTCAAGGAGGTACCTCCCCAACGCGAAAAGGGAATGATCACGACTATAATTGATGGCAAGAGTGTAATGCAATTCCGTGCTACCGACAGCCTAGGCAAGCGTAAAGCTTGGCCTGTGGTCTCATTGGGTAAAGAGGGGCCTTTTCCTCGATGGCGGCTGTTCCAACACGTACCAGACCTCCCGAAGGGCAGGAACCTTGCACTCGACTTGATTCGAACACATCGAGAAAGAACGATCATCCACGGGCTCGACCACAATAGCCACCCTAAGTCCAATGATTCAAGCATTGGTCTTGGTATTCTTTACTGGGACTTTCAGGCTGGCACAAAGGACACATGGGGTGGCTTGACGAAAAAGGAGCTGTACGAATTTGCCTATAAGTGCCTCGAGGATGCATTGAATGATTACCAAAGCCGAACCGAAATCCGCCTTTTGCTCAAACAGATGAAATTGAGCGTCATCGCCAATGTGGAAGATCCATTACCACCTCTCCCTGGGCCGCCAAAAGCGAAACTCTTTGGACCCGAAGCCGGAGCTGCGTGGCCGAAAATACCTCCTCTCATGGAAGGTGCTCCCCAGCCCTACTTTGGCAATAGGTATTGGCGTCCTAGTATGGCCATTCGTGATGGTCAAAGCAAAGCCAAGTCTACCGACTTGTTGATTACCAGAATGCGCCATCATACGAAAGGGACGTTGGGCCCCCCTGGTGTGATCAGTCGTTCACGAGATTCCAGAGATAAAACTCCCGGTTCTCCGGCAGCCCCTAGCGGTGGAGAGAAAGACTATAAAAAACTTCCCACGGGTAGGAAATCAGCCCTGAAAGCAGGGGGTACGAGAAAAGAGCTAGGTGGCAAAGCTGCACAAGTTGGTGAGTCGCAATTGCCCTTGTTCGTCGTCAAACTTTCGATTCTCTGCATGTATGACCCTACTCTATGCATCGCCATCGGATCAGTCGAGCCTATATTTAAGGGCAATGCAATTGTAAAAGGTCATGCTAGCATTCCTTACCTTTTTACTTGCTACATTCCCAGCACCCTGCTCTGAATGCCTCTTGGTTTAATGGACATTCAAGCTAACATATATTATCTAGACGAAAAGAGGAAGTCCGATACAGAGGGCAAAGGTGAAATTAGAAAGGACGGTGTAAACTGTGCTGGGCTTATATCAGGAGGGGGTTCCTCAATTGACCCTTCTCATAAGGACAGGATAATTCTAAACCATGAACCGAGCAAAAGTTATTACACCAAATGCAAACAGATCTGTGAGGATCATATGGAGCGTCAAAGATATCTCCCTGCGCCTAAATCAGTTCGCAGAGTGCGGACTTGGGCTGGCTCCTCTATTCTAGCCTCCCAAACAGCGGATCGGAAGTGGAATCTGCCGCAGAACCGTGCTTCAAACAGGTCATTCTTTCCATTTGGAATTGTTTAATGCAAGTTGACACTACTTCATCGGGCATGAAGTTGACCAGAATTGTCAAGTCCTGAGAGTCAGCGAAGAAAGGAGGGAGTTTGGAAGGTTGAGACGGATGGGCTTGAATATTTCTAGTCTTTGGGGAACTAAGAAAGTGTATTGGAAGTTGGAAGTCAGTGATACATTTGTAGGTTTTGGATGCCAAATGTATTGCTTTAGGATCTTCAATGTTATTAGATATGAATTACAGCCTTGAAAGTCAAATTGGCCGCTGGTTTGTTGATGCAGAGGTTATAATGGATAGACCACTATTCGCTCAATCTGCCTAATTTTCTCTCCCCAGCACGTTCCAAGACTTATCACTCTTCATTCGTTGGACTTCGGTTCATCCCTGTGGCCCCGAATCCACACAAGCTGCCAGCAGCCGAGTAAAGACATAAGAGAGAACCCTCCCCGCCATCATGGAGAGGAAAGATGGTTCATGATTTCCGAGTATCTGCTGTTGTTAGCTGTTCTTCCATCAGCGGGGTATATCAGAGGATACTAACATCATATATTTCCACATGTCTACCGAATACTCTGCAGTCACTAAGGTCCAGTCGAATGGCGCACCCGCTACCGGCTCATCCTCTGGGTCATGGTAGAGACTCGCGTAGGGATGTGAAAGTGCTTCAGTGGCACTGATGCGCTGGCTTGGATCCCACACGAGCACCTTTTCCAGAAAATCAAGAGCTATTTTAAGTCAGCACGAGATGATGGATTACGGTCTGAGAGAGACATACCCTCCAATGATGCAGCTTTGAATTTGGTTCTAAATGGCTGCTTCTTGCGTTGCGGTAGAGCCGCAATGCGCTCCATCGTCTGCAGCCACGAACAGGTCAGTACATATGGAACAGGGGTCTCGGCATGGCTAAGAACTTACACCCTCGGCACAGATATGTGGGAGGATCTCTGGGGGTATTGAACCAAGAAGGTCAGATATAATTAAAAATTGATGTGCATGGTCTTTGCCGGGGAAAAGAGGCGTTCCTTCGATCATTTCAGCCAGGATACAGCCTGAACTCCACATGTCCACCTCGACGCCATAATTTTGCCAAGTAAGCATGATCTCTGGTGCCCGGTAGTATCTTGTCGTCACGTAGCCGGTCATCGAAAGCTTAAGCGTTCGTGCAAGACCAAAGTCACAGATCTTAAGGTCGCAGTTTTCATCGACCAAGATATTGCTAGGCTTCAAATCCCGATGTACTACTCCGGCCGAGTGAATATATTTCAAGCCCCGCTGCTAAAAGTCAACCTCAAGATCTCCCGCAGCATTTTAATCGATTCTTACCATTATTTGATAAAAGAAATATTGGATATATTTATCCTCCAAGGGTCTGGACCGAATCACACGGGCAAGATCCGTGCTCAGCAGGTCTGTCACCAAGTACCTATTGACGACTTAGTGGATGGGCATCACAGGTCTGAAGCATCAATCTTACAAATCATCAAAGGGCGAGACGAATATATCTTGTACGGAAATTACCTGTCACCCCGTGGTTAATGATGATCAAAGTTTGAAAAGTGGAGCTTACATTGCCATGTCGGAGATGTCGAAGCAATTTGACTTCTCGAAAACTTCGCTTCGCTGCCTCCAGTGATTGAAAGGGTTCTGCTATTTTTTTGATAGCCACTGCTTGGGTGGTCAGATTATCGGTAGCAGAACTGGAAATCAATCTGTTAGTCCCAACAGGTCAACGACCATGAGGTCCTTCAAACGGCATGCATACCACACTTGCCCATATGTTCCAACGCCAACGAGCCGAAGTGCCGAATACCTGTGAATTATCGTTAGCATTTGAATGCCCGACCGCGTTACGGCACGGACCTGCTGGTGGTGTCGAAACTGCATCCCCCAATCTGATGATTAATAATATTCGCCATGGTCCGAGGGATCCAGAGCCTGAATCAGGTTAACAAGGCAGGTTTGAAAACTGCTTCGCCTGGGTGAATATTCCCACAACTCCGATGTGCCGTGTGATGGCCAGCCGCAGTTAGCCTGAAGCTACCGTGGACTCCCGAATCCGGTTTTTGCGCCAATCAAACTTTCATCTCTGTTCCATCACATGACCCCCGGTAGACATCAGGCACAGAGGGTAGAATCATTAGATTAAAAAGGAACTACATGTGTAGGTATCGAGCCTAGCTCTCTAGATCATCTTGTCTCGTACTTATGCGATTCTATACCATCTACGGAATTGCCTAAGCCACAAAGAGGTGCGGGTCTCGAGTCTATTGGACGGAGAAATTACCCGCCCACTCGGTCAGATTCTTCCATTTGTTTAAAGCAACTTCCAAAACATCATGTTGCTGTTAACAAGGTTTCTTGTTCCAATACAATATGAACCTCTGAAGCTCTTGATTCTATGTAGTGCAGTACAAACTGACCGATTTTCCTATAAAGCTCAGAGGCAATTCTTCCGACTATTGTACACCTTAAAACTTACGGGCTCGAAATTTTAAGCTCCAGGGATGTCGTATATCTATCGCATTTCATGGTAATAAACCAGATACACATGCCACGACAAGCCTAATGCTAGTCCTTGGAGAGACAGGGGAGATCAAGGGTCCAAGGCCTAGGGTCTAAGGCCTGTATGTAAAACATCTCTGTCATGCGATATCACGTGAGCCCGAAGCTACTGCAAACCACACAAACATCTTCCCCGACAGGCACGGGCAGCGACATCGAGAAGCTCTTGTACGAGTTCAACGGTCGTTTCTCCATTGCTTTCATTCGGCACTTACTCGGATCCCTACACAATGATCCATCCCTAACTCACTATCAACCCTAGACCACAGACCATCGACTCGGTTGGACGTGTTCTACGGCGTCGCGACACGCTTGAACAGACGTAGTCGTAGTCGCGGTTGATTCGTTGCTGACAGCACGCGATCACCATGTTTACTTTCACTCCGCTACTGGGCGCGCAGTCATCGTCTTCACGAGCCTCACAGTCGATTCTGGAGCTTGATGGGGGCATTAAGATATTGGTGGATGTTGGCTGGGATGATACCTTTGACACCCGCGATTTGGCGGAGCTCGAAAAGTCGGTTTCAAAATCAAAAATTGTCTTGGTTCTCGTTTCACTAATCTAACATTGATCTCTCACAGGCATATTCCGACACTTTCCCTCGTTCTCCTGACCCATGCGACCCCGGCACACATTGGCGCTTTCGTACACTGCTGCCAAACATTCCCTCTCTTCACCAAAATCCCCATTTATGCGACAAGCCCGGTAGTTGCTCTCGGTCGTACCAGTCTACAAGATCTTTACGCATCTGCACCGCTCGCTGCCACTTTCCTTCCAACGGCGTCGATCTCCGAGCCCGGTGCATCCTCAGCAGCATCTGCGGTGGTATCCGGGGAGCGTGAAGGGAATACTGAAGCTGCAGGCAGCACAGGACGAATCCTTCTACAGCCACCGACCGCTGAGGAGGTCGCTCGCTACTTCTCCCTCATTACCCCCCTCAAGTATTCGCAACCACACCAACCTCTGCCGTCTCCATTCTCCCCGCCCCTGGATGGGCTTACGCTTACTGCCTACAATGCTGGGCATACCGTTGGTGGAACAATATGGCACATTCAGCACGGCATGGAGTCCATCGTATATGCAATGGATTGGAACCAGGCGCGTGAAGGCGTCGTGGCGGGTGCGGCGTGGTTCGGTGGATCTGGAGCCAGTGGAACGGAAGTCATTGAGCAGTTACGCAAGCCGACAGCCTTAATTTGCAGTACCCAAGGTGGTGATAAGTTTGCTCTTTCCGGTGGCCGGAAGAAGAGAGATGATCTTCTTCTTGACATGATTCGAAGTAGTCTTGCAAAGGGCGGCACTGTCCTCATTCCGACCGATACCAGTGCCCGAGTGCTCGAGCTTGCATATGCGCTGGAACATTCTTGGCGTGATGCAGCGGCGGGCGAGAAGGAGGATGTATTGAAAAGCGCGGGTCTTTACTTGGCTGGTCGGAAGGTCAACACCACCATGCGCTTAGCTCGAAGTATGCTCGAGTGGATGGATGAAAGTATTATCCGGGAGTTCGAAGCTGCTGAAGGTGCAGACGCAGCTACTAATCAGCGGACTGGTGGACAGGGCCAGGAGAAAAGCAGCAAAGGTGTCGGGCCATTCAATTTCAAGCACCTTAAGACTGTTGAGCGCAAGAAGAGTCTCGAGAAACTCCTGTCGGAAAAGGGACCCAAAGTCATCCTCGCATCTGATACATCTTTAGCCTGGGGATTCTCAAAGGAGTCTCTCCGTCGGGTCGCCGAGGACCCCAATAATCTGCTCCTGTTGACAGAGTCATACCGCAAATTGGCGCGTGAAGAAAATTCGGAGTCCCCGTATAATATATCCCTTGGAAGTATTATATGGCAGTGGTATGAAGAAAGGCGCGACGGTGTGGCCCTTGAAGAAACTTCTGATGGCGAGTTGCTTGAACAGGTTCATAGTGGTGGGCGGGAGCTGGCCTGGACAGAGGTGCAGCGAGTACCTTTAGATGCTAGCGATCAACTGCTTTACCAGCAGTACCTTGCTACCAAGCGCCAGTTGCAGGACACTGCTCAAGTTCGAGGCGGTCAAGAAACCCTCGAAAACGCAGCAGATGCTTTGGATGATGGGTCTAGCTCTACGTCTTCAGAAGACTCGGATTCAGAACAGCAAGGTCGTGTCCTCAATTTCTCGACCTCACTAGCCCACTCGAACCGAAACAAGTTGGCCGTCAGCGACGAAGACCTAGGCATCAACATCCTTTTACGACGGAAAAACGTCTTCGACTATGACGTGCGTGGTAAAAAGGGACGGGAGCGCATGTTCCCATTTGTGGCGCCAAGGAAGAAGGGCGACGAATATGGAGAGTTCATTCGTCCTGAAGAATACCTACGTGCAGAGGAACGCGAGGAGATAGACATGCAACAACGACGATCGGACGCACAAACGAAGCTTGGCCAAAAACGGCGGTGGGACGAGACCACGGGAACTGCCGGGCGAAGGCTATCTGGTGGTGCTGCAGGTCGTAAGCGTCAACAATTGTCCAAGGATGGCCAACGAGTGGACTCAGGTGCAGGTGATGACTTCAGTCTTGTATCCGATGGCGATGTTGGTGATGATGCGGCGTCTTCCGAAGATGAAGCAGATGCCCAGCCGTTTGAAGGTCCTTCCAAGGCTGTTTACAGCAAAGAGACGATCATAATCAACGCCAGAATCGCCTTTGTTGATTGCATGGGTCTGCACGACAAGCGTAGCTTGGAGATGCTCATTCCGCTTATCCAGCCACAGAAATTGATCCTTGTGGGTGGAATTAAGGAAGAGACTGCGGCTCTGGCGGCCGAATGCAAGAAACTCTTGGCGGCGAAGGCCGGCGTTGACGTCTCGGCTTCTGCAGCAGATGCAGCAGCTATCATTTTCACACCCAGTAATGGCGAATCAATCGATGCAAGCGTTGACACCAATGCCTGGATGGTCAAACTGAGCAATAACCTCGTCCGCCGCTTAAATTGGCAGCATGTCCGCAGCCTTGGTGTCGTTGCTCTGACTGCCCAGCTGCGGGGACCTGAAATCTTCACCGAAGAAGGTGATACCGATGCTGAGGCAGTCAGTAAGAAAATGAAGGTGATTGAAGATGTAGCAGCTGCTACAGCCGCCGTTCCGACCACAGATATTGTCGCAAGGATTGGCGACAAGTCGGACGTGTTCCCTCTCCTTGACACCTTACCAGTTAGCATGGCTGCAGGCACCAGGTCTGTGGCTCGACCACTCCATGTCGGCGATTTGCGTCTGGCTGATCTCCGAAAGCTCATGCAGGCCGCTGGCCACATCGCGGAGTTCCGGGGCGAAGGAACTCTTCTCATTGACAAATCTGTGGCTGTCCGCAAATCGGGGACCGGCAGGATTGAGATCGAGGCTTCAGCGCAGTCCGCTGCCAACCAGGCCACTATGGGTCGCGGGGCGAGTAGTTTCCTCGCGGTCAAGAGGAAAATCTACGAAGGACTAGCGGTTGTGGCAGGTAACTGAACGAATGATATGTATTTTAACATTTTACATTATGTATTTCTGGATCAGGGAAAGCTTTCATGAACATTCAACCTTGGCATCATTTCCTATCACTCGTAATTGTACCGTAATTGAACTGTGCGAGAACTTCTCTGCACAAATTGAACCAGCAATCGCCTTCCCATCTAATCTATATTCTAAAATCGTCAAAATATTAAAATGCATGAAACATCAAACGGATCATGTCAGCCTGCGGAATAGTCTACACGCTGATTTCATGATCTCCCACGTAGTCGTTATCCTCGGTCGGGATTTCGTGAATAGTATCGTTAGTTTGCGGCCCAGTGTATTTGCTGCAGTGAAAGGTCAGCGCTGGTTTCAATGTCTTTTATCACCAAACGACGGCTTACCCTCTAGCTTCAACCCACCACCACACCAAAGCAAACATGGCAATGAAAGCAGCCACACAAACGGCGTAGTTCCTGGTACTGTTATTGGTCACGGTGACTTTATTCTTCAGGAAGATTCTTACATGTTGGCCCTGGTCACAGGAATCTGACTCGGGAAGAAGAGAATTGTGCTGATGAACAAGACCCAAATAATGGCAACATAGTTGATGGGAGCTCCCCACCTGCCCAGTGTGTAGGGACCCTCCACAAACTTGACTCGGGACTTGTAGATCTGGTGAGCCAAGATCACCGAAACATAAGACAAATCGAGCGCTGGTGCTGTGACACTGAAGATCGCCGTCGCAGTTTCAGTGGAGCCGATAGCAATGCAGTTCAGACCAATGCTGAAAACGACCACGAACCATACTGCATTGACAGGCGTATGGGTATGAGGATTGACCTTTGAGAGGAACTTGGAAAACGGCAGAGCGTTATCTCTGGCAAAGGCATATGCCATTCTGGTATCAGCCAACATGGCCGAACAGCCAGTGAAGAACTGCACCAGGATGGCGAATGACCACATTGCTGTGCCGCCTACTTTTCCTCCAGCGTTGAGGAAGATCTGCGCAGCAGGCAGGCCGGTAGGCGTTTTCAAGATACTTTCAAAGTCTGTCAGGCAGAAGCACATGCAGACAGTCAACAGCCATCCGAAGACTCCACTGACCAAGACGGCGGTCTTGATGGCCACGGGGCCTCGAACAGCGGCATCATGGGTCTCTTCCGACATACTAGTTTAAAGTTAGAAAGCATGTCACACTTTGCCTCTCGTAAGACTTACTGCGTAGTCCCATCATAATCGGTCATTGTCCATGCCACAGATAAGAAGCCTAGAAAGAAGGAGAAGACCTTTGAGCCCCACCCTGACCCGTCAGTGAAGTGGGTAAAGACCCACGAGGCCGGCATCTTATCTGGGGTAAGATATATCAGGGCAATACATATCCCGATGGTGGCCGCGACTAATTAGTTGGCATTAGCGCTGACATATCGAGAAGGAGAACAAATATCAATCTTACTATTGATTGGAGCAAACCACAGGATAATCCGATGAAGGGATTTTGTCGTCAAAGAGCAAATGACACCAAGAACACATAGTATTCCAATTGAAACCAACACCGTTTGCAGTGCAGTGCTGGATGGTAGATATTAGCATCCTTTTGTGAAGCACTGAAGTCTATATCATACGGGGAATACGAATACTGCCCATCCACAAGATCCGAGTTCATACTAACACAAGCCAACAACATCTGACTAACGGTATATGCCACACTGGACACGCCCGCTGTCTGACCCAGTAAGTTGCACCATCCTTGAACCCATGAGAAAATGGGGACTTGGTCTTTGGGCACGACATGCTTGGTAACAAAGTACATGCCACCAGCGGTTGGGTATGCGGACACTAGTTCCGCTACGGAACTACCGATGCACATTGCCATGCAGGAGCCAATCAACCAGCACCAAACTGCCGTGGCAGGGCCACCAACCGATAAAGGAGAGCCGAAAGTTGCAGGAACCGAGCCGAGAACCCCGAGGATGGAGATGGCGTAGGAAATGGTTGACCATTTGGAAAACTCTCGTCGTAATTCCTTTCGAACGAGAAACCGAGTTAGCCCAACCCCAGACTGACCTATGTCAATTACATCTGGCAAAGTACGGGCGCGAATACCTGTTTATAACCAATGCGAGCGAGCAGCAGCTCATCGTCATCTTGAATTGTGGCCATTGATGGGTGACCCGATGGGGTGAAATGGTCTTGATCCTGCTCTCCCTTGGATTTGCAATTCGAAACTGGGGATTTCACAATGAGATCCATTTCAAAGGGAGAAAGCAAGTGCAGATCATCAAGATAAGGGAGAGAGGGAAGAAAAAGCAAAAAAAAGGGGGGGAGGAGGGGCAAGCTTAATGTAAAAAGGGAAAGACTTACGGTATATCTACTCGACCTTGGTGACGCCAGATGGAGGGGCTAAGGTCCGATGCAGGAAAGAAACGGTGTACAAGCTAAGCCCACTTGTGGCATACCGGACTTCATACAATAGGAATGAACCGATAAGCGCGAACCAATTGATTCGTGATGCACGTCGGCGCCGAGTCGGGAATGGGAGACATGGATTGGGAGTGAGAAAGAAGATGGTTTGGCTTGCAGGAAGCTAGTTCAATTGGGCATTGGACATGATCTGGCCTATATACACGGATTTTTATAACAAAGCCTTCACGGACTGATAGACTGCATGAAGAGTTAAGTGAAATGAAATAAAATTAGAATTTAATATCACCATGTAATAAGCGAGTAGCTGGAATGATAGAAGTTGGTTGAACTTGTTTATGCTTATTTGTTTGAAACACGTGAACGGAAACACGTAAATCCGTTGTGTAAAGGTGGTCAATCGGGGATATCGTCAACATCGCGGGGTTTGTTACTTCCTTGCCCGTTATGCTCTTTTGGTTATTTTGATCTGTGTCCTCTCTGCATGATTCGCCATGGCCAACCCTTCCCCCTATCACGCTATGGGCCAGGCGGACGAGGACCCCTCTAATCCCCAGCAATACTCGTCTCAAGGTTATTCCGCCCCTCCACAACCTGGAGCTGTCTATCCCAATGCCTCACCGAATCAGTGGTCCGCATATGGCTCCCCACAGCCATCTCAACAGCCATACCCAGGACAGTCCCCAGACGTCGCGTACAATACCGCGCAGCAACCCATGGCGGACCCGAACATAGGGGGTTTGGTCTCTCAGATGACTGGCCTCGGAGTGACAGGAGAAGCAGCAGGAGCAAGAACGCACCGAAAGAAGCATCGGCATGCCCATCATGACATTGGAGCAGGCCCGGCAGCCTCCGCAGCTCCTGCACAACCATACAACCAGGCAATGGGCGCGGAGGGTGTTCAACCCACCTCTCAATTTCTCAACACCGGCTTAAATCAAGCTCCTCGACCTCTGTCGCCAGCCGTGGGTCCTCAATCAGGACAGCCAGCCCCCGGGTTCACTTCACAACCAGGTCTCGAAGGTGGTGCGGGCTCTGTGGCCACGCAGGGCCGCGTTGACCCTGAACAAATCCCCAGTATCCCTCGATCGCGCGACATCCCAGCCCAGTACTACTTCAACAATGTCTATCCGACTATGGACCGACATCTTCCTCCCCCCGCGGCGATCCCGTTCGTCGCGCACGATCAAGGCAATTCATCGCCTAAGCATGCCCGCCTTACCCTCAATAACATCCCCGCAACCTCCGATTTCCTCTCCCAGACCGGCTTGCCGATGGGTATGGTTCTGCAACCGCTCGCCCCTCTAGACCCCGGTGAGCAGCCGATCCCAGTCCTGGATTTCGGAGATATTGGTCCTCCACGATGCCGCCGATGCCGTACCTACATCAATCCCTTCATGTCCTTCCGATCGGGTGGCAGCAAGTTCATCTGCAACATGTGCACGTTCCCCAATGATACTCCGACCGAATACTTTGCGCCTCTGGATCCATCTGGAGCGCGTGTGGACCGCATGCAACGACCTGAATTAATGATGGGCACTGTTGAGTTCCTAGTGCCGAAGGAATACTGGAACAAGGAACCCGTGGGACTGCAGACTCTCTTCCTGATCGACGTGAGTCGCGAGTCGGTTCAGCGTGGTTACTTGAAGGCCGTCTGTGAAGGAATTGCGGAAGCCTTGTATGGCAACATTGACACAGCAGAGGGCGCCGAGGACCCCGCGCACAAGCTTCCAGCTGGATCAAAGGTTGGCATCGTCACTTTCGACTCAGAGGTGCACTTCTACAACCTTACCGTATGTGAATTCTTTGGCCACAAGCAACTTGCCACTGACTGGTCTCTAGGCAACATTCGATCAGGCGCAGATGATGGTGATGACTGATTTGGAGGAGCCTTTCCTGCCACTGAGTGAGGGTCTTTTCGTCGACCCGTATGAGTCGAAGTAAGTTCTGACCAACCTTGAGCCTTGGGTGTCGTATAAAGTACTAACGGTGAAACCAGATCGGTGATTACATCGCTTTTGAGCCGGATAACCAGTCTTTTCGCGCACATCAAGAACCCTGAGCCGGCGTTGCTCCCCGCACTGAATGCCGCATACTCCGCATTGCAATCTACGGGTGGAAAAATTATCTGCTCCTTGGCTAGCTTGCCCACGGCCGGCCCTGGGCAGCTGGAGATGCGAGAGGATCCTAAATTACATGGGACCGATGCAGAACGCAAACTGTTCAGCACAGAAAACCCTGCTTGGAAAAAGACAGCAACCAAGCTGGCCGAGGCTGGCGTTGGTGTTGATTTCTTCCTTGCGTCCCCTGGCGGCGTGTACATTGACGTGGCAACCATCGGTATGTTCATTCACGCATCCAATGTATAATACCTTGGAATCGATTTTCATGACTGACCTATCCCAGGACATGTCTCGGCCACTACAGGTGGTGAGACCTTCTTCTACCCCAATTTCCATGCACCTCGGGATGTCCTGAAGGTGCGGCAAGAGATTGCTCACACTGTCAAGCGAGAGACTGGTTACCAAGCGTTGATGAAGGTGCGCTGTTCCAATGGTCTCCAGGTGTCTTCATATCACGGGAACTTTGTGCAGCATGCCCTTGGTGCCGACCTCGAAATCGGTGGTATCGATGCCGACAAAGCTATTGGTGTGGTTTTCAGCTACGACGGCAAACTCGATCCCAAGCTGGACGCTCACTTTCAGGCGGCATTGCTATACACGTCGGCAGACGGGCAACGGCGAGTCCGGTGTATCAACGTTGTGGCAGCGGTCAACGAAGGTGGTATGGAGACCATGAAGTTCATCGACCAGGACGCTGTTGTTGCTATTATTGCGAAGGAGGGTAAGTTGACAGTTGGGCCCCCAGTTCACTTGTCTTTCATACTAATTTTGCTTTCCAGCTGCATCCAAGACACTCGATAAGTCCCTGAAAGATATCCGTGCCAATATTCTGGAGAAGACAGTTGATATCTTCAGCGGCTACCGGAAGATCTTCTCGGGATCTAATCCTCCGGGTCAAATGATATTGCCCGAGAATCTGAAGGAATTCTCAATGTTCATGCTGAGCTTGGTTAAATCGAGAGCCTTCAAAGGTAACGACTGTCATCCTTTGGTCAATTGAAGCCCTGTGGCTAACGAAGTAAATCTTTACAGGCGGAAACGAATCATCAGACCGCCGGGTTCACGATCAACGCATGCTCCGTTCGTTCGGCTGCACAGAACTCTCCCTTTACCTTTACCCTCGCATCATTGCCATTCACAATTTGCAACCGCTGGACGGGTTCGCGAACGAGCATGGTCAACTTCAAATTCCACCGTCGCTGCGTGCCAGCTTCTCGAAAATTGAGGAAGGTGGTGCCTACTTGGTGGACAATGGCCAGATCGTGCTGCTCTGGCTCCATGCACAGGTTTCGCCTAATCTGCTGGAGGATCTGTTCGGGCCCGGGCATAATTCTCTCCAGGAACTCAGCCCCAACATCTCCTCTCTACCTGTGTTGGAAACGCATCTGAACGCTCAGGTCCGCAATCTCCTACACTACTTCTCGACGGTGCGCGGGTCTAAGAGCATGGCTATCCAAATGGCGCGGCAAGGGCTGGACGGGGCCGAGTACGAGTTCGCTCGACTACTGCTGGAGGACCGGAACAACGAAGCACAGAGCTACGTGGATTGGCTGGTGCACACCCACCGACAGATCAATCTGGAGCTAGCCGGTCACCGGAAGAAAGAGGAGTCAACGAGTGAGGGTGCCTTGGCCAGTCTGTCGGCTATGCGAGCACCATATTGGTAAGCCGTGGACAGCGCAATAGGCCCTCTTGGCCAGCCAAATCCAATCCCACCCACTTCCGGCCTTACGTTGGGCTGCAGGTACCCCTCCCTACTCCCCCTCTTACGAAGTAACGGGGAGGGTCACGCCAGACGAGGAAGGTGACTCAAGTGGCTGATCAGTGGAGCCCATGGGCAAACTGGAAGCCCGGGGACGTGAGACATCGGAGAATACATTTTTTTCTGTAGTATACCAGATTAGTTTGTCATCACTGACAGTGGATTATCTATTATTTATTATTTGATTTCTTATTGGCATCTTGGCATTCACGAACTAGACCCTGAAAAAGATATGTAGTGGCCAAGGCAAAGAAGTGGAAGTGGGTCGAACAGAAAAGCAGGTACCGGATCATGAAGTGGCGGTCTAGAAGACTCTGTGATTCTGGAAGGCAAGATCGACCGGGACTCAAGTGTTGCCCTGTGCCCCTCTATGGCCCCTCTGTGGCCCCCTCTCAAGCCCCGTACTTAACTCTACTTGACCTAGTTCGGCCCACTTCCATATATTAAGGTATTTGGCCGAACGCGGGCCTAGCCCAGGACCAAGAAAGAGCTCGCCTAGGGAGATAGGCATAGAGATATAGAATTCGCGCAACAAAGAAGATTCGTGTCTATAGGACGAGTTGCAGTCAAGGCAATTGATGTCTAGGATCAAGGATCGGGGTTTTCTTGGGGCTTGGACCCCTATCGTTGCCACTTCTAAGTTTGAGTACCAAGAAATCCAGACTCGATCGCCAGGTACCCAAGAAATCTAGCAACGTCAGAGGCGGTGGAGCAGGAGTTTATAGACAAGAATTGGAATTTTTAGATTTTTTAGATTTTTTTATCTGTCTGTGGCTTTTGGCCACCATTTGGAAAGGATCAGGAACGAGATTTGACTTGAGTCATAGGTGGGACACAATGAGGTAATCGGTGAAGCAGGTACTGTACAAAGGAACCTGTGTAATTAGATAAGAATTTCACAACATCAAATTTCCAAATTTTTTTAGTTCTTCGTGTCTATACTCATTTTTCATACTTCTTCCCGTACATTCCATGGTCCAGGATCGCGAAGGGAACAGCGATAGTCCGGTAGAAAAGAGATTTTCCGCTTATGAAAAGCAGAACCGCGGATGCTCGCGGTGAGAAAAATGACGTTCGGGAGCGGTAATTGCCACGGCACACTTGCCTTATTCGGGTCAAACCCAAACTCGTCAAACCACCCAAACCACCCAAACCACATAAACCACATAAACCACATAAACGCTCTTTCCACTTGCCTTTTGCCATTGCACCCAAGCCGTTTCGAATACGTCAAACCTGAGGTCTTCGGTATCACACCGCATTGCAGATACGAGATGAGATGAGTCCATGCCCATGTCCATGTTCATGTCCTTGAGACAGCCGATGCAGAGTATCACAATGTTCGCTTTGCTGGGTACTCTGTATACTGCAACACTCCGAGGCAAAAAAAAACCCTTCCCATGATTCGCCTTCTCTTGGATCCACTCCCATTGCCTTGGGAGCAGGGCTCCACTGTTTCCCTTGACGTGATCCATGGTTCACAATCTGCATGGCTTGCCAGACCCACGTTTTTTCTAGTTGGTACCTATCTGGGGGACTCAGTTGGGCTCAGGCACGCCCGTCCCTCAACTTATAAAAGGGTCCTGTTGCGCCATGTCAATTCCTCATCCAACCCAGTCTCTCTCTCTTTGAAGACATTCATTCTCTATTCAACCCACTTTCTTTTCCACGAGATCGATTCTCGTCACTTTCTTTCAAATCTGTCGATCAGATCATACTATCCAACTATATCCAACCCACTTCAATCTTTTATATACCAAACCCCACTTCATCAACATGATGTTCACCAAGACTTTCGGCCTGGCTGCTGCCTTTGCTACTCTGGCCTCTGCCCTTCCTTCCGGCATGATGGTCAAGCGCAATGACACCCAGCCCGCCAGTGGAACTGTCCTGATCACCAACAACCTGGCTCAGGACGTCTACGCCTGGTCCGTCTCTGATGATGTCGGTCCCATGCAGACCCTCTCTGCCAACGGTGGTACCTACACCGAGGCCTGGAGAGCCAACCCCAATGGCGGTGGTATTTCTATCAAGCTTGCCACGAATCCCGACCAATCCGACGTGCTCCAATTCGAGTATACGGAGAGCGCCGACACCATCTACTGGGATCTGTCCTGCATCAACATGGAGGCCAACTCCGAGTTCACCCAGTACGGTTTCTCCGTCCTTCCCTCCGACAGCGGGAACTCGAGTGATTGCCCTTCTGCCGTCTGCAAGGCCGGTGACAGCGCCTGTGCCGCTGCCTACCTCCAGCCTACTGATGATCATGCCACCCACGGCTGCCCCATCGATACCGGCCTGGCTCTGACTATTGGCCAGTAAATGCGCTCTTTCGATTGGACTGTCGATTTTCTCTTGCCTTGCCGGTTGACCCGAGCACTCTTTCAAGGGTCTTTTACTTTCTTTTATTTATGTCTTTTACGTTGATATTACGATTTAGACTTGTCTTTTTTTTTTCTTTTCTACATGGTCGGTTGAATCGACATGCCTTCTTCCCCAGGCGGTTGATTCCGCCGGGTAGAATGTCGTCACGAGCTATGATTCCTTGATGTTTTTGTTGAATACCCCCAAAATCATGAATATGGATGATGGGAACTCGCGGAGTTTACCGGGAGAGCTGCTTAGACTTGTATAGATGAGGTTGAATTATCAAAAAATCCACAAAATCCTACATTGGAACAATGTTACTTCTACATCGTATATACTGTTCATTGGTACAAAAACAGCAGCACTTCCCAGACCCTGAAACCCTTCCACGAAGGATTACAAATGGGAACCACATGCAAAAATCCAGAGATCTAGAACAAATTCTCTTTTCTCGCCAAGATCATCGGTTGAAAAGTTTTATTCTCCGAAAAAACAAGAACCCAGTGGATAAAACCCTCCACTTCTTTGTCGATCCTCCGCCAGTCAGATCCTGAGCCTAGACCCTGATTTTAACGGGGCTCCAATTATTGATGCATCGCAGTCTCCACTCAGGGTCTGAGTGGCCAATGATGTGGATTTAGGATCTACTGTTCCTGGAATCTGCCCTGTCAAGGCGTCCTATGACATATGTGGAAGTTCGGGGGAATTCCGTATCGATTTCTACTCTACGAGTTCGAATCATTGGTGTTGAACCGACCCACACGAGAGGAGAAAGGCAAATTTAAAAGGCAAAAAAACAGAAGAAAAAAAGGTACAAAACTCAAGATGCCGAATTATCCATTAGGAAGGCTGTGTTGGCCAAGTCTAACACTGTTCCTATGATGTGAACTGTGGTCTGAGCAAGTCTGGATGAACCACCACCCGCTGTGTGGTTCCTCCAATCACACTACAGTTTCATCACGTTACATTCGGTTACATGGTTCAACCCATGAAAATCCATTGATCCAAGAGGTACAAAAACTTTTGCCGTCTCCAGCTCCTTCCGATCCGGTCTTCAATGCGCCAAGCAACGGTCCGGGATGAAATGCTCAAGGTTGATTCGATTCACGCGAGTTTTTGAGGCTTGAGACTCCGGAATTTCAGGCTCCACGGGTATTGGTTATTGGCTATTGGGTCCGGGTCTCTTAGAATTTGGTTTTGGCAATGGTTGTCTAGAAACTCGTGAATTGAGTATTGGAATAGTCAATTGCCGGTGATATACAGGTGTCGGAATTGTTGAGTGAGTTCCATACAAAGACGTGGATCCGGCGACTTCCGACGCAGTCGATCCAGTATAAACCTGGTGTATGTGCAGTGTAGAATCGAAATATCAATCAAATGTGAAAAAAACAGTGGGTATCTGCTAGTGAAGGAAAAAGAAAAGAAAGTAAAACAATAAAACACCAATAAAGACACAAAAGTCATCATCCGCTCTGCTGGGAATGATTCTTTCGAGAAAGGCGCCACTCGCGCCATGTCTCCATCACACGGTGGGATCGCATTGCCTTCAAGAACGCATACGCGATAAATCGGTAGATAATCGTGCAAACTCCAAGAGCCATAATATTCATCGGTCCATTCTTGTCCAAATTGTAGAGCTTTAGCACCTGTTCGCCGGTAGTGATGGGACAGTTCCCGTCCGCAAGTCTCTCCGCGGCCGAGCAGTCAAAATGTTGCCCTTGAAGGGAATAATGTGCCATGTTGGCAACGCAATATTTGACCGGCGAGAGATAGTTGAATCCTTCCAACGCCTCATTGACATTCAAGCTCATAACGCCGGCGAGGGTGCACGCGAGGGATAACAGAGTGGATGTCACATTGACTGCGAAACCGACATGGGAGAATAGTGTGCAAAACATAATCCCTAGCGATTCACCGCAGCTGATCACGCAGAAGCAGTTGAAGGCACCAACGAGAAACATCGTCACCGTGCGCTTCAGATTGTCTGCATAGGCTGCGAGCACGCCAAACACAAGCGCAGAAGCGATCTCGAAGGGGATTTCTATGACCGTGTAGGAGAGAATGAATGTTTCCGCTGAGTAGCAGTTGTCGAGTTCTTCACGGTAAAAGACATCACGCTCGTTCGGGTAGATGGCGATGTTTTGGAGCATTCCTGTTCTTGTCAGTGAGGAGCGTGAGAACACACACGATTTCTACTTACCAACAAAGTACAGCGCCGAAACCTCTTGGACAAATCCCATCCGTGATTGCACTGCAGCATAATCATTCTTGAGCGGCGCAAAGAACAAGGCCATGACAATGGCAATCCCCAAAACTTGCATCGACCGGGCCATTATCAGGGGGGTTGGCGCCGGAAATTGATGAATGACCGATGCAGCACCAATGGAAATGTGATGCGAAAGGGGAGCATCTGCCGACGGAAGCTACCAAGCTCGGCTGGTGTTGCAATGTGGGATGTAGAGTCAAGCGCCAGGGCCGCATCGGACCAGCAAGAGATCAACTTCTGAACGCGCTCGCGAGTGACGGCCTCCCGGTCTGCCTGCTGAAGATCAACCGTAATGAGGTCCAGGACAAAATCCGCTGGATTGGTCGTCTGCGGGCAGTTGTATCCCAGCCCTGCAAAGTGTGGAAGCATTTGTTGCCCCGGTCCGGCGTATACAGGGTATCCGCCTCGCGCTAGAAGCAAGACCTGGGAAAAATGACTGACAAGATCGGAGCGCGACTGGTGAATGGTCATGATCAGTGTTCGACCCTCGGCTGCGAGACCATGTAAGACCTCGATGATGGACATGGCCGTAAAGGCATCCAGACCTGATGTTGGTTCATCAAGCAGCAACACCTTCGGGTCCGTGAGGATCTGGATGGCGATCGTAACTCGGCGCTTCTCTCCTCCGCTAATGCCTTTGACGAGTTCACCGCCGATTAAGTTGTCAGCGCATTCTTTGAGTCCCATTTTAATCAAGACCTCCTCCGCTCGTCGGTTCTTTTCTTCTCGTGTCATCCAGATAGGCAACCGCAACCCTGCTGCAAATCTCAAGCTCTCTCGAACGGTCAGAGATGGCATCAATGCATCGTCGTCCTGTGTGACGAAGGAGGTCACGGAGCGAATCACGGTGTCCGATGGTACGGCCCCATTGTAGAGCATTCGGCCATGGACATGATAATGAGTTTCGATAGACCCTTGCAATCGACACGCTATTGAATTGAGTAACGATGTCTTGCCACTCCCCGATGGTCCCATGATAATATTCAACTCTCCTGGATGAAACGCGGCAGTGATAGGCTTCAAAATCCTCAAGACTTGAGTTTCTTGCCAGGGATATCTACGCTTTCGAATCTCCAAAGCATACCGATCCAGTGAAATGGCCAGTCTCCGCACTTCTTCAGTTGGGCGAATCGCTAGTTTGGCCTTCCCGGGATTTACGTCTGTCTTTCGAGCCTGCGCAATGTCAATCTCGAAGCGATTATACTGCAGTATCAAGCCAGCCAGAAAATAGTGAGCTATCACGAATGCAATAAGCACCACGATGGGTCGCCATATCCAATTATTTGGCATTCCCAGACTGTTCATGATGTATCGTCCGGTGTACTCTTTGCAAGCTGGATCAAGCGGGTCCTGGGAATATGGGCAGTCATAGAACTGGCCCAGGTCAGAATCATCAAGTCCAATGAACTCATTTGCACACAGTGCTCCAAACACGTAAAATGTGTATGCACACCACTTGAGCCACCTCACATATACTGGTATCTGATTCGCTTGAACAAAGTACCCGCAGGCAAATGATTGCACGGTGAAAGATAAATTAGCAACCAGGGTGGCACCGGAAAAGTTCCTTGTCAGGCTAACTGCCACTGCTGCAAAGGTGACGGCAATGTAGTGTGTGAGTAGGGCGAGGAAGAAGAAAATGAAGAATTTTGCCGCCTCAAGACGATAGCCTACCATGAAATAAAAGATAATGGAGAATAGAAGCGGCACAGGTAGATCCTCAAGCGGAAATCGGGCAATTCGGCGACTGAGCAAGAACGCTGGAACACTGACCACGCCTTCATTGCGTTCGCGATCAAATAGTCGAATATCAATCGTTAGTCGATAGATCTCATATAGTAGTATGAGATAACCATTTAGACTGCAAGCCGTATACAGGCTACCTTCTCGTGAACGAATCCCGGCCAGGCTCCCATCAAGCTGCAAGAAGATCCAACCATTGACGACACCCATGCTAATGGCTTCAAGTAAACTACCGGCAACACCAAGTGGGTCTCGAATGGTGGTTATGAAGGTGCGGGAGGTCAAGACGCGTAGTTGTTGGCTGAATGGCACCTTCTTCATTGCTCCAGAGTCCACAGAACCGAGACATGCCACAGCTCCCTGCTTTTTTTCCTGGTGAGGCAGGCCTTTTTCTGGCAGCTTCTGCCATACTTCGCGAAGACAATCAACACGAATGTATGATGCGGCTTCTGAGGCTTCAGTTCGGTTATCAATTGCAGCCAAGTCGATTAAGAATTCTGCGGGGTTCACGAAGGGTGGAATAATATGACCACATTGTTCAAAGTGAGGTAGTGATTCGCTCGCGGGGCCACTGTATAGAGCAGATCCTCGAGCCAGTAGGATCACATTGTCGAAAAGGCTCCAGATCTCAGATCGGGGCGAATGGATGGAGACCAGGATGGTTCTCCCGTCCTGTGCGAGTCGCTTCAGTGTACGTATGATCTGGAATGCACTGGTTGCATCCAATCCGGTGGTCGGCTCATCACAGAATAACACAGATGGGTTGGCCAACAGCTGCACCCCGATACTTGTTCGTCGCTTTTCCCCACCGCTGCAGCCCTTATGCGCAGTCGTCCCAATGCTTGTCTCAGCACACTCCTTGAGTCCCAGTTCCAGAATGATCTGCTCCACGATAGCATTTCGTTCTTCCTGGGTTGTCGGTGGCGGTAAGCGGAGATCAGCCGAGTAGCGTAACGTTTCGCGGACGGTCAATGTGGGGATAAGGATATCCTCCTGCATGATGTAGGCACTGCGAATGCTGTCAATGTCGGCGTTTCCATTGAAGGTAGTCGATCCCGACACCTTCATCTTGCAAGTAGACATGCGGCTAGCCATGAGATTGAGGAGAGAGGTTTTCCCCGAGCCACTGCTGCCGATGATAGCTGTCAAGCTACCGCTTGGCATCTCCGCACTGACTCCATCTAAAACCCGTTTCGAGGTGGCTTCATTTTGTTGACCGCGGATGCGATCCCTCAGTCTGGAAGGTGAGGTCTTCCATAGTGGCGGCGTCGTGTCAAGGTCAATTGAAAGTTTGCTCACGCTGACATGCACTGGGCTCACTGCACGAAGGCACAGGTTATGACCCGCATCTTGAAGAACTTCATCTCGGACTAAGCCTTCTTTCTGGACGTTGGCGTCGGTGATTATCTCATCTTTCTCCATCGTGTATCTGTTGTTTATTTTGGTCAGGCGCAGTGTGGAAATGCATTCACTGGCATCCAGTCCCCATCTGAAAAATCAAGTCGCACTCGGGGAATTGGTGGATGGGAGCGCGATAGCAGAATGATGTGACACAGGCATAGACGTAAACAGCCGGGCTTTCCAGGTGAGTAAAGGAGTCTGTTTGACGACTTGCATTTGTATTTCCCAGTAGTGATACCAGGACCGCGCTGCTCCTTAATTGCCTAGACCCGCAGACCGGACTATAAACTGGATCCGCCCTGACTTTTGTGTTTTGATTGGTTCGGAGCCTATTTCTTCCGTCCTTAGTCAGCACACGTGGCGCCTTGCTTTAAGCGAGGGACTCAGACAATTCCCCATTAGGCAACTTCAAATGCTTTATCTTGTCGTGATTACAACGTATATTACATCAGGTTACATGCCTGGCCCGAGATATATGTCACGTTAGTATCTTGCCGAGAATTGTTCATCCACAACTGTCAGAAATACGTACCTCTTTGTCTACTGCTTAGGGTTCAGGCGTGCAAGAAGCCTTTTGTACTCTCTAGGGCTGTATATACGTGCTGCCATAATCAAATTTTGCCAATTGACAAATACAAATACTAACAACTCTGCTATGCCTATGTGATTCATGTCTATGGCTGAGGTTCATCACGTTCGTTACCAGGAAAGGGATGGACGGATTCCCTGCCAAGTAAATTGCATATTATTGCCCTACATCTAGGTAGATCGGACTGCCGATCCGGCCTCTACCTAACAGTAGATATGGTTGTATACTCATCAGTAGGGCTGAAACAAAGCTGTCAGGAGTCGACATGGTGCTACGAATATGAACGATGTTGTGTTTGTAAATCTTGTCTACTTGAAGTGGTTACTTTGCATTCAAATTGATCAATCCCTGAGACCTCGGAATGAAAATATATCACACCTGGGTTTTATAAGCCTCTGGAACTGGAGTGTTTAGACTGCCAAAGTTCGGGTTTCTCGAACCGCAAACATTTGAGCGGGCCCTCCTGATGGCAACATACCATGCAGAATAATTTCTATACCCCAATAATTAAATATCATGTTAACCTTTCGAGGTTGTCGACGGTACTGGTGTCCCCACTCGGCCCCAGGTGCGGAGTTACCCCGACATCCCGCACTGCACGCGGATGGACACCGAGGTCGGCATAACTACTCCCGAGAGACCCCCGCGTAACCACCCCTCTTCCGATTCTAATTGCACTTTCCTTCTTGATTTTCTCAATATCTTTTACTGTCATTTGAAAATGTCGTTCTCAACAGCCATCAAGTCTAGCCTCGAAGGCCCCTCCCCCGCGTTTGGCTTCTGGCTCACGTATGTTCAGCTCCCTTTGAATACCCCAGAATCGTCACTGATCAATTGAACTTTCCTGGGTGTAGACTTCCCAGTGCAGGCGTTGCAAAGACTATTTTGCATGGAGCTTCAGGATGTTCCACGAAGTTTAGCTGGGTTTTGGTTGATGCTGAGCATGGGTTGATTTCTGACCACCACTACTACGAGGTATGCCCTCATTTCGCGAAACTTGATTTCACAGCTTTGCACTTCGCTTCTCCTCTTTGTTGTTGCAAATAAGACTGACCAAATCAAGCTTAACAATGCCATTGGCTCCGAAGGTGCTAGCCCCATTATTCGTGTTCCCTACGCAGAGGAATGGATGATCAAGCGGGCCCTCGACGCTGGCGCACACGGTATCATGACACCAATGTGCCACTCGGAGGTAAATCCGACAAATATGATAGCAGCAGACTGCAAATCTTAACGGGTCAGAACTAATCCGCGATGCCGCTTAGGATGACGCCGCGAAAATTGTCAAATACGCCAAGTACCCTCCTCTCGGCACACGCGGCTACGGACCAATGTTCGCCCCACACTCAATGCCCGGCGTTAACCCCGGACCCGATTACGATGATGGTGCCAATGACAGTCTTACCGTGGCTGTCCAGATCGAGTCTCGGTCTGGTGTCGAGAATGTGGAGAAGATCGCCGCTGTCCCGGGTATCGACGTCCTTTTCATCGGACCTTTTGATCTCGCTAAGCAGATGGGTGTTACCCGGTGTGGTGAGGAGCACGAGGGTGCTATTCAGCGGATTCTGGCTGCTGCTCATGCGTCTGGAAAGAAGGCTGCTATCTTCTGTATGTTTTCCTAATCCCCTCTTGGAATGATTCCATTTGAGTTCTTACGTGTTGACATAGGCACTGATGGAAATGATGCCCGAGCTCGTGCGGAGCAGGGCTTTGATATGATCTCTGTCATCACTGATGTTGGCGTGTTCCGCACTGGAATGCTGAATGAGCTGAAGACCGCCAATGGCGAGAATGTCACGGGCGGTGCTCGGGAGGGTTACTAGATAGATGATCTTGTTCAATATAACAAGCTGTTAACCATATCAAATGAAATACTCATGAACATATTCAATACTTTCATCTTTTATAGCGCAGCACCTTGCTTTATAGTACATTGCCGACACCTAGCAATGAATTCACAGCAGAACATCCATGGATTCAGATCATGATAACGTGTATGGTAGGTATTTACAGTGATTGGGAATCATGAAGATAATCAGCATTTGAATACTCGTTTAGATATTGAACTTGACAGGAAATTATACTATACAGGGTAGTCCTTAAAGGATCAAATTGACAATACATACAGGACCAAATGGATATATACAACAGACCCAAAATGTCCAAAAATCCAAGCATATCAAACGCCGATCTGTTCAAGTCCTGTCGTCATCATTGCCCAACTGATCTGATCGCGAAACACGACACATGCTTCCAAAACACCGTTTTCTTGCACATCGTGCATATCCTCCCATCGTGCGGTTACCAAGTCGGAATGTACAGTATGCCCCCTTCTCAGAAGGGGGATGATTGACCTCGTTGCCCCTTACTGCATGACACACACCGTCTGCACCAGCTAGAAAATAAATACAAAACTGAGCCCTCCCCACCGAATGCAGATGCATGTCCAAAAGAAAACAAAACGCCGCGTGGGACAGTCACCAAGAAGCAAGGGTCATCATGCTCGCTGTCGGCCCTTCAGGTGACGATAAAAAAAACAAAAGGAAAAAACAGGTCCCCATGACAAGGGTAAGAAAAGTAAGAATGGGGGTAAAAGCGGGTATCAAAAATGGAGTAGAGAAACGAAATTTCAGGTGATGAGGAAATCCATGTTCATGTCCTGGATGATCTTCTCCCAGTCCCAGCTGTCCTCGATCTTGGTGTCCATAATCTCCCAAACGCGAGTGACAACCTTGAAGGCAGGCTCGATGTTGCGGAGGTTGGAATAGGCCTTGAGAGATTCGAAGCCCTGTTGAATCCGTTCCCGCTGCTGGGGCAAGAAGGCTGAGCAGCCCAGTAGGAACAGCGGCATTAGGACGATACTGTAGGCACCTGCATCTTGTGGCAGACGGTCTAGATAGGCCAGACCATCGTCAACTACCTGAGCGATTTTTTCGCTTGGGCGTGAGGGCCGAATGGTGCGGAACAGGTATACCCAGGTTGACTGCCGGTATAGTTGGGCCAAGCACCAGTTAGACGAGTCTTCCTCGTGCGATGTCTTCCAGGTCCGGATGGCGGTGTCGATCTGAACGGCCTCGCTGAGGGTCTGGTAGTCCACTGCAGGCTCGTATCCTTCGTTAAATCGCTGGCGGATTCGGTCTCGGAGCTGAGTAACCTGGGAGATGTAGTTGAATAATCCATCGAACACACCCAAGAACATACCAGCGGAAGCGCCCGGCACAAATTCGGGCATACGCATGGTACCCTGAAGAAGGGCTGGGCGGCGGTCTAGGGAAGTAAGGGCGTTTGAAATGTCGTGGTACTGAAAGAATTCGACAATAAACTGTCGGAACTTTTCATTGCGCGGCTGCTGCGACACGAGGAGATACCTGGCAGCATCCATGTGCGGTCGGTATTCACCATTCGTTTCGCCTTCGCAGATGGTATTCAAACTCAGGGCGATGGTCGATGCAATGATAGGATCTTCCACCAGCAGTTGTTCCTCCTCCGAAGGGGTAGTCGAAGCGGATGACGAGGCGGTGATGTTCTCTTTCAAATCCTGGATCGCTCGATGGAAATGATAGTACTTGCGCTCCCTCAACTTTGGCTCTGGGTCTAGTCCCGACAGGTGCGACCCCGACAGACACATGAGAGAGTGCATCAATCCCCGGTGTTGAGTTGCCATCGGCAGCAAGATCTCCTTGAACGGATTCGAGTCGTCGTTGATGAGAGTCAAGACCCGGCTAAACCCATACACAAAGTGGTCGAGGAAGCGACGATCAATCTCGGTTTCGACGCCATCGATAAGGAGGGGAAGGTTGCGAGGGATAGTGACCAGGGACTGGGTTCGGACAGCTACAGTGGCGGCCTGGGTCAGTCTGAGAATCAAGATTGTTTTGTGCGCCAAGTCCAGATTTAGATACGTACCATCTGCGACCCTTTGCCTTCCACTTTTCCAAATCTCCTTCGGAGGGTATCCTTCACAAACGACGGCGTTCTTCTGGCAGTTCAGACATCTAGTACCACGTCGCATTAGTTTCGTCTGACCCAGGGGAATGGATTTACCCGGCGCTCTCGTGCATCACTCACGCAGGCTTGGTCTCGTCGCATTTCTTTTTCCGGCGGCGACAGGTTATACAACCGGTCTTAGACCGGCCCTTGGTCACTTTGGCTTGACCACCAGGAGTAGGGAGCGGATGCTTGCGTGGACGCCCACGTTTCCGTGGAACGGTCGCGGGAGCACCCGAGTTTTCGTGGTCGAACTCGTTCCCCACTTCAGACCGCTTGACACTTTGAACATCGTCGTCCAACTCTTCAACCTTGGGTGGGATGTCGCTCAGAACCATGTCGTGCGCGCGAGATTCGCCCACGCCCCCATCGGATGACGATTGGAAATTCTTCGATGCATCAAAGTCGGGCGACTGTTCTCCATTCCAGTCGGGTGAGTCGGTTG